TATAAAGGCCTAGGCTAACTTATAAAATAACTACTATTATAGTAAAGTTACTTATTTATTACTTAATAACTTTAGTATATATAAGGTAACTAGTGCCTACCTATATAGTATAGTTATAGGTTATTATAGCCTTACTACCTTAAGGCTTATTAGCTTTAGTTAACTAAAGTAGGCAGTAATAGTAGGTAGTAGTAGTACTACTAGAGGTATAGCCTTAAGCTTTAGTTAAATTAAAGAAATTACTAATAAAAGCCTATATTTATTTAAATTTAGTAGTGCCTACTTTTATAGGCTTAGTAAAGTAAAAGTATTACTTGCAGTAGGTAGCAAGGTTGTTAAGTATAATAATAAGGCTAGCCTAGGTCTTAGGGATATATAAGGTAAGTCTTAATAAAGTAAATAGTTAAATAGGTAGGTAAGCTAGTAAAAAGAATATTCTTACTATTAAGCTTTTTTTAAAAGTCCTCTAGGTTAAAGTTAACTATATTATCCTTATAGTTAGGCAGTAAAGGTATTTAAAGGGTTATAATTTTATTATTTAACGCGTTAATTATGTTAGCCTTACTAGTAGTTAATAGAGGGATATCTAATACTATAGTAATATAAAGAAAACAATAATAATAAGGTAAAAGGTTAATTAGTAATAAATAATATAGTTAATAATAGGTTAGTAGTAATAGGTTAGTAGTAATAGGTTAGTAGTAATAGGTTATTAACTTGCTGTTGTTACACGTAGGTAGGTAGTCTAGTTGACCCTGAAAAAACGCGGAGGATGTGGTGGACCCATATTAACTAGATTAACTAATCAGAATATCCAAATATATCTATTATTTTAATATAATTAATATTAGTTACAGTGTAGTACTTCGGGGGCCTGTGGGCAGACCCGCAATGTGTCTGCCTATTAACCGCTACCGCCATGAGCAGCAGCAGCAGGCTTGGTGCTGAGGCTCGGCCAATTAATATCAATCACGAGGAGGAGCGGAAGGCTGTTTCAGCGCAGGCCGCTGGGGGCGGAGGTGGCATGCTTAATTGGGCTACACAAACTAGTAGTAAGCCAAAGGAGAAACGAATGACGATCGGGTACAGAGTATTGTGGGCGCGGCTTGGGGGTTCGGGAGGACGAAAGATTCAGGCATGCCGTTGCAGGTAGGCAGCATCATCATCATCATCATCATTATCATTACCATTACCATTATCATCATGACCACCACCATCATCATCATCCAGGATGCCTGCCATCCCATCCTTAACCCAGGGTATCCCAAATCTAGGCCCAAGATCCGGGCAACTTTGGTGTTTGTGGTACGGCGGGCTGGCGCCGCGTGGCCAGCTCGGCAGGGCTTCTTGACTCGCTCACCGCTTCGGGCACGAGACGTGGGGGAGGTGACTTGGCGGGCCACACAAATGGCGACGGGCGGCGTCGACACCCTCTCGGGCGTGGATTCCGGTCAGCGTGGTGATGGTCTGTTGAACGAGTGGCCCAGGCATCGGTACCGTTGCCGACGGTTCTCTGGGTTCTTGCGTTCTTAATACCGAGCAACAGCTCGAGCTGTCACTGGTGCCGTGTCCTGTCGGATGGATGTGACGTGGCTGGCGAGTGACGAGGGCTGGCTGCGGGTTGCTATGCTACGGGCATAAGGCGTTGCGCAGCGGAGTGAGTGTGAGTGTTCCTGGTGGCTGGGATGCAGTTGCAGAGTCGCAGCTGCACTGGCAAAAGAGTGTTGTTGTAGTTGGAGTCAGCATCTGTGCCATGTGCGTGCGTGCGTGAGTGGTGTAGGTAGGTAGGCTATCCATCGCCCACCTTCTTAGCGTAGGTAGGTAGGTAGGTAGGTAGGTAGGTAGGTACAGTACCTACCTTAGCGTCCGGTCAGTGGTCGGAACGCCCAGAAATACCTAGATACCTGGGTAATTACCATGCACACAGACATGGAGTACCCAAGTACCTAGGTCGTGTATGCACAGAGGGGTACGTCCTCGCAGGCTCCATCCAGCACGGCCTCCAGATATATATCCGTGACAGTGACGACGGAGGGTTTCGAGGCCGAGATCTGTCTGTGACAGACGTCGGGGAATGGGACAATGGTGAATAAGGTCAGACCGCGAGATGAACCACGTCCCATACATATAGCATGTACTCCGTAGTGACAATCAATACAACCGCGGGGTGTGTGTGGTGGTAGTATACCGAGTGTCCGTGCCAAGGGTTAGGAAGGAAACAAAGAAAGAAAGAAAGAAAGAAAGAAAGAGAGAGAGAGAGACAAACAGCTGAATGATTCCCTCCTCGTTCAACGCCGCGTAAGCAAGATGCATAGATACATGCATTGATTGCCATTGCCTTTTGTGCCTCGAGCTTCGCTTGACCTGCCTTGCCTTGCCTTGCCTTGCCTTGCCCTAGCTGTCTTGACAAACCTTGCGCTTCACCTGGCTTGACGAAATGTTTCAAGAGGCAGTTATAATTGGATTCTGCACCACTGTGGAGTCAGGGTGTCCCCGCTACCCTCTCTCTCGTTGTTCATTGTCGACGTGCTTGCGCCAAGCGGCTGTGTCTCTGTCTGCCTGTCTGCCTGTCTGTCCATCTATCTGGTGCCCGTATCTGTACTGTGAACCCAAATTAGCATTATCCGTTCCCTCCTATCGTCGGACCGAGCGGCGCCCGCAGCAGAGATGATGGGTCCCAACTCAACTCAGGGGTGGGTGGTGTTGGTTGCCCGATGTTTGCACGTTGCACACACACACACTCTCTCTCTGCGTGGTCCGTCCTCGTTCCGTGCTGCACCTTAAATTTCAATGGGATCGGGGGTTGGGGGTCGAACTGAGACGGGTGTGGGTGCGGCGCCCCAGAATCCATTCTGACCCCAGCCATGGTTTCTTTTCCGCCGTTCCTCAATGTTTCCTCGCCGTTTTTCTTACGCAGTGTGTAAACTACATACCGGTAGTACCGTAGACTAGATACCTGGCAAAGCAACCCAGCATCTGCAGCACGGCCCATTCGCCCATCTGTTTCAAACGCCATCATCCATCGCCCCATCGCCCATCATCCATCATCCATCCATCATACCGGCCGGCAGGCGCCTTTTTGCTTTTGCTGTTGGTTCCGGCCAGGGCTTGGAGCTTGCTTGCTTGGACAGGGGCGACCTGCGGTCAGAATTACAGCACAGAGCCACATGGCACCAGCCAACGCATCCGATCCGCCCTCGTCCGTCCCAGCTCGGGCAGCATCGCATCCGTCTGCCGACTGGCGCGCCTTCCAATCCTTCTGAGAGGTCGTCGAGGAGACACGACAACGGTCAGAGCCAGCCAGCCAGCCAGCCGTTCAGATGAGGCCGGGCGCCCTTGTTTGTGCCTTGCAACTTGGCGTACGCGTACAGGCAGCAGGAAGAAATCTCCGACAAATCTGTCTGTCTGCGGTGCCGTGTCTTGGCCGTCCCGAACAACAGGCCCCTGTCTGTCTGTCTGTATGTATGTATGTACTAGTACGGAATGTGTGTGCATCGTAGTTTACGTCTCGACGTCATGTGCGGTGAGCGATAACCCGTTCCGACGACATTGACCTCTCCCCCAAGTCCAGGCACGAGGCGATGCCCGTCGCAGCTTTGGCTCAGTTCCTGCCTGCTACTCACCGCCTAGAGGTGCACAGACCGGCGCGTGAGGTTGGGTAGGTAGGTAGGTAGGTGGTTACTAGTGTCTACTCTACCTACCTAACGGCGAGGAATTACCTAGGTGTGATCACGTCTTCCACGCTCCTATTCCCGCCCTAATCCTCTCTCTGCCTGCCCGTCATCACTTCCACTCCCCAGTCCCCGCCCAGTCAAATCAAGCCAAGTCGAAAATTAGAAACACCGCAACCCTCCCTCCTCATCCAATGACTGTCCGAATGTGCGTGCTCGCTCAGGCACCGCAAAGGGCGCCTCCGCACACTCATGCTCACCTTCTCACTGGGTGCTCAAACACACCCCTCCTCTGCTGCCAACCCCTCTTCCCTGTCCCTGTTCCTGACCCTGTTCCTGACCCTGTTCCCTCCTCCAATTCATCACCACCATCACCACCACCACCACACCCCTGCCACTTGCCCTCGTGGTGTACCGGTATTCGTAGGTACGATGTACTGTATCTACCTGCACATCCGAAGCCCCACTCGGATCTGTCCACTGTCTTGAACTCGTTGCGTGCTGTGTGTGTGTGCAGCACGTCCGGCTCACGTTCGCTTCTTTCCACTCGCCACGGACCAGCTCCACTCGACTAGACACCAACCACCATCTTCTCCCACATCTGAACTACTCGCTCTCACCACCTACTACTACTACTACTACTCCGTACTACCACTTACTATTCTCGCTTCTCATTCCCTCTCACGCCCGCACACCACACCGAGGTACCCGACTTTCTCCATCATGGATCTTGGCTGCACCCCCCCGGAATGGTCCCGCATCCCCCCCCCCCCCCCCCCTGCGGGATTATTCACGAGCCGTCGCTTCCAAGACCGTGCACGGTTGCACACCTTATCCCTCCCCTACCTAGGTTCCCACTTCGATCCTCTCTTCGTCTCTGGTGAGATGAGTGTGTGCCTGTGTATCCATCCGTACATCGTATGGCTGCAAAGGTGGTCCAAGGTGCCACCGCCTGCCAATCTTTGCATCGTCCCCATGTCAGTGCTGCTGCAAGCGCTGCATCCAAGAAGCCAGGGACAATCCACTGCGTTTCCCACACCATGTCGGGACCAAGTTTATACATAACCCACCGCACCTGTCCGCACTCTCCGGTCCTATTCTCCGAGAGCCTCTCTCTCTCTCTCTCTCTCTCTCTCTCTCTCTCTCTCTCTCTCTCTCTCTCTCCCTCGCCTTCAGCCTTCCTATTCCCCTCCATGAAGGCCGCTCACCGGCTCCCAACCTCAGTATCGGAGTCGTGAAACCTGAACTGACCTGACCTGCTCGTGGTCCCGAAGTTCAACGCCGCAACCGTTTGTCCCCCATTTCTTCCATCCCCTTGCTTCCTTTTCTATGTTTGTCTGCCCACCAGGCTCCATCTTCCAAAGAACCTGGGCTTGGCACGGTTTTGAGGGTGTAAGTCACGGCCGATGGTTCCAAGACGTGCTCGAGTCCTGGCCCGCAATCTGAGCACCGCGCTGTCTGATATACAACACCATACCGGGCTGGCCCGTACGATCCATCGCATACGAGGAGTAATACCGGACAATGTCGACGACCAAAACGTTGTTGGCCATGGCCTGGCTGGCAGGGCCGTCGTTTCCAACCCGGGCTTTTGTATTGCGACAGGTCGGCGGCGGCGGCCCCGGTGCTGGACCCCCAGGTGCTGGACCCCCAGGTGCTGAACCCCCAGGTGCTGAACCCCCAGGTGCTGGACCCCCGGATGGTGATAGGCAAGGCAAGGGCAAAGGCAAGGGCAAAGGAAAAGGCAAGGATGGTCCTGAGCGAAACCCCACCGACGAATTCCGCGATCGATGCTCGGTCTGGTCTTAGAGACCCATCCCGTACCTGTTCTCGTCCCTAGGAGAGCGTATGGCGGCAGAAGCACCGTCGAGTATCCCGATGATTCTTGGCACCGCGGGACGAGAAGGGTGTCGCCCAGCGTAGCCCTTATCACGAAGCACACAACCCGTCTTTCTTCTCAGCCCATGAGCCTCTTCTTGCGACTACGACCTTCCTGCCAGCAAAGCCCTCAAATCCGTCGTCTTGCTTGACACTCGCGGCCATCTCATTTTCATCTTGCTCTTATAAGACTTGTGCGCCGGAACCTAAAGCTAACCCAGCTACACAGGAGCCCCAAAGCCGGAACAGCCACCTGATCCAGGGAGCCCAGTCCTGTCTCCCGCGGCTCCTGACCCGCCGCCTGCGCCCGCGCCCCAGCCGCCATCGGCCCCGCCACCATCGTCCCCGCCGCCTGCGCCCGCGCCGCCATCGTCCCCGCCGCCATCGTCCCCGCCGCCTGCGCCGGAATCACCTTCACTGCCTTCGTCTTCGCAGACCACAGTACCTGCACCACCTGCAACTTCTTCGGCCCAAGTTGGCCAGCCGACAACCACTTTGCTCTTTGACCCCGCTTTCACACCTTCTATTCCGACCCCGGAACCGGCTCGCTCGTTGCCACTTATATTTACACAAACGCCCTGGCTATTTCAGCCATTTCCCAGGCCGAGCTCTTCGTCCAGCCTTCCTGAGTCGAGCTCCTTGGACCCCGGTATCATTGTAACCCAGGTGCCGCCAGCTTCTGAGTCGACTGATGCCGGCGGCAGACCCCCGACACTCTCAGCGCCAACTTCTCTGCCAAGACCGGACGGCACTATGGGCGACAACAACAACAACAACAACAACAACAGCACTTCCCAGGGCATCGGCGGCAACCGAAGTCTTGTCATCGCTCTGAGCACTGTGCTCTCCCTCCTCGGGGTCGTCATGATCATCGGGGCAATTTACCTCTGTTATCGGTACCGCCGCGGCCGCCTCCCGTTCGGCCGCCGGGGTAACACTCCCATCGATGACGAGGAAATCGAGTCCTGGAAGGCTTGCCGGACGATTGAGAAGTGCACCACCATCGTTGTCGACGAGCAAGATCAACATGGCTCGGCTGCGGCTGGATCCGTCCAGAAGCCGTCCAGCACGATCGTCTACCAGGACAATAGCCAGCACCATCCTCGCATCTCGACTGAAACGACTCAACGCGCCCTCTACCACAAGCGGAGCATGGACAAGAAGAGCATTGATATTCCCCAGGCTTCTGTCCTAGCAAGAGCACCCAACGCCCGTGTTGGTCTCACCGATGACGCCATTGAAGGTGACCGTGCCTTTATCCCATCTCCGAAGCGCCGAAACTCGAGGTTGTCCAAGCTTCCACCGTTGTCCCCCCGCCATGGTAGGCATCGCAGCTCCCGCAGCAGCGTCAGTATCGGTAGTCTACGGGATCACTGGTACGGTTACCACATTGATATGGAGCTTTCACCGCGTGCATCCGCCGATCATTACACCCGCATGCCCTCTTCCGCACACTCGGATGGCAAGCATCGACGTGTCTACTCCTCTTCTGCGAATCCTCCTAGGTTATCACTAGGCGAGGAACTCCAATTGGGCGGCCTTTCTCCGCGTCCGTTATTTCGGCAAGCAGAAATTGGACTCGCCGTAGGTTGAAGCCCCGAAAGAGAGAGAGAAAAAAAAAAAAAAAAGAAACTCCAACACCGAGATTGAGGTCGCATGCTGGTCCAGAACGGATCGCTGACGCCGCGTCCTTCATTACAACTCGTCTTTACCATTTCTGCATTAATGTTTCGCAACCCCTGCGGATAACAGAATTCGTCATACGCTAAACAAACACATGGGTTTCAGCCCTTGCGCTCTTCCCGCGGGCCTAGAGACAGTTGTGGGGTGCTATCTCGTCGATGTCTGTTTCACATCTCGACGGACGGTACCTAATTACAACCCCATGTGGCTTAACAACGACATGCCGGAATAGTGAGCGAAGCCAAACCATGTCATCCCCGAACGGAAGCTCGTGGGTGCTGGCCTCGCCGCCGCTACCGCCGCCGCCGTCGTTCCTGTCGAGTACCTCAGTGGTGCGTCTTCTTCTCGGAGGCGCAGAAGACTTTGCTTTGCGCACACAGTTTATTACGATTTACCCTTTCCGTATGTTCTCTTTGACTGAACAACTATGCGTCGCTTCACAATATCTACCTTGGCGTGAAGCTTTAATGCCTGGGACGGCATCTCCCCTCCCCTTACGGTCTTTTGGAATACGGTGTTGGAATATGGATCTTGGAACACCACATTTGAATGGTGAAGGATATACCCACATGATGAGAACGGTCTGCTACAGCTGCAACGCAGCCACTTTTTCTTTTACTTTATCTTCTTGAACATTATTGCCGGGCAGTCTTAGTAAGGCCCGAATTGAAGCCGAATAAATTCATATATTGGCAATCAGATGGTTGTTATTTTTGCCATGTTGCCGTCGTGACGTTGGCACGAGGGCAGATGCCGTCAATGAGTCGAGAAAGCGACAAATACCTATGGCCGTGGCAATGGCATTTCACACTTAGCCAGTAAGCTCGTCCGGACGCATGCGATCGGCATGTATCCAGGATGCTGACAGATTCGCCCTCCCCGTAAGCTCGCCGGGTGAAACTTGAGGGGAAAATAGCAACCGGGGTCGGGGAGAGTTGAGCTTGGTTGATTACTATTGACTGCGCCGACAATCGGGAGGGGCAACGCTCCCGACCCGAAGCCCCACCACCACCACCATCACCCCAAGGTTTTCTCGATGACACTGGTGGGGGGGAAGAAAGGTCAGGATGCGACACCTGCCATCCCAGGACGTCGGATACGATGACGGGAGAGGAAGCTGAAACGCCGATGAGCCCCTACCCAGCGCTGGGTCGGCGAGTGTCGCCGGGCACGCGGGCAAAAAGGCGTGATGAAGAAGGAGTTTCTTCTTCTTGAGACTTGTTGGCCTTTTTGGGCGCGGGGGGGGAGGGGATGGGATTGTTTCTTTTGTTGCTTTCCCCTTCCTCTGTTTCGTCTTTTCTTTTCATCATCATTTTCATCATCATTTTCATCGTCATCTCATCATCTCTTTAGTACGGAATGATGATCATCGACACCACCTTGCCCCATCGTTGTTTGTTTACTTTTGGTATACTGACATGCCTACGCGGGGCGGGGGGATTAGATGTGCCAAGGTGTATTGGAAGAGGAGGGGGGTGGTTGATCTGTTCCGTGGTTGGAACCCTGGTCCGATGCCCGGAACGACGTTCGACTTGGCAAGTAGTTCATTGGAGCCCGTTCCAGGATGGGCCAAACGGTGCGGCTTGCTATGGTGTGGAAAGTTGACCAGGTTGGGCCCTTGGCTAAACTTAAAGGATGAGCGAGGATTAACAGGGGATCTGAGAAGTTGCTATTGCTTGAACGTACGAGTGAAATGAGCGGGTTGCGGACCCACGACAGAGAAAGCTTGAGACGGCGAGGTGTGTTTCATGCTTTGACACCGGCCAGTGAGTCTGTGAGATGAAGGAGAATCCGGAATGCAGATGTTGGGGACATGTCGATTCAGTCTAGACTCTCCCGGAGCTGTGGAGACTCGACTGAGAGAGATAGATTGCGTATACGAGTCAGAGTATCAAGAAGATGCCGACGGTAGGACTGGAGCGGACGAGATTAGACATGGGAGATGTAACGGAGGGATCAAGAGCTTGTTCATGCTTGTAAGCTCATATGAAAGTGGACAATGAGTGTAAGATAAAAATTAAAAAAAGACGCGGCTTGATTATGTGTTTCGACACCAATACAACATTGTCAACATATCCATAGCTGGAAAGTTAGGTACCTTGGTATGGAATGTTGTCGTCTTTTTACTATGTAGGTAGGTACCTACCCAGGTAGTGAACAGCGACTTGGGTACGTATCGAGGTACGTACCGTGTGGAAAGAGGGACGCACTTAACGCGTTGGTGTTCGGAAGTGGATGCATGCCAGAATCGCGACGTGGACGCGCTAGCCGACGACTGACTGACTCCCCGAGCCGCAACCTCCCCCAATTGAGCATCGCCTTGTCCACGGTGAATACCTACCTACCTAGCCACAATGCTCATCAACAGCAACGGAGAGACGCCCATACTGAGCCTATGACGGCAATCTACCTAGTGAAGTCTGATAGCCCGGCGTGGAAGCCAAATAACAATCCCTGGCCGTAAGGAAAGGAAGCACACACCACCACATCCCCGTCCCGCTTTGCTCATCTCCCCTGAGTGAGCGTGAAAAACTTGGGCGCCTCGTCAAATCGCCGACGAACAACAACTCGACGCCCCTCCCCCGAGGCGAAAGCTCGCAAGCATCCACCCAGCCCACCCGACAACGCATCCGATCCCACGAGTCCCGCCCGCGTGCAACCCAGAGAGAACAACCAACTCCCAAGGGGGTTTGGACCTCCAGTTTCCACCCCACATTAATTCCTGCTTTTGGTGCTTGCTTGTTGGCTCAAAGCCCTCCTCCACCCCCCTTCCCCTAAACCTCGGACGACACGACAAGAATGCCTCCGCGCAAAAGCGACGCGAGCCGCAGGAGCGACGTATCCAACGCACGCTTCATCGTCATGGACGAAGACCCGGCCCCCGCCGCCACGCCGGCCTCCGCGACCAAAACCGGCGCCAACGTCGCCGCCGGCACTCCGTCGTCGGCCGCAAAGGTGAAGGCAAAGGCAAAGACATCGGCATCTGCCTCCGCCTCCGCCACGCCGTCCAGCGTGCCTTCCGCCGGCGCCGCCGTCACGCCCGGTTCAGCCGGTGCCGCGATGCGGCAGACGTCATCGACGACGCCGCTGACCACCACGACGACGGTGCCGCACGCGGGCTCGGAGAAGAAGGAGAGCCAGACCCACGACAAGATGGCCAAGGCCGATAGGGATGCGCTCACCATCGAGGTTCGTCATGACGTGCCATTATCCTTCTGCCCGATGCCCGGACAGCGCCGTGATGGGGTGTGGGTCGTGACTGACTTGGGTTTGTAGGACCTCAACTTGCCCAAGTCCATTATCACCAGGCTAGCAAAGGGCGTGCTCCCGCCCAATACGCAGATCCAGGGCAATGCTGTCCTGGCCATGAGCAAGAGCGCGACTGTCTTTATCAACTATCTCGCCGCGCAGTACGTTCTGTCCCTCCCATCCCTGCGGTATCTCTCGTGAGATGTCTTGTCCGAGAGAAACCCCCTCCAGCCTCTACATCTCATTGTTGGGGAAGAGAGGAACTGATGGAACTGACCGGCTTTCCGCTCGCAGTGCCAATGAAATCACTGTCAACGCCAACAAGAAAACCGTCAGCGCCGAAGATGTCTTCAAGGCCCTTGACGACATTGAGTTCGGTTTCCTGCGTGAGCCCTTGGAGCAGGAGTTTGCCAGTGCGTTTGCCTGTTCCTCTTTGTACACCCGCTCTTTGCACCTACACTCACCCACCCCCGCTGTAAATCCGTCTCACCGATGACTCTCCGAGGCCATTTACGCAGTACAACGTTACTCATCTGATGTGTAGAATACAACCAAATCCAGTCGGCGAAACGCAACAGCTACCGTCAAAAGGTAGCCGCCAAGAAGGGTGGAAGCGCGGCGGCGGGCGTGGCAGCCGGGGTGACGGCCGGGGCCGCGGCAGCGGATGCGTCCCTCGTCTCAAATGCCGACGACAGCGTCATGACAACAGCATCTTCCGACACAGCTCCACGGGCCAAGAAGGCCCGTGTAGACGATTCCGCCATGACCGTTGACGAGGATGTTGAAGACGCCGAGACAGAGCCTGAGGAGGAAGCCGAAGAGGATCAGGAAGGGGACGAAGAGGAGGCTGATGAAGACGACGAGGAAGACGACGACGACAACGACGACGACGAGGAGGAGGAGGAGGAGGAAGGGGAGGGCAGCGGCGACGAGACACAAGATGCGCTGGAGGAGAAGGGCGAGGGCAGCGATGTTGATGAGGCGCTCGATGGAGATGAGAGCGACTAGACGGGTCACCTCGATGATTCATGCTATCCCGGCTCCGGGCTGGACAGCCTAGGCCGGGAAACGTGCTCGGACGAACCCCTGGCTGTAAATGAACGAGGTTTCGGGCTCATCGCCGAGAATACGAGGTTCAGAATATGAGGTACGGGTCTAGGCTGCTTGGGGGGGGAGAGGAGGGGGGAGAGGAGGAGGAGGAGGGAGAGGAGTAGGGCAAGAGGCTCCCCGTTTGGGTAACGGTAGGAAAGCAACAAAAAGAAAGAAAGAAATCGGACTGTTTTGTTATTTATCAGGTAATATACATTTCTCCCTTATAAAGTGCATATTTGGGGAAGAATCATTGACCCTGACCGCTGTTTGGAGACTTACTGCTCCGACCCGTCCGCATCGATGCTGCCTGAGAGACATAACGAAGCGAGCGGACGCTCTCCTTCCCTCTGCTAGGAAAACTTCTCCCCGAAGCTGGTACCATCTCGAAACCAACCAGGGGCAACAGACTCGGCGGAGACAAAACAGCACGCACGCACCAGAGATGTCAGGAGAAGCAGAGCCGCACAAACACACAGACGAACAGGGATCGCCATTAGGCCCCCCACCGGCCATCATGTAGACCGGATAGAGGAGGGGGGGCAGTATTGGGGGTCGTTGTGGTGGTTGGGGTGACGGCTGGACGGCTTAAGAGAAGCCCGGCAGCCAGACCAGCAGTTCGTGGGCCAGCTAGATTATAGCTGGCAAAAGGGATCGTGCCTTGCGTTCTCCGGTTCGGCCGGCAATATCACTGTCTCGCTTCCTTGCCCTTCTCTCAGCTGCAAAGTTGCTTGCCGAGTACACTGCGCGTGCCCTGCGAAACCCCCCCTTTTTGGGGGGGGGGATTAGGTTGCGTGCATTGTGGTGAACGTACCTATGTAAGAAAGGGGGCAACGATCAACACGAGAAAGAGGGCTGTGTGTGGGTGTGTGAGTGTGTGTATGGGAAAGCCGGGACTACATTAGTAAGTATCTCCAATTTTTAACCATAAACCCTTCTGACGACTGCAGTAGGTTCACCATCATCACCACCACCACCACTGCTTGTGCCACCGTGACCACCACCGCACAAGAATCACGGCCCATGTCTTCCCTCTCGCTTGTCTTGTTGCGAGGCGATTTCAGACGACAGTAAATGGTCGGGACGCAGGAACGGAAGGCCTGAGCCCTCCTACCCCCCCCAAACCAATCTAGTATGATATCCGGCTTGCCGAAATGCGCAATTCAAACACGTCGGGTGTTTGTAAAGGCTATATCATCTCTTGTCTTCCGTTGGCCACTATCGGAACGTTCCTCTCCCAGTCTACTTGTTCCACGCTGGATGCATGAGATTGGCCTTGAGGTGTTTCTCACGTGTTTTTTTTTTTTTGGGAGTTGTGTATGTGTGTGTGTGTGTGTGTGTGTATGTCGATATCTCTACCTTGAATCAACAGCATTAAGGAGGGGGGCCTCTCTGCTTCGCCAACGTTGCCGACCATCACTGTTCAGAGGCATAAAGATACGTGGTAAACAAGGCATGGGCCGTTCGATTTCCCCGCGGCCACGGCTGAACCATATACAATGCGGGCCCAACAAACACGGCAAACTCTGGCTGTCCGATCGCCTCTGATGGCTTGACGCCACACCAGAGGCCTATATCCACACACCAACAGGATCCCCGAAGGTCCCCCCCGCCCGTGGAGGTCCATCTCTTCTCCCTTGGCTCGGCCTCTCTCCGCGACGGTCATACCCCCCACTCACGACAAGCAATGAGCATTACTGCATACATCTGTCAGACGGGCCGTTTAGTAAAGAGCGTCGGCTGTCGTGTTGGCATTTTCCCCTCTTATGCCCGACGGGCCCGGCGGGATGGCTCACATTCCACACTCCCCCACTCGAAAGAGCCGCATCACAGCCGCCCCGTATCACCGGGCCATGGTCTCCTCCCCCCCGCCTCTGCCACGCGACCAGCACACACGCACACAGACGCACGCCGCATAAAGACAATGGACAGCCTATGTCTTTCCAAGCAAGGCAAAACCAGCGCACCGAATGCATCTTGAGATGTGCCGTCAACACCCATGATCGCCCTCTCGCTCCCCGCAGAACGGCAAACCTGCCTGCCCCCGCCCCCGCCCCCCCTCCACCCTCGGGGACCTGAGTAGACGGACACCTCCGTACGTCGAGGCTGGTGGCGTTTTATGCCGAGGGGTATCGCCAAACAAGCTTCGCAACAGCAGCCCCCTACCTCCACCTCACCCTGTCCCAAGGCCTCCTCGGCCGAGTCGTCAAAGCACGTGAGACCAACCCTCTGCGAGGAAAACACCCGGTACATGCTGCAACCCTGCCGCTTACGAGACAAAGCGAAAAGGGAGACGAAGGGGGGTGGGGGAGTGAAGCTCGTAAAGCGGCAACAGCCCGGCGGCATGGCTGGGGAGGAGGACGAGGGGGAGGAGGAGGAGGAGGGTGTGTGTGTTTGGTATGATCCAAACAGGTGAAAAATAAACATCGATGAGGCTGCCACACAGACCCCTTTCTATTTCTTTCCATTTTTTTGCCCTTGTCTCGAAACATACGGTTTTCGTCCCGATAACGAGAAGCCTTGGTCTCTCTTTATTCTTCCTTCGTTGACACACACCCCCTCTCTCCAAGCGGGAAAACTTTAAGAGAACGACCAGATGGCACATGCATCTTACGGGGCAGTTTGTTGCCGGTCATCCTCGTCCTACTTTAAATAGTTGTCCCAACCAAGACACAGAACACTTGATGGGAAAGGCGTCAGGTTAGAATTCAAAAAAGAAACACATCTGCATTAGACTGAAAACTAAATCTGCAACGGGGGGCCCAGGGGGCCCATGTCTCCCAAATGGCCCTTCCCCCTTATCCACGCAAAGTAATAATAATAAAATAACGGTCGTCGCAAAGCAAGTGTACAAATAATGATGCAGGGAAGAAATAGATGCCCAACTGAACAACTCTAGTAGAGTGTTCGATCGATACGGCCCCCGTACGACTTGAAGAAGCCCTCCCTCCGTGCCCTTAGCGTGGAAGAAACGAAACAAATCCCACCCGATGTCGGACGATGACGCTTCCCTCCCAGGTCCCTGATAGCCAAAACGTAACGGCAAACAGCATGTCCCGCCCTAGCAAAGAGACAACTCCTTCGATGCTGCCGTATCGGCCGACACAAAAAATAAGGCCAAAATCATTCGACCGCCAATGTGCAGGGACAGTGGGCCCCTCGTCCATATCGATCTTAGAATCCCAATGCGACCTTGTCGTGTTCGAAAAGGACGAGTTCCGGATTGTTTATGAACCTTAAAACCATACTGTAGCGTGTCGCCCTTGTAGTCCTTGCTTTCGTCCTCGTCTCCAAATCGGGGACGCGCTCGGCCGTACGGCACGGACCCGATCGATACCGCGACACCAATGCCATTGTCGCGGGTGCTTGGAATGGTCTTCGGCATGAAAGCTTCATCGCCTCGTCATGGATGTTGGAATGTGTTGGCTCTATGCACAACTTTGTAGAAGCACTTTCCGCCGTCGTTGGTCAAGCCGTTGCTGGCAGACGATTGCCGAAGTGCGAAATTGTCAGCGTAATGCCTGCAGACCGCTGTCGGATAAAGCGAGTTCCAACGTGTGACGGAAAAAGACGCGTCAATTGAGTGTTCCTGAAGTCGTATTCGAGGGGACGAGGGGGACTAAACTAATATGGTGTGCGCGAAGCGAGTCGGCGACAAGAAGACGGTGTTGGTATCAAATTGAAGTCGAAATTGCCCGTGTGTTAACGGCGAGAAAAGGAGAGAAGAGATGAATAACAGATATAAAAAAAGAAGAAAAACAAAAGACAAACATCGTCAAGAGAGGACGAGAGAATCGAACCAGGAAACGGGCGATCGAAGTGAGCAATGTATCCTCCCTCGATACAAAAAAAAACAACCCAAAGAAATCGAGTAAAAAGGAAACGAAATACATTGAAGGGGCCAAACCCATCCCCCGGTGACCTGAGGCAATGTGTTCCCGGATCGCCCCTCCCCCTCCTCCATCGACTCCTCTATCCATACTTGTTGGCCAAAATGCTGTACGAAGTGACAGGCCGGCGGCCCAAAAGCACATAGCCTCCACCTAAGTGTATGCTCGGGTATCCTTCAGAAGGGCAGCAACAAGTCTGCCGAACCGGCGAAAGCCAGGGAGTCACCGCCGCGTATATAATGAATAGAAAAATGTGTTGACATGACGCTGTTGAAAAAAAGTTGAAGGTGCAAGGGAGAGAGAGACTGGCTCATCGTGTTTCGACTCCCTGCTTTCTTCATTGAGGCTGGTTTGTCCACCACTGCGCAGGCGTCTGTTGGTTGGACCAAGCCTGTGTAACAGCCGGAGATCCTTGGTTCGGCTGAGGCATGTACTGGCGAGGAGTCTGATCCGCGGGGTAAATCCCCTGGCCAGCCCCGTAGCTCTGTCCCATGCCGGGCATCCCCGAAAACTGCATCGCCGGCTGCACGCCACTGTTGGCATGTCGCAGTTGAGGAGCTGGAGGTTGCTGATGAGACTGCTGGCCTTGCGTCGTGTACCCGGAGTAATTGTGCTGTTGAGGGTTTTGCTGCGTTTGAGGCCACATCTGGCCAGTCCCAGGGTAGTGATAGCCTTGAGCGCCGCCTTGCGGTATGCTGCTCGTGCTTCCTGCTGCAGGCAAAGTCGTTGGCTTGTTGTTCTTTTGGGAAGATGGTTGGGCCATACCTCTCATCGGGGCCTGGCTGATCGGGTTCTGCGCATGGATCGATTGAGAGTACGGCGGAGCGGTCATCATCATCTGCTGGGGGCTCTGAGTAGGCACGATGCCGGACTGCGGCATGTTGCTTGTCGATGTGTGTGGGGATTGCGTCGCACGTGCAGGGGGAGCGGCTGCGTCACTCGTGGCGACGTTCTGGGCAAGGCTCGCCGACTGCGGCTGCTCGTGTGGCCGTCTCCAGATGCCTTGGAGGTAGTCGCCGCGCATATCTCGCGATTGGTTCAGTGTCCGATTGTATTCGGCGGCGTGGTGCGCCTGAGTGTGGACCTCGCCAATCTGAGCAGGTCGCGTCTGGTCCTGATAAGCCGGCCCGGTGATCTCCTGGCGTGGGCCGCCCTTGAGGATCCCGCTGTAGTCGCGAGGGCGGCTGTCACTGAGCTCTGATCCTAGTGTTATCACGGGCATTCTGGTCGTGGTTCCGGTTGGCGCTCCAAGCATACCTGGTTGGACGATTTGGGGTTGAGGGGCGCCGGGGAATTGACTGGGCGTGTTGCTGTATACGATTTCACCGTGAGGGCCACCCAGAAGGACCTGGTTTTGGGCCTCGGCAGCGGCCTCTCTGGCCTTGGCAGCTCCGGGGCGCTTCTCGCCGGCGAGGTCGGCCTCTGTGAATCCTTGCTTGCGGGCCTTGGTTTCCCAGTAGTCGTCACGAACTCTCCTGCCGTTGACAATGACACGACTCCCAAACTGGCGGAACATTGATCGTGCTGTGACAATGGCAATCTGTCTCGACCGGTAAGAAAACGGCAGGATTTCCTGGCTGACGAGGTCATCCTTCTCGGGTTGGCTGGCGATGATCTTGTAGAGCGACCTGTTCTTGTTGAAGAGCAAATACGAGTCTCGGTATCCCAGTACCCTCGCGCACTCGGTCGCTAGCATGAACAACTTGTCACCCCGGTTGGGGACCAAGAACGTTCGGCATCGGTATTCACGGCCACCAAGGAGCTGACCGTTGGGCATCACCTTCTTCTCTCCAAACTCGTCGATTTCTCTCGGGAGGTATTCGTCGCCGGCGGGGTTTAGCTGGTCAGTGGTGTGGTCTCTGACAGTAGGCAAGGCCTTGAGGGTGGTCTTTGTAGGGGTGGTCTTTGGCGGAGGTGAAGCCTGCGCGGGCGCGTAGGCGACGGCTTGCCCCCCTGGGAGCGGCGCGCTCTGGTTCTGGGGGGTCTGCGGAGGGGGGATGTTTTGAGGCATGTTGGATACTTGGGCTGGGCCGGTGGTCTCGGAATTGCTTCCGGATGTTCTGGGCTTCATTGGCTTTCCACGTTTTCTCGGGTTAGAGTCGCCTGCAAAGGAGACACCAGTGTTAGCTTGTATCGCGTTGCGCATAGTGGAAAGGAAGCAAAAGGTAACACGGGCGGATGCTAATCAGCGCAAGCACGACGGGGTTTCGCGCGGGACAAAAAGACCATACCAGCGTCAACTGCAAGAACAGTTCCCTGAAAGTTGTCTGGAGAGCGGCTTCTTTTGATGCCGCGAGTGGTTGCGTTGAGCAGGTCTAGGTGACGGGCGAAGTTGTAAGCATTATGTACAGGGCAAAGATGTCCATGTTGGGAAAGGTCATAGCCACGGCTTAAACAGGCGAGTGGTTGTGCGTGGAGAGAAGATTTGGTCAGCAGCACGGCCAGGGCCTCGCAGTGGAATGCGATGACGGCTAGCGGGCAGGCTGGGTAGCGCGGGCGGGGGTGTGAAACTGGGGAGGGGGCCTTGAAGAGCAAATAAGTCACGTACCAGGAGAGTTGAGAGCAGCTGGGTTGATTGTCGCACTATCGGCTCCGTTCGGCTGTGTGGAGTACATTGAGCGCGCAAACGTCTCCCAGCAGGTTCGTTGAGATCAGGACCACGACGACGTGTCTTGATACAGCTGGAAAGCCTCCCGGCTGGGTCGCGTCGAGGGCAGCGCCGAGTCTTGGAGGGAGGGTGCGCTGGGCGTTGCAGGGCAGACTTATGAGTGCATGTGGTTGGCGCAAAGCTTTGAGATGTTCCTGGCGGGAGGGTGTCGAGTAATAACGGGTAGGGAGACAGGACTTGAGAAGAAATCGAATGGAAGCTTTTTTTTTTTTGTGTGCCTCTTGCTCGCTCTTCTCAGCGGAAGGGGGGTATAGGGGCGTATGGTTAAGGAAACTCTGAATTCTGGATGAAAATGCAAGAGTTGAGTTGCAGTGTCGGTACAACCAAGCCGTACATAGAACCCAATAAAGTGTCAGTAGGGTCTGTGTCCTGGGGCCTGCGGCGCGACAAGTAGGTTCTTTTGGTGAAGGGGCCTGTGTGCAGCGACTGCTTGGTAAAATGCGAGGACGATCGCGTGGCGAGGATTTGGCGATTTTTTCACACCCTTCTCGTCGGCGCGGCAAAGAGCAGACTCTGATATTCTGTATTATCCGAGCGAACGAGAGAGAGAGAGAGACGGCGAGACAGTCGTCTTTTTCGCGACAGGCGAGATAAGTGTGGGAGCAGAATGGAGGCTGTCGCCGGTGAAGTTGCGCGCGCGCGGTGGTGAAGGAGGGAAGATGGTGGATGGTTGGCTGGTGTTCGCAAAGATGCCGGGTGGTAAGGTGTTAGACAGGTGATGGATGGACGGGGAGAAGTGGGCGACTGGGAACGGCAAGGCAAGGCAGGGTAGGGTGGATGGATGGATGGATGGATGGATGGTGGTAGCCGGCGGCCGTCGACCGTCTGACAGTGTCGCCGGGGGTGCGAAGCCAAATTACCATTCAGCAGACAGCCAGCGACGTTAGTGACCTGGTCGAGGTGAGGCAGGCGGCGCAGAATTGAAGTACCTGCAGCCGTGCAGATGGATGAGTAGTAGCTATGGGGGTGTAGCGGCGTGGTCGGATACCTGCGCTTGTCAAAGAATGCCCCTCTGCTGTCCAGGGGGTGAATTCTGTATTCTCGGCGGAGGGCTTGCGCGAGAGTGTACGGAAGGCAAAAGGAGGGGCGTGGACAGACGCGCTCCGGCGAATTGGGGATCTAGTAGGAAGAAGCGATGGGTAGCGCCGAAGAAGAAGGAGAAGAGCGAGTCGTTCAAGTAGGTAATTAGGTAGGTAGTGGGATGGCGAAGGGGCCGACAACGATTACGTCGCTGGCAGACAGACAGACAGACAGACGGAGGGTCAAGTGGTCGAGGCGAAAGGTAGACAAGGCAAGGTGATGGCAGAGTGAGGCGCTGCGACGCGATGGGATGGGATGGGATGGGAAGCGACGGGGTGGTGAAGTGACAAGGGCCCGTTGGTAATGTACAGTACCGTACAGAGGAAAGGATGACGGGTGGCAGCCTCGTAGATTTTGCTGTTGGGCTCCGGTGGCGTTATTCTTCCGGAAGCTGGGATCTCGGGTGGTGTATCTTCTTTCTCGCGGACGCGTACGGCGTGCGTGGGCTGCTTGGTCGGGGATTGTGACGTCGAATCTCGGGGCGTGGCAGGAGGGAATGGTCAAGACCGTGACAAGATGAATGGGAGTCGGGAAATGCCAATAATGAAAACGGATGAGGTCGGGTCGGGTAGGGTAGTAGGATAGCGCAGGTGAGCAGGTCGCATCAGCAGGTGCGATGCGGGTCGGTGGTGGTGGGAAAAGGGAACGAACGGGCTTGATTGAGCCTGTTGGATTACATACTACGTAGTGGTTACCTATCCCCTACTAAAGGAGGAGCTGCTAAGCTACCTAGCAAAGGATGGGTCGATGCATGCACAGTAGGTACGATGCAGGTAACAACAGCAGCAGCGAGCAGCAGAGAAGTGCAGATACTTAATCCCGGTGCAGCGCGACGCAGATTGAAAAGCTGGGAAAGGAATGGACTTGGGACCGGGGCAAGGGGTCTTGGGAGGGCCTGGGATTGAGATTGGACTTGGGGTTGGGGCCGCGAATGCGACTAATAGGTAGGTAGTTTACTATGTATGATGACGGTGACAGGGAACATGGGCCAAACCGAAGGCATGCAGTACCTAGAGCCAGAGAAGAACGGCGATGGCGACGGCGGCCTTTGGGGGGTTTAGCGAGTACGCTAACTGAAGAGGGGGGGTAGGGGGGGGTGGAAGCAGCAGAAAAAGAAGTCAAACGACGACACAGAGGGATGGATGGACGGGAAGGAAGAGGAAGGGGGGATGGACGGGAGGGGGGAGGGTGACTGAAGAAGCCTCCCCTCTCCCTTCCTCCAATTTTTCCAAACTGCCTCTTTATTTTTATTCTTTAAACCCTTGACCTACATGGTACTATTTTTCCCCTCTCAGTCTTCAGTCATAACTGATGATGACAGGGGAGTGGAAAGCAAAACGGACAGAATGAGGCACTGGGCACTGGGCACTAGGCCTGGGATACGAGTAGCGACCCTGCCCCCAACACGGGGACAAAGAGACGGAAGGGCAGGCAGGCAGGCAGGCAAGGTCAGTGACCTCTCTACCTAGTATACAGCCAGTCAGCCTACAAGAGGTGTGCGAAAGGCCCTGTCCGTTTCGAGGGGTTTCGATTTCATTTTCTGGCCGTACGGACTACCCAAAAGAGAGAGAGAGAGAACGGGAAACGGTTCATTCATCAGCATGACCGCTTCACCAATCCCTGTCCGATAACACGCAGTAGTATGCAGCCTATTCAGAAAGAGGAGCTCGAAATAGTGGGCCTATTCATCTGGGCACGAGCACGGACAATGATGGCGCCAGGGAGACATTGACAGGGATGCCATGCGCCGGGCGTCAGCGCCAGCAACACTAACAGCAGAGCAAAAGCATAACGGCACTGAGGAGAGCCGTCGACCAAGAAGCCAGGTACTTGCTTGCTTTGCTGTGTTTCTGTTTCTGTTCCTGTTGCAGCCACTGACCGACCCCCTCGCTGGTTTGACGGAACTATTACCACCACCTATTTGCTAAGACCAATCGCGGCTATTCTGCCCGTCTGACGGCCGGTCCATTGCTTGCTTACTTGCTCGCTCGCTCGCTCGTCGCGTCCGAAGTGGGAGAGAGAGGGAGAGAGAGAGAGAAGAGAGGGAATAGGCGAACGAGAAGGGCTGCCGAAGTCTATGGACAAAAGACCAGTCCAGCCCAGCCCGGCCCAGCCCAGCTCAGCTCAACCGGGGGAGGAGGGGTGAGGTTCGTTGGGATCGGAGACGCGGAGGGCAGGCAGGCAGGCAGGCAGGCAGGCAGGCAGACAACAAGACTATACTGACCATGTTAGTCTGTCTATTCGTATCGATGTCTGAAAGTCGCAGAACACCACCCGAGGGGTGGCAGATTCCAGACGGAGACCAAACGACCCTTTTGGATTCCTGTGTAAGCCGCCGGGCGACGACACGACTTCCTTTTGCACTCGCTAGCAGCATCGATACCACCTACCCATGTACTTACTCCGTGTTCCGCATGTAGCCGTGTTTCCAAGCCTGGCCATATGTATCCTCTGCCCGCTGCATATTCCCACAATTTGGCGCCTGCATTTTTCTCTGGCCGGTCACTCTCGTTCGCAACCAATGCTTAGAATGATACTATACCCGGCTGTCTGTCGCGCAGGAAGAGGGTGACGGTCCTTTCTCCACGCGCCCGCTCTGCCCTGTCTACCTACCTTGGTGGGGAATGCGCGCCGCAGCCATGACCTACCGGTCGCAAGCCACGCAGAAGTATGGGTAGTAGGTACCCAAGGAAGGCAAGCAGGGGATGGAAAGAGCAACAGGCAACGTACTACCGGTACCTCGTAAGGCAGGAAAGAAGCTACGTACCTGCCGCTTACACACTTACACGACCGTGCCTGCCTGGCCTCAAGGTTCAGTCTCCTCCTTCCTTGCTCCATCCGTTGAATCCATCCTGTTTGAACCTTCGTCCTGCAAGAAAGAGAAAAAGACAACAAAAAAAAAAAAAAAAAAAAAGAAGAAGAAGAAGGGATCCTTCCTTGGCTCTCATTATCTGGATCGTCACCAACCATCCAACCCGCGTTGCTCTTCTTCTCTTTCTTATCTCAAAAACACTTTCGTGTTGCTTGTACAGTTTATCGACCGGGCTACCTTGGCCAGCGCGACGCGCCACCCGCCGTAACTCATAATTTTGACCTCGGCCTCCGACCCTCACGGTATAACGTCAACTTTTATGCCGATACGCATCTCAATACATACTCATCGTATCTATCTCTTGGCTTTCGCCGAATAGCAATTGCTCCAGTTCGCCCCCGACACTGTACTCTCGCACTGTCGTCATAAATGCCCGTACGGCTGAGAAACCTCGTTGGGCGTTTGGCCAGTGCCCCAGTGCAACGCGGCCTAGATTCTGGATCCCCCAAAGCTACTATTACTCACACTAACACTAACATCAACACCACCTCCGACGGAGAACAGGGTCCGAGGCTCGGCGTCCGTCTTGGCTCGACTACGCCTTGTCACTGGACGGCCTCTGATGCCCCCTTTTCTCACGCGGCCCAGACCTGTCGAGATCTTTCCGTACACCCCGTACAGGAGCTCCCAGCACAAGGGCGACCGGCTCTGGGTTGTTCTCCCTCCTCGGCCTGTCTGCTCACTGTCAGATCGCTTGCTTCTCTTCATGGGCTTCGGCGTGGCGAACTTGGAGCCCTTACCTTCAAATCTCACTCCGTGTGCACGCCTCAAAACATGCAGTTCCATGCCGTATTCAACATCCTGGGGGGAGGTGGCCGCTGCATGGGAAGCCCAAAGTGGATTTGTCCGACGGCCACAGTCTGGGATGGATGCCAATCAAGGCCCGTCCGGAGTAATCCATCTATGGCCTGCACCGGTGAAGCGTGATCTCACTCCGGAGCATGCGTCGTCCTCCGGCCCTAGCGGGTCATATCTGTTCTGATATCGGCGATATTTCATGGCTTGCGATCCATCTGGACTTTTCAAACACCTATCCAGAATGGGTTGTCGACAGGGGACCATGTCGGAGAACTGCCCCCTGCCCCATCTCACGACGCTGCGACCGGCTGCATGGAAAAAGGAAGTGTGCAGGATTCCTGCGGCAAAGTGGCTCTCCGGCTTGCGTAGATGAGGTGCGGGAGCGATCACTACTCACTCAGAGTTCAGAAGTGTGCTACCTACTAGTATGGGGCAGTCCAGCGTAAACCCACCCACCCTCTCTCATCACCACGACCGTCGCGGCCTTCTCCCGAAACTCACATCCATAATCGACACTCCCACACTCTTCTCTACACTCTGTGTGGACCACAGAGCCGTCGCCCGCACAGCACGGCATCCGGCATAAAAAGCCCCTGAAGCAAAGGGTCGGACTAGACCAGTGACTTGAACGTCGAGAAAGGAGCGACGACAGGTGCCTCGAATGACCAGGGCGAATCGTGCGCCACTTCATGGGAAGTTCGCAAGAGAAATAAACAGCCCGTGGTATCCGCGCTTTTCCCGGCTTCTTCGGCAGGAGACCAAAATATTTACCCGTCTTCCTGGCAACCTTCGGGTCAGCAGTCGTTCCTCTCACTGGCCGCTTTTACTTCCCAAAAGTCCAGGTTCGGACGACAGCAGCCAGCCCATCATGAATTTGGCCCGAACAGCGCTTACTCTCATTATTCTAGCCACAGCCCGCAGATTCACACTTGGCTACAACTTGGCCGCTGTATGGTACCTGAGGACAAGAGGTCTGCTGTGGCATTAGCTCCGATGCAAGCGGAGGCCTTGCTCTGCTACCGGCCTCAGTAGTGAAATGAATCATTGCCTTTGCAGAATCTCGTTTTGCAGACGGCGGCTGGAGAGCCCAACTTTCCGTCTGAGGAGCTAGACCGATAGGTACAAGAGCATATGGCGACTTCACTAGCGTTGGAATTTTCAGTCTGACGGCCTGGCGGCCTGACGACTTCTTGGATAAGGAGACGGCATAACGACAGACGACAAAGGCGGCAGGCCGAGCGGCCGAGGAGCCGTTGTGGATTGTGTGAATGATTCAGCATGCAGACGGCTCAACTTGGAACACACCACTATAGCCCTGGACCTGGGTCTCCATTCAAAGGCGACGAATGGATGAGATCAAAAGTACCCTCCCGTCCTCAGTGCTTGTAACACGTTCTGCAAGGCTGCCGTTTGACGATTTTCAGGTCAATGTCAAACAAAGACTGGACGAGGGTCTCAGCATGCCCTATAGCAGCGATGCTGGCCAACTTTATTGCCGGTTTCTCCGAGCTCAACATCGCGACGATCGAGGTGCTGCTGAGGGGTAAGACGACTGTTTTGACGTACAACTCTGCTTGAGATGGATCCACCATGCAAGGCAGAAGCAGAGGCCGAGGCGAGTTTTTTCTACTCTCTGAACAAGCCGGGCTCCAACCTTGTGCGACACAAGAGGCACTCGAACCCAAAAGCGTATTCTGATACTCCGTACAAGAATAATCGTATCCCTGCTAGTGGCAATCAGCCCAACAAGACGTGTTGGGTTGGGCCATTCAGCTGCGTCTCGATATCCTGTCCGCGCCAGCTGATGTGAGGCACGAAGTCAGTCCAAGATGCGTGAAGGGCCAATGAAGACGGGAAAATCCCCGACAATCTTCTGGCCTGACTCACTTGGTGACCAGGCCTGTTGGCGTTGCTCTTAGGCCCTTTATTTTCTCGCACAGACACGGTTCTTGTCGGTAGAAACCTGATTAGCCAATCGCTCCGGCCTGCGTGCCATGATGACTTACCATCGGCTGGACCCCGGTAATGGCACGCACGCTATCGACCCCAACCCCTGCTAGCAATACGGTTGGAGGCGGGCGAAACGGATGGGACCAAGGAAGGCCTGCGCCAAAATGCTCCAGCTAGCCGAACGTCGTGCCTTTCTTGGAGCTTCTGACTTGTGCAAGACAACGGCCTCGTCCCCGCGCCTTCTTACACGAGAAAAAAAAGTGAGTGGCTTAGGGCCCGGTCTGTCTGCGTTTGCGTCCCGACTCGCGTGGTCCCTCTTAATCGTCACGAATTTGAACACTAATTTAGACTCAAACTTCTCTGTTTCTACCGGTATATCTCTCCCTCTTCTCCATGTTGATGCCATCCGTCGGCGAGTGGAGACGGAAGTGGACGGGTCAGTCGAGACAGGCTCCCATGCCCGATGGGCTGACTGCCTGCTAGGATACATCAACAGACATTTCGGCGCGATTCAGCAGGATACGGCCATGACATGACGCGGAGGACTCAATAAAGCAGACATCGGACTTGACAAGGCCCATTGTCGTACACGGCTCTGACACATATGAGGTCAGCCTGCAGCCCCTATTTTCCTCAATTATCCGCGGCTTCCTCTCGACCAGAGCTTCCTGCACGTCGGCCACTAAGTCTCTTTTCGATGACCAGGGTGAGAATGGCCCCATTTATCACATCACGCGCCACGTTAGGGAGGGGCCCAGCCAGAGTCACTTAGGGTGGCTAGGCAAGAGACGTTTCGTCATCGTCCTCGAGTTCGGGAAGTTTTGCGGATGGAGGACTGCCCACAGACGTCCATCGGCTGGGAGGAGAATACCTGGGCTCCTCGGAGTCCCCTTGGTAGAACCTTTGCACAGCACTGTACCGACACAAACGGCTTCGTCACATGGGTCGTCGCAATCTTCAACAACCCTGAAATACCACCGTCGACGATTAGCAGACCGAAAAGGTGGGACAAGGACAAGGACAATGTACAACACTGCAGCCAAGCAGGCCGGCTGTGCTCATTTGCTGCTATTGTGTCGACGATGACCGGGGTCTTGTTTGTGCAGGAGCCCTGGGTGTGCAAGATTCCCCCTCTTCTCCCGCGCGCGCGCGCTCCATCGTCCCAAAGCATTGGACTCTACCTGTCACCCTGTCTTGTCGAAGAGGTCGCCAGCGGATTTCAGCCCACAGACGATTGCTACTAGTATGCGGAACACCAAGTGGCAGGTACACCAGGCCGCCCTGGTACCGCAAGTATGGGCATGGTGGCACGGATCTGGCAATGGGAAGTCACATATGTGCATGCGATTGCCGACGGTTCTAATCGTCCTGGCCAGTGCGAAGGGTCTGCGTGGATCCGAGACCTTGGCAACAGCATACTCGGCCGGCCGTTGTGTAAGTAGACGGACGGCAGGCCAGAGTTGATCTTGCATTGGACGCAAAAAGCATCTCGGCGCGCATCGTCTCTCATCGGGCGACATTGGAACATGCGACTGGGAGCTCGAGGACGCCTCTAAACCAGTAGCTATCATCGCATGGGTCTCCATCGCTGACGGCCATCACGGACGTTTCTCATGTCGACACGGGTCGTTGTTGATTGGCCTGTCGTCAGCAATCGATATGAATATGCGCCACAGCTGAAACTCGGTGCTAACTGATAGCCGGCTCTCAATAATGGCGGTGATGGAAATGAGCCATGCAGTCGAGCAGCGTTGACATCTGGATCGCAACATGGCACTTGCACAGAGACGGTGCTTCACTAGCTCCGTCTCGGCGTCTGCCCCACGGCAGCAAACGAGAGAGAATACTCCGTACAAGAGGCAAGGTAGGAAAAAGGATTTTTTTTTAACCCCCCCCCCCCCCCCTTCAACTTACTCGTGTCTCTGCAGCGATGCTGTTTTGACAGATACATAAATCTTCTTCCACAGTTGGACGCGTTTCAACCCAACGTGGTGAAAGGGCTAGGATTTGTGCGTCTTTGGCATCGAGAGCGAAGATGGGTTTTGCAAAGATGGCTCCCACAAGGCGGAGGTTCTTCAAATATGGTTAATCACGGGAATCAGCAAACGCCATTTGTGGCTTCGGTCTCATTTCCCCGCTTGTTTCTCAAGTGGTCATGATGGCCATGCCCTCACTCCTTGTCGTCTCGCGTCGAGGTCGCGCGCTACGGGACGCGTTCCTCTCACCGGCTTTCCCCAGCCCTTGATCGGATAAATGATTGGTGGTATGCGAAGCAAGACTCGTGGGTGGCATATGACTCGATATTTACCCCGTCTACAGAGCGCCACTGAGCCCCAGCCACTCACTCTAGGCACGAAATTCCAGCAGGCCTCGGGAGCTTTTATCTAGCAACTGGGAACAACGAGGGGGGTTATCGCCCGCCTAAGAAAGATGGTGTGAAGGGTTGAGCTTAGCGCCATTAGTGGGCTTTCGGCAGGGAGTGAGCCAGCATGGCACACCCACACACTCACACAGGAGGGTGGACGGCAACGATTACCTACAGAAAGGTAGGGGGAAACGACAAGCCACAAGAGACGGACTAGAGACGGTTTGGCTGTTGGCTCTCCCAGAAGGACGAGTGTGATTGGCTCGTGTCGTCACATTCACGACGGCGCACAAGTCAATCTGTACATGATGGGGTTCAATGAAGCCCCGCAATTAGTACGTATGGACTGAGCATGGCACGGCCCTGCGGTTGGTCGACGGGGGGTGTTTAGCCTGGTGGATGGAGGGATAGGTTTTGTGGTGGTGTGTGGCAGCGCGAGCGTTGTTGCTCCCTTACCGTGCATTTGGGATGGATTGATACCACCGGTAAGAAGAAAGAAGCGTTACGATGGGAGACGATGAAGAAAGGGGTTTTTCCAAAACGACGACAATCGAGGGCGGCCGAATACGACCCATTTGGGAGGGATTCCACTCCCCCAAGACCGATTTCCCTGCGAACGAGCCGTACCAGTGCCAACATACGCGGCAGCTACCGAGGAGTCGGTCGTTGGTCCCCATTTACAGAGCAAGCTGCCGGTACTGGGCGTTGGTGGTGTTGGGGTGCTGCCACAACCGCTGCCGCCGTTCCAGCAACAAAGTCAGTGATGCCACCAGGTCCCACGTACGGTCGGTCTGTTGAAACCCCATTTATACGGCTCGTCCTATCCTCACCTATCTACAAATAAATACAAAAGCTGGTCCTTGCGCCTGGACCGGCTTCGCCTCAGGAACAGATGGCCAGGTTGCCGCTGTGGATGGGTGGTGTCGAGCCCATGCTGCTGCTGCTGCTGCTATCTAGGTACCTAGGTATGGTGGGTGGCTGTCAAATCAGTGGATGCGGCCGCTGCGGCGCCCGATGGTCTGGGGTAGAGGGAAGGGAGGGAGGGTTGGTTGACTGAAGCAGACGAGGGAGGAGGGGGCTAGGGGCGCTTTGCATATTCGTACATCCAGCAGGTACTTTTACCATGGGCTTCGAGGCGTCTGACGCAAGCCGCCAAGCCTCTGGACAAAGTCGCCATGTTTTGACGCCTTTCTCAAGCACTTGCCATCTTCTATTGCTTCCAGTACGTAGTCTCCCGTATGCTCCTAGCTTAGGTAGGTAGGTACCTATGTACATAGTATACCGTGGCCCGTGGGTAACTGGGCAGGATAGGTATGGCAGACAAGCCTGATGTCGAAATCGTGCAAGTCTTGATTGAGAAGGAAAAGGGCTACGGGGTGGCAGGGGACGGACAATCGACAAGGACTAGGGGACACTGGGACTGGCCCGCTGTCTTTCCTTTTCGCACTGCGGGAACTGCCTTGGAATCCTTGCTACCCGTTCGTGCAGCAAACGCTCGTCATCATCCATTCCCCATTCCTCCCCCCTCCCAAACCCTCACCCGCACCCTCACTCTCGCCCACCACCCTTTCACCCTTATTCATTCCAACACACACACACACTAATATGTATGTACCTACTCCAGTTGCGGTCGCAGTCCACTCAGGGACACTTTCCCACCCCCCTGAATCGTTCATCACCTCCCCCCTCCATCTTCGACTGCGTGTGGCCCTGCCCCCTCCCTCCCTTCCTCCCAACTTGCAGAATGGCATTGCCCATCTCCTTTCTTTTCGGGAATCCATTTAACGGGATGGCATTCCGATCTCGTTCTCTTCTCGGTCGCAGCAGCAAACGCTACAACACTAACGTACTACCCAAGGCGCGTATCTAGCCGCTGTGGAGACGTGACCACCATCCATTCCATCCCGCCACATCCCAACCCAGCATACATATGTAAGTCATCATACGCTTCCGTTCCCCTTAAACACCACCATCTTTGAGCATGGCACACTCGCGTGGCCCCTGGATCTCACTTCCCAAAGGAGGGGGGGCGAGCATTCTACTTTGGATAGGTACTCTTTTACGGCAGTGCCCAATATTGTCGCCTCTGGTCGGTTGGTCGGTCAATGCTAGGCTGGCTCGCCTCTGATGTCGGGTCCATGTTGCAGCATGTTCCAGACGTCTTCAACTTCTACCGCGCCATTCTCCGGAAGCACGTCTACACTCCTGATACAAGCCGTCAAGCCTCCTGTCGCTCCCGACGTTTCCTTCTTCTCATGCAGCCTGGTCTTACAGGTGGCTATGTGTAACGTAATCCAGCCATGTCGGATACGGTACTGCCTAACCGGGCGTTATGGGGACGACTGGCCTGATTTACCACTTCGTCATCCGGTGGCCAGCTTCCAGCCTTTAGGCAGGTTGCTTGCTTGCTTGCTCGACGTACGTGCGTTTTTGGCCGTGGCGCATCTCCCAATAGTTCCCAGTGCAGACCATTAACATCATTGTAAAACGGGGTTGGCCCGCCATGACAGTTTCTTTTAGTTCCCGCGCCGCACAGATCGTCTTGATTATGCACATTCCTCCTATCCTATCTTTGCCTGGTAACTACTCCTGCTTATAGCTTATTCGGACGACGAGCTGACGTGACGGGTTGCTTCTCATGCACTCGACTCGTGCCATGCGGTTCCCGAGTCTCCCATCGCCCACCTCGGCTGATGTTTGCTTCCCCGACTGCAGGATAAAGGACCGATCCCAAGGTTTTGCCAGGGTCCCACAATGCCCACGGTTTCCAACGTTGCAATGCTGCAAGGAGGGAGTCTGCGTTCCCGGCCGAGATGAAGAGAAGGAGAAGTCAAATCCGCTACCCAAAGTCCGACGACGAGTCCGACCGCAGTCTTGGCTGGAAGAGCAACCTATCCCCAGGCCGAGTGGAGTGAACCGCAGCGCTTCACGATAACCGATGTTTCAGCTGCTGGCCGGAGGACCTGCTCCTTGCTTCTCGGCCAGCCCTGGTCGCGCTCGCCAGACCAGTTCTCGGACCCTTTCGTTCATCAGTACCCTGGATGGACCATGAACCCGTCAGACCAGGCAATGGATTACGGTAGGCAGATGGGTGGACTGGAATGCGGGGGGGAGGCGCGCTCCCGCTGGGGCCTCGCGGCCGCCCTGGGCTGCCTGACCCATGAAACCGGGGTGGCCGACCCAAGCAGGGTAGGGCAGGGGGCCAAACAAGGCGAAAATGCGGCGAGTTGGGATATTTTCTTGGTGGTTTTTTTGGGGGGGGATAATGTACCTAGGTGGTCTTAATCACCTTGTGGCGAAGTACCTAATCCATTGATGACTGGACACAGCATCTCAGTAACCAAGGTTTTACGCTGTGCCGTGAGCGGACAGAGGGCCGTACTTCCCGTATTCCCCGTATTTCTTATTTCTGCCCCCTTTCCCGGCTTACGTACCGTACCTACAGAGTCGGGTCCCTTCTTGCATCAACGGGAGGCATGCCAGGACTCAGGAAGGCGAGGAAAGGGGGGAGAGGGGGGGGGGCGTGTGTGTTCTTCGAAGCTGGTGGTGGTTTACCGATTGATGGGATGAGGCGATCGGTCGGTTTTTTTCTTCGCTTCTTGTTTCTTTTCTTTTTCTACTTTCTTCTTGAGCGACCCGCGAGATGCGCAGCAAAGTTACACGACATTGCATCCCGCCATGTGCACAGAGGACGGAGCGGAGGAGTGGGGAAGGGGGGCGGGCGCGCGGGCGCAGAGAACAGAGGCTCGGGAACCGCGCTGTGCGACCGTGTGACTAGCACAGGGAACACCTCCGTGGTAAACTTGTTTCTTCCAGAAACCCCCTCATCGTGTTGAGTCTCGGGGATGATGCTTATACCGTGATTTTTTTTTCTGCCGGCGTTGAGAGTACCTGTCATTGTGTGTCTGTACGACTTTGAGAGGGACCGCCTTGGACACGTACCTTAGTGTGACTAGCACAAGGACTTGGGGGGGTGCTCGATACGATTCGGTAAAGCTTGGCTTGGTTTTCTGGGCGAACTAAACGTACTGCAGTATAACTCTTTCTCTGTGTACGAAAGCATCGTGGCGTCCAAGCAGACTCTTCGGACTAAACCTTCTGGTGCATGACGATGAAAGGCGGAAAAAAAGCGCACATCCAAATGGCGTGTCTTGTGCGAGTTCGCCTACATGTAGCCCGGTCAGATGCCTACCGCGGGGGTCCTGTTCCCGAGGAGGCTGTCATTGTGACCGCGAGCAATTCTCTCCATATTAATTTTTCGCACCAATTCGGTGTCGGGAGAACACTCAGCTGCCGCTGGAAGTGCGGGTCGCGCTATTGCTCTTGGGATACACAACAGGACGCGCCATTCGGGTGTTTGTGTTAGGTGTCTATCTACCTAGGTAGACAGTGCAGGTTACCTACCTACCTACCTCTCTAGGTAGGAAGGTACGTACCGGGAGACGACGCTAGCTGCTTATCGATTGGCGATAACGAAAATATAGCGGTAGCAATGGCGATAAGCCGCTCTCCAAGTGACGGCGAGTGCCGCTACAAACATTCTGATTCGCTCGTCAGCCGCCTCGCGCCTCGCCTCAATTTATTTTTCATCATCAAAGGCCCCAGTGTGTCTGAAGGGGCGAAAGCGACCATTTCAGAGCCTTCATCGCCTTCTCACTACGACGACGAGGCTGATATAGGATAATCTGAAATCATGACAAGTCTCAAGCGTTCGTTGGAGGCGGATCCTTTCGCCGCCAACATCTCCAGCAAGGTCTATGTCCGGTCGACGAGAAAGGGCAAGGTACAGAAGATTGTGAGAGAGGTCTACTTGCGTCAAGACATCCCCTGCTCGTCCAAGCTATGCCGGAGCTGCTTGCAAACGGCCCCCAGGGATGCCGCCAACAATGGTGAAGACCCCGAACTTGACTGCTTGACGACATGGTGCTAACACTCGCCAGTTCAACCGTTTGTCCTCTCTGATAAGCCGGCAGGCACCAAGGCGTTTCCCCAGGGGCACTACATCGTTCCCGACACCAATGCCCTGCTGAACGCCATGGACCTCTTCGAGCAGAGCTCCGCCTTCTATGACGTTGTCATCCTGCAAACTGTGCTGGAGGAGCTGCGCAACCGCTCGCTGCCGCTGTACAATCGCCTCGTCGGTCTTACCAAAAGCGAGGACAAGCGCTTCTACGTCTTCTTCAACGACTTCCGCCTCGAGACGTATGTCAACCGTGACGCCAACGAGACCGTCAACGACCGCAACGACCGCGCCGTGCGCAAAGCGGTCAAGTGGTACGCAGAGCACCTGGCCCAGACCAAGGCCAAGACGGTTCCCGCCGTCGTCATGCTCAGCGACGACCAAGACTGTCTGAGGAAAGCCAAGGCCGAAGGTGTGATTGCTATGTCGCTATCGGACTATGTTGGCGGGCTCGAGGATGGCGAGCGGCTACTTGATATGGTGGCTGAGTCACGGAACTCGAGCTACTCCAAGAAACCGGCCGGTCCCATATATCCCGAGTACTTCACCATGTCCAAGCTGATGACGGGAGTCAAGGCCGGCCTTCTCCACCAGGGCATCTTCAACGTCTCGCCCTACAACTACCTGGAGGGCTCCATTCACGTCCCTGCCTTCCCCAAACCTCTCATTGTCCTCGGCAGGGAAAACATCAACAGAGCTGTCAGCGGCGACGTCGTCGTCGTCGAGGTCCTGCCAAAGGAGCAGTGGAAGGAGCCGTCAACCAAGATTATCGAGGAGGAGGCCGTCACCCGCGACGAGAACGCCGACGGAGAAGAAGTCCAGGATTTTGTGTCGGAGAAGGAGCGCAAGGCGCTGCAGGAAGAGGTCAAAAAGACGCACACCAAAAGCACCGAGGGTCGTCCCCAGCCAACGGCAAAGGTCGTCGGCATCATCAAGCGCAACTGGCGGCAGTACGTCGGACACATCGACCCCTCGTCCGCGAGCAAGACCGGCGGTCAAGGCCGCAAGCAGGATAATGTCTTTCTCATCCCCATGGACAAACGCATCCCCAAGATCAAGCTCCGATCGAGGCAAGTCCCCGAGCTCCTCGGCAAGCGCCTGCTCGTCACTATCGATGCGTGGGACCGCGACTCCCGGCACCCCGTTGGCCACTTTGTCCGTTCGCTGGGCGAGCTCGAGACCAAGGCCGCCGAGACGGAGGCCCTGCTGTTGGAGTACGACGTGCAGTACCGCCCCTTTCCCAAGACAGTTCTCGACTGCCTGCCGAAGGAAGGACATGATTGGAGAGTTCCCCAGAGTCTGGAAGACCCCGGCTGGAGGGACAGGGAGGACCTACGTAAACTCCTCATCTGCAGTATCGACCCCATCGGGTGTCAAGATATCGACGACGCACTCCACGCGCGGCCGCTCCCCAACGGCAACTTCGAAGTCGGCGTCCACATCGCCGACGTCTCTCACTTTGTCAAGCCGGCTAATGCCATGGACACGGAAGCTAGCTTGAGGGGTACAACGGTGTACCTCGTGGACAAGCGAATCGACATGTTGCCCATGCTCCTCGGTACTGATCTATGCTCGCTGAAGCCATACGTTGAGCGCTACGCCTTCTCTGTCATTTGGGAGATGGACGCGAACGCGGACATTGTCGGCGCCCGCTTCACCAAGTCGGTCATCCAGTCCAAGGAGGCTTTCAGCTACGAGGCGGCCCAGCTCCGCGTCGATGATGCCTCCCAGCAGGACGACCTCACCAACAGCATCCGAACGCTCATGATGTTGTCCAAGAAGCTGAAGCAGAAGCGTATGGACGCCGGCGCTCTCAGCCTGTCGTCTCCCGAGGTCAAGGTGCAAATGGAGTCTGAGACATCGGACCCAATCGACGTCAAGACGAAGCAGCACCTCGACACCATGTCACTGGTTGAGGAGTTCATGTTGCTCGCCAACGTCAGCGTCGCCAGCAAGATCTATGAAGCCTTCCCCCAGACCGCCATCCTCCGTCGCCACGGCGCCCCGCCCAGGACCAACTTTGACGAGCTCGCTAACCAACTGAGGGTCAAAAAGGGCCTGGAGCTCCGCGTCGACTCGAGCAAGGCGCTCGCCGACTCCCTCGACCAGTGCGTCGACCCCGCCGACCCCTTCTTCAACACGCTCGTCCGCATCATGGCCACCCGCTGCATGATGAGCGCCGAGTACTTCTGCTCCGGCACGCAGGCGTATCCCGAGTTCCGCCACTACGGCCTGGCCTCGGAGATCTACACACACTTCACCTCCCCGATTCGCCGTTACGCAGACCTCGTCGCCCACCGGCAGCTCGCGGCAGCCATTGGGTACGAGGCAATTCACCCCGCGGTGCGCAGCCGCGGCAAGCTCGAAGCCGTGTGCAAGAACATCAACGTGCGGCACCGCAACGCGCAGCTCGCGGGCCGCGCTAGCATCGCCTACTACGTCGGTCAGGCGCTCAAGGGCCGGGTCGCGGAGGAGGAGGCGTTCGTGATGAAGATCTTCAGCAACGGCTTCGTCGTGCTCGTGCCGCGGTTCGGCATCGAGGGACTCATCCGGCTGCGCGATCTCGCGGAGCCCGAGCCCGAGAGCACATTCGATGCCGAGAACTACGTCCTCACGACGACGGGTAGCTACAATTTGAAGGTTGAGCTGTTCCAGAAGGTCAAGGTCAAGGTCACAGACGAAAAGGACGAAGCGACGGGCAAGAGGGGTGTCAAGATGGAGCTTGTCAAGGCGTGAGAGGGGTTTTTGGGCATGTGACGAAGAAACATGAAAATAGAAAATGGTATAGATTAAATTGCCAAAACAGTCATCAAGCGATACTTTCCGGCTGCAATTGACGGGTCCACTCGGTCATCTTTGAACTGATTATGAGTTTTCCCGATGTGATGTGCCAAAAACGATCCCCACCCAGCACGTCCAATTGTCATCTGGTAGACATGTAGGTTAGGGGCATGGCGACCTGTCCGACTGCTCTTCCGCCTCTGTCGGTTCTCTCTGACTGTACACGTGGAGGTAGGTGGCGAGGGCAGGCTAGGCGGCTCGTCCCGGTGGCAAGATCATGAGCAGCAGCATTGAGCGTGGTGTGCAATCAAGTGACAACTACAGAAAACCTGAGCAGCGTTCCAAAGTTCGGTGCACTCTGTCCAAGTAAGAAGCTGGCTTTACGATCCTGAATCGGAGTAAGAAGCAAGCTGCCTCTCTTTAGATGTCGAGCTCACGCAATCCAACACACCCAAGCGTTGCTGTCAGGCAGTCGATACGATGTATCTGTTCGGAGCGGAGGGATTCTAATCGCCGCCGGAGGAGAGTGCTTTACTAACGCTCAATATCAGGTATATGTCTCCAGTAGCGTTAGGGAGGAGACCAAGCGGCTAGTGTTTATTTCAGGAGGCACTGGACTTGACTTGTTACACCCGGCCATTCCACCGTGGCAACCCGATCTGGCGAGGGCGGAAAACAGCGCGGTGTTGGACGACGCCGAAAACGATTTCGCGAATGCGGGGATGTGGATACCGGCGACGAGCGGGTATTGTACGGAGAGGGGGACGGAGAGGGGGCAGGGCCGGGACGCCAAGATATCCGCCGGCATTGATGATCCGATATCGCGGCATGGGTTGTTGAGCATGGGGAGACAGCAGAGACTGCAAAAAAAAAAAAAAAAAACCCAGCGAGAAGTGAAGTCCAAGACCGTTGCTTCGACACCTGCAGCAGAGAAACATGGGGCCCGCAGTGGGTCTTCTCAGCCTTGGTCCTGTGGTGGTGGTGAGGAGCCGGGGGGGGCATTCCTGTTTTAATTTCCCAGCCACAAGTCCTGACGTAGGTGACAATTTCACCGTTCAACAGCCGATAATTAGAGCAGGCCATATATCTGGACGTATCAACTGCGCAGACCGACTCCAGAGCCAGCGTCATCCATCAGCTACCTTTTCCTTGGCCTATCCGTCCATCTCGCAGGCCTCCCATGCCTTGCATGTCGCTAGTTGCATCTCCCTATCCCTCCCTGCCCAGCAACTGCCTGCAGGCGTGCGTGGAACCTCAATGTGCCAAAAGCAAAAACTGGCCGAAGCTCTGGCCACTCCACGCACCATCCAATCCCGGTCAGCAAACAAGAGCGCCGACAAGGACGTTATCCTGGGCGAGCTGAAGGGGGAACGCAATCCGACTTTTGGCCGCGCCTTGGCTTGTCCTGCAAAACTTACCTGCCTGCTGCTGTCCTACTCTTTTACCAAACTACCCAACGGAGTGCCTGCCTACCCAAACTAACTATCTGCTCCGATAGAACGCCAGCGCATCCTTTCGCCTGGGAAAGCGAGCCAGTAAGCTGGGTGCGAGAAACAGGGATGAAGCCGAGATTTGCCAGACCTCAAGCTTGGGGTCGACGGGTCTTACGTGTGCTACAGGTACTCTCACACGAATGAGATTCGATGGAGTTCTCACTTGTTGGCCGGACTCAATACAACAAGCATCAAAGACTGTGGTGGGATGGATGCCCGGTTCGCCTGCCACTAACGCAGCTGAGGCAATCGGGAAAGCCTAGTACGAGACTCGGAGGTTCCTCAGGGTTGGAGACGTCGACCACATATATCTTGTGAGACTTTGTCTTCGGGGAGGGGCAGCGACAACTCACCCAGAATATCAGGAAACCGCGCTTGCCATGCCAATATTAAAAATGAAAATAAAAAGATACAGAGAAAGAGAAGAGCAAAACAAATTCCCCACAAATGTGAAATGGCCCATCTTGAATCACAAAGTCATCTCCTTTTCGGGTCCCCCCAAGTTTCTGAGGCCTGCAGCACTCCACGACTGCCAGATGGCTCTCCCCCCTCCCTCTCTCTATCTCCAAGATAGGTACGTATCCGAGGCGGTCCCTGGCTCACCCCCTAACGCTTGAACACTGATCACCCGGCTCACCCTGCAGCAGTACGAACGGGCAGGGCAGGCCCAGCTTCGTCAGGCCCAGTTCCCAGCATTAGCGCGTGTCGCTCGCGGCGGTTGCGTACCTAGTGCACTGACTGTCTCCGCGACAATCCCTGCCGCTTCAATTCCTGGCTCGCGTCACCTTGCGCTGCCAGGCCAAGCATAGCATCCAATTCCACCACAGCACACGCTTTTTCTCGTGCGACCCGTGGTGGCATTCGACGACACCCTCTCTTGCTTTAATCCTCCTGTAATTCCCCCCCTTCTCTCTCTCTCTCTCTCGCCTCGTCCCTCCTCTTCTCTTCCCCTCAGGATCGCCTTTTTCTGTCGTCTCTGTTTCCCCCGGTCGCAACATCAGATACCCAAACTTTGATACCCCCAAAGAGCTCTCGAGAGCTGACTGGTGTGCGCACACTGACAGACCCTGCCAGTCTAATCTGCTCCGAGACATTGTAAGAAGCCTGCCACCGTTGCGCAGGGACGCTTTTGTTGTCTTTCTGGAAAGCTGACTGCTTCTTTCCAGGACAAAAGCGAACAATAAGCTGTAATTCCAATTCACAGTAGAAACCATGGCTTCCCATCCCCAAGGAGAAGCTCTCGACAATGTCGAGCACAACCCGTACGCCTCCGCCAACAGATGGCGTCATCAGGAGAGTTCGGCTTTCGCGCGCCATGCCGCCGCCGCCCAAGGCACCACCCAGCCCCGCGACCCCCAGGAGCGAGGCACCACCGACGACCTGGCCAACTTCCTAAACCGCGACCGCGTTGAGCCCGAAAACCCCAACGCCCCTCCCAACTTCAAGCCTATCATGATCGCTGCTGGTGAGGCCACCGGCGAGGAGGCGCCACGCCCGAACCCTACTCACGCCAATGAGCGGGATGCTCCCGACGGCAGAGAGATTATCTGCGGTCCGCTGCTCAACTACCGTAGGATGGACGGGGATCGCTGGTACGGAAGCGTCTTGGTTATTGCCAAGGGCGGCGGCAAGACGCAGAGTTTCGCTCCGCACCTGGTCCTGCGTCCCGTCGACGCAGCCAATGGCCAGCAGGCCCATACCGAGTCGAATGGGGTGAACGGTACCAATGGCACTGTTAACAGCGAGGGCTCCCGCGCGGCAAACGGCGACAGTGCGAGCGGCACCGAGATCCAGGGTCAATGTCTTTACTCGGACCCGCGCAACACGTTTTGGGCCTTTGACCTGTCCCTTCCGCTCAGCGAAGCCGAGGCTAGATGGGAGTACTCGATTCCGGACATGCGACAGTCGGCTACCATCCGGCCTGACCGCTTCCACTTCTTCGTCCCCGCCATCAACGAGTCGATGCGCATCATGTTCCACTCTTGCAACGGTTTCAGTGTAGGCACCGATGAGGACGCCTGGAGTGGCCCCGCCTTGTGGAACGACGTCAACCGACACCACAAGGAACGGCCGTTCCATGTCATGTGAGTCCAGTGAGTCCGAGTCTGATGCGATGCTAGGTTACTGATGTCCTCAAAAGGCTCGGAGGAGGCGACCAGATCTACAATGATGGTATTCGAGTCGATGGACCCTTGCGCGAATGGACCGAGATCGCGAATCCCAAGAAGCGCAGACACTTCCCGTTCCCGGAGAAGCTGCGCCAGGCCTGCGACGACTACTACCTGAAGAATTACATCCGCTGGTAAGTAGCATAGAGGAGAGTTCAGAGATGGAACCTAACAACAAGAACAGGTACTCAACGGAGCCTTTTGCGACTGCCAACGCCCAGATCCCCCAGCTCAATATCTGGGATGACCACGATGTATGTTGCAATACTTCGACTTGCGTGACAGAGGCCGGCTGACCGGTACACACAGATCATTGACGGGTTCGGTTCGTACGTTGAAGACTTCATGCGATGCGATGTGTTCAGGGGCATTGGTGGAACTGCTCACAAGTACTACATGCTGTTCCAGCACCACCTACCTCCGCCAATGTCCACCTATACGTCGGGTGAGTATCGCTGCCCAACCGAGATGAGACTGGCGGCTAATCCCGTGGATAGACCCCACCACGACATCGGAGGTCCAAGGCCTCGACCCCAACCAGCTCATGGACACCTATGTTGCCCCTGCCAAGTCTGACCCCAGCTACATTGTTGGAAAGCAGCCTGGTGTAAGTGCTACTTGGGTCTCTTCAGAGCCACAAGCTAACCTGCTTAGCCGTACGTTGCCGAGCACTCCCACAACATGTTTGCCCGATTGGGAGCGCGAATTGCCTTCCTTGGTATCGATGCGCGAACCGAGGTACCTATCATAGGCCTGATACGTATGAGGAAATGCAGGAAGCTGACAAGTCGTAGCGCACTCGTCACCAGATCAACTACCCCGAGACTTACGATTTGATCTTTGGCCGTCTGAGGCAGGAGCTGAAGTCGGCCGCGGAGTCGGGACGCCCGTTCAAGCATTTGATTCTCCTGCTGGGAATCCCCATCGCATACCCTGTGGGTCTCCGTTGCTCGCGTGGCAGTTTGCGTCGAAAATTAACCCTTCCCTAGCGCCTGACATGGCTTGAAAACGTCTTCAGAAGCCCGATCATGGGCCCGGTGAAGTTCTTGAACCGGAGATTCGGTCTCGGTACGTGTCCTACGTGTAGCTGCCCGCATTCCTTAGTTTGCTAACCGTTTCCAGCCGGCGGCCTCTTCAACCACTTCGACGGCAGTGTCGACTTGCTCGATGACCTCGACGACCACTACACGGCCAGGACTCACAAAAAGGAACGCAATGCCCTCGTAGAGAGACTTCAGGCTATCGCGTCAGAGTTCTCGGTCCGTATCACCATTTTGGGCGGTGATGTGCACTTGGCGGCTATGGGCCGCTTCTACTCCAACCCACGCCTGAACATCGCCACGGAGAACGACCACCGTTACATGGCCAACGTAGTCTCTTCGGCCATCACCAACAAGCCTCCGCCAGCGGCCATCGCGAACTTGCTGGCCAGGCGGAACAAGATCCATCATCTGAACCACGACACTGATGAGACCCTGCTCAAGTTTTTTGACAAGGACCCGGGTGACACGAGCAAGACGTCAGGTTCCAACCATGTGACCATGCCCAGCCGTAACTTCGCGATCTTGACAGAAAACTCGCCTAACAATGGGCTCGCGGCACCCGTCAACGGCGACGCACGATCTATGATCTCGGGTAAGGGCGGGCACGAATTCCTGCACAACGGCGAGGTCGAGTCCGGCTCAAAACACAAGGCTGCCGGCCAGCAACACGGTACCGGCAATGATGGTAGCTTGGACATCTGCATCCGCGTTGAGATCGACCAATCCAACCGGGAAGGCATCACCGAGGGCTACGGCGTTACTGTGCCTCAGCTCAAGTACCGAAGCCAGCCCAAGCCGGTCGAGCCTTTCCCTGAGCAGGATCGCGCCGCTGGGCATGGAGAATAGAGAGCGCCATCCGCTGGTGTCGCGACTTCTCGGTGAGATTTCGAGCCGGCAGCGTATTTTTTCCGGCGATAATATCTCGTGTGACCGGAAGCTGATCCGAAGTGTAATTTTTTTTTCGGTTGCATTACGTTATACCCATGAAGGAGCTCATGTTGAGTGGCAGGTGAATGTTAGAAGTTGAGAGAGAGGGGCATCTGTGTGCTCAAGCTCTGCAGCATTTGTTGGAATTTTCTTTAAGCCGCGGGAGACCGAATAATGATATGATCGGTCCGAGAACGGGGCTAAGATACCTTGATTTCTTCCACTTTTTCTGTTTACCATTTCCCCTTGTCGTTAGTACTTAATCAATGCGCGGTTCGGAGCAATAATACAGATGTCGGGATGCCCTTCCGATCCCGATTTCCCCGTCGGGTCGGAATGGTTGATGACCTTATCTAATGTACTGGGTTCGCTGTCATTGGGGACCCCCCGGCACAGTTTGGCACAATTTATTGGGCAATGCTTTCCCCGCAAAGTGTCAAAGGGTCGCGATAGGCAGCTAGACAATGCTAGAGGCGTCGTTATCGCCATTGAGTGACATTAACACCCCGACGTCATTGGTTCTCCCGGGCGCCCCCTTGAATCTACCTGGATCCAGCGTTCCGAACTCCCACAACCCCTCACAAGCTCTCCGTCAATGTCTCGAGCTGTCCCGTCGCATTCTTAACCCGCGGCCACCCGACGAGTGGTTTCCAGATCGAAGGACCTGTCCGAGCTTTCTGCCAGGTTACGACGCGGAGACTTTATAGCCAGTCGATTGCACTTCTCCCACTCCAAAAAAGGTCTCTTGTCTTGTCTTAATCCTCAACCGCTGACATTTGGCGATCGACCATACGCTTCGCAACTGTTATGTGCGTTTGCTTGGAGGATTTCCTTCGTGCCCAATCCGCCGTTTGAAAGCGTTACCCTGCTGTTGCTCCTTCACATCTACTTACCCATCATGGCGTCTACACGAGCAACTGGGCTCTTGAACTCCCAATTTCGGAGCTCTGCCCGCATTACGTCTTTCGGACGCAGCATCTCTGCAGTTCCGACCTGCCGACTGACAACACGCCTGGCTGGCCCCGGAACGAGGACAACAACCAGAACGGTGGCTTCTGCTGCCTTCAAAATCCCCACCATCTCCAACGAGCCCAACGTAGGTGGCAGAACCCACGAAGCTGTATGAGTCGGCAGCCGTAGGGCATGATGGCTGACAGTCGCAATAGCATCACTACACAAAAGGCTCTGCCCAGCGTGAAGGACTCACTGCCGCGCTCGATGCCCTGCAGAGCAAGCTTCCTTTAGAGGTGCCAATTGTTGTCGCTGGCAAAGAGGTCGGCATTCCTGTTTCCCATCATCAATCGACCGAAGCGGTAACTGACACACTCCCTAGATCAAGACAGGCAACATCGGGAAGCAAGTCAACCCGGCCGATCACAACACCACCGTGGCGACGTACCACCAAGCCTCGCCGTCCGATGTCACCAAGGCAATCGGCTCGGCCCTTGCGGCCAAATCCTCATGGGAGTCCGTCCCCTTCGCCGACCGCGCCGCCGTCTTCCTCAAAGCCGCCGACCTCATCTCCACCAAGTACCGCTACGATATCATGGCCGCCACCATGATCGGCCAGGGCAAGAACGCGTGGCAGGCCGAGATCGACGCCGCGGCCGAGCTGGCTGACTTTCTGCGCTTTAACGTCAAGTACGCCGAGGAGCTATATGCCCAGCAGCCAGCGCACCACAGCCCCGGCGTCTGGAACCGCGTCGAGTACCGGGCCCTTGAGGGTTTCGTGTACGCCGTCAGCCCCTTCAACTTCACCGCCATCGCCGGCAACCTCCCCGGCGCCCCGGCGCTGCTCGGCAACGTCGTCGTCTGGAAGCCCAGTGACTACTCGATCGCGTCCAACTGGCTTGTCTACAACATACTGATCGAGGCCGGCCTGCCCCGCGAGGTCATCCAGTTCGTGCCCGGCAACCCCGAGGAGGTCACCAAGGCTGTGTTGGGGCACACAAAGTTTGCCGCCCTCCACTACACCGGCAGCACCGCCATCTTCCGCAAGCTGTACGGCGCCATCGGCGACGGCGTGGCCAACGGCCACTACCAGTCGTACCCCAGGATCGTCGGCGAGACGGGCGGCAAGAACTTCCACCTGATCCACCCCTCCGCCGACGTCGACAATGCCGTCAAGCAGACAATCCGTGGGGCGTTCGAGTTCCAGGGCCAGAAATGCAGTGCGACGTCGCGGGCGTACGTGCCCAGTTCACTCTGGCCCCAGTTCAAGGAGGGCCTGACTGCCGAAACCGCCAAGATCAAGATTGGCAACCCGGTCGACCACAGCAACTTCATGGGTCCCGTCATCCACGAGGGCTCGTTCAAGAAACTCTCGGGCGTCATCGATGCGGCCAAGGACGACAATGAGCTGGAGCTCATCGCGGGCGGCATGTACGACTCTTCCAAGGGCTACTTCGTGCACCCGACCATCTACAAGACGACAAACAAGAATCACAAGCTGCTGAGCACCGAACTCTTTGGTCCTGTGCTGACCGTCTACGTGTACGACGATGCGGTGAACCCGGCGCAGGCTTTCTCGGAGGTGTGCGACCTCGTCGATTCGACAGGCGAGTACGGCCTCACGGGCTCCATCTTCGCGACGGACCGCGCGGCGGTGCGGTTCGCCGAGGACAGGCTGCGCAACTCGGCCGGTAACTTTTACATCAACTGCAAGAGCACCGGCGCCGTCGTGGGGCAGCAGCCGTTCGGCGGCGGCAGGGCTAGCGGCACGAACGACAAGGCGGGCAGTCCGAACCTGCTCACCCGTTTCGTGAGTATGCGGAGCATCAAGGAGGAGTTTGCGGCGACGACCAAGGTCGAGTACCCCTCCAACGAGGTTTGAAAAAGGGCGACGGCACCGGGGCACGAGGTGGAGTATGAGCAAGAAGAGTAGCGAGGAGCTGTAAAATCGTAAAAAGGGATGGTGTTTTCTATTTCTTGGCATTGGGTATGGGGATTATCTGGCTTATCTACATACACACCCTTACTGGTACGGTACGAGCAAGGGGTTCTACGGGCACTTCTACCATAACGACGAATGGCTCAATCGACTTTCTTCTCTTTTTCTTCGGTAGCATTGAGGTTCAAGAGTGAGATGAGAAGCTTCGGGTTGCACGAATGGGCTTTTGGTCATCGGGATGCGTTGAGACAGTTCGTGAAAGCAAGACGTGGTCGCGGTACGAACGACGTACTGCCAAGACTTTTGATTTGGCGACATGGCAGGTGTCTTCTTCCCATGCCCGACGATATCCACGCCGTCACGTGCTTGTTTACTTTGGATGTTGAAAAGATCCTGACGTGAACCAAGCTTCTCGCCGGACGTTTGTATGTTGGCCCTGTATCTAGTGCACGATGGGTGGACCCACCGATTCCACAGGGGTTCCGGCTGCTAGTCCAGTTTGAGATGGCGGTCTTGGGGGGCTGGGGGGGACCATGAGAGCTTCGCCTCTTGTTGCTCCTCTTAAATAGAGTTCGGTCCCGGTTTTTGCTTTCCATTAGGGGAAGGAAATGAGGGGGAGGGGCGGGAAAGCCGCAAGCCATCGGGATCTCAGAAAGAGGCAAGCCGATCAGGACACCTCCTGGAGCAGCTTGCCATGAGCCGTTTGTCTGCTGCCTGTTGTTCCAAATGCCGTCGTACATATCGCGACGGGCGGGCGGCCTCTGGACCGTGAACATGGGATTGTCCCGAAAGGCAATTGGGGAGGCATTGAGGGAACCCGAGATAGGAAACGCTACCGCGGGGCGCGAGGCGGGTGAGAGGTGAGGGTAGGAAAAGAACTGGGAGAGATGGAAGGGAGAGGATTTGCCCACGTGCTCACTCTTGAAGCAGGACATAGACTGTGAGGTTCGTCATTGGTTGGATTCCAATGCTTCACCCCGTTCAATGACAGATACAGACGAGAGGCACGTTTGGCAGACGAGCAAGAGCACACGAGCAACATAGACGCACGCACGTGTATAGGTATGTGTGCACATGCCAACGACCATGCCCAAGGTGGGACGCCACACGGAACACGGAGACTACGACCGACCGGGGGGAGGACCATACCCCAAGGGAGTTTCAATCCATTTGGGAACATTTTGAGATTGGGCCAGTCGGCCAACAGGATCTCGACAACATGTCTCGTGCCTCTCTGATCTCTTGACAGGATTTCTCGGGCAAAGTTGCATCCAAGCCGGGTTTGGTAAGGTGAGAATATGCCACACACCACACCCGGGGAGTTGATTGACCAAGAAGAATCCACATCTCGAGGGCGTGGGACATAGTGCAATTTGGAGCCGATGATCCATGGTGGCAGATAGTGGCAGAGAGGAAACCTTGCGGCCCGGTCTTGGCGTCGGGATTGCGTGGTTGCCATTCAGGAACAACATGTGCTCGGGTCCGCCCCTCTGATTGGTCACCCACCTTGAACCCTCAATGCTGCCTCTCCTGCCCGTTTCTTCTCCCAGGAGTCTACGTCCGCCCTCCTCATTGGCCGCTCTTCTCTTCTATATTGTCCTTGTCTATTGCGCGCGTGTGTGTCTTGTTTACAGGGTCTCCCCTCTGGCACTTGTTCTTGTTTGGAGTCGCGTGCCCTCTTTCCTTCAGCCTAGTTCGTTGAAGCCCCGGACCCCTCCCCAGGTCCTTCTCTTTTCGTCGGGGTTATCGCCTATGTCTTCTGAAGCAGAAGCTCGCCCCCTCAGCCTTCATCCCCTCCATGACCAAGAGACTTGGGGGGGGCGTGGGGGGAGCCAGGTGTCTGCCAAGAGGTTGATGGGCATCTGAGGCGAGTGCCTTAACAGGTTACAGCCACCAGCCTGGGGTTGTGAATAGAAAGAAGAAGTCAAGGACGAACAAGCCAAGGATGATGAGGGTCAGACAATTCGTGCGCCGCCTCAACCTTTGTACTTCCCATGTCGTATCTTTACCCTACTTACCTACCTGCCTAGCTACCTAGGTAGCCACCCTCCTACCATCTACTTCTTCCTTTCACATTCCTACCTCTCAGAGGGACTCTCTTCTACATCGCCGCCCCAGGAGACATATGCCATCCCCTTCCCGTAACTCGCGTGCTCTTCACCTTCTCGGTCCCGCCTAGTGACCAGAGCAGAGCAGCGAATTGGACTCGTATCCTCGTCTGGTATATTGTCGAACTGGTACTCGTACATCGAGTGCCAAGTCGCAACCTGTATTAGCCGGCTGCCTCCTTCATCATCCGGCATCGACTGTCCGTCAGTATAGCCCCATAGCAACACGTCGACCGATTTTGTACGCTCAGCACAGGACCTCGAATTCGCACACTTGGCCATTCTCCGGCGCGGATTATTCGTTCTGTTAATCGTCAACATCTTTCATTTCTCTTTATCGTCCTCCCCCTCTTCCATATACGCACGCACACACGCACAAGCAAACACAATGCCACGTCCGACGTTACCACTCACGCCGGCGTCCTCGACGGACATAAAGGGCCAAGACGGTTCCAAGAACCTCAACTCACTACAGCTCTCCTTCGAATTGCCGCCCCCTGCCATTATCCAAGACGCCTCAGGAATCTCCCCCAAGGACACACGGACGTCCCCTAACACCGAGTTTCGGTCCATCCTGCCTTCCAAGACAGCGTCATATCCAGTACAGCCCAGCGAGACGGTAAAGTCCCGCCGGCGTTCGTCAGCGACCCAAAGGGCGGCTTCGAACCAAAGCTTCGCGCTGCCCCCGCCGCCGACGCGGTCTCGCAAAATCATCCAGATGAAGCCTCGTGCGGCGCAGGAGGAACCTGAGGAGGCACCGGTCGCCACTGGTGCCAAGTCGGGGGCATCGGGTCCGGGAAAGGCCGTTGCCGCGGCTGCGGCGGCCGGAACCGCCACAACAGCGCAAGGCAAGAAGAAGCAGCCTTCGACGACGAGCGCGGCGGGCCGCAAGATTGCCAGGAAGACGGCGCATAGCCTGATTGAGCGGCGCCGGAGATCAAAGATGAATGAGGAGTTTGCTGTGTTGAAGGGCATGATCCCAGCCTGCACGGGGGAGATGCACAAGTTGGCTATCTTACAGGTGAGTTGTGCCGATTGTGCTCTTCCGTATTCCTCAGCTACTGACCGGAAGCGATTTGCAGGCATCAATCGAATACGTGAGGTACCTCGAAGATTGTGTCGCCAAGCTCAAGGCCCAACGGACCGCGTCCGAGGCCCGCTCACCCACCGAGTCCGGCTTGCAGACCCCCGGAGGCCGTGGCGAGTCGTGGGGCCCCATCCCGCAGTTCGTCCCCAAATATCAAGAAGACCCCGACGACGTCGAGATGACCGACTCGGAAGCCCCGTCGCCTGCCTTACTCCCCCAGGACGCCAGCTCGAGGCACCGCCACGACTCATACTCCTCCGTGTCGACAGACCACCCAAGACAATACAACTATAGCACGTCCACGACGACGTCGCCTGCCTTTGGGCCACAGACGTATGTCGGGTACGGTCACGGCGGTGGGCTCGGGTCGGCGCTTACTAGTCCCGCTTTGGCGCCGCAAAGGGACCTGGACCAAGAGGCAACGGTTGCTTTGTTGATGTTGAATAGCGATCGGAGGGGCACCGTCGGGGACGCGAGTACAGGTGCCAGTGCCGGTGCCGTGAGGAGTGCCGGAAGGGGTATGTCGGTGAGGGATCTGCTCAGCACATGAGAGGGTGAAGGTGCCAATGCACCGTTGCAGGTGGTTCGGTGTCATTTTCAGCTTGGGAGTCGGGCATCATCATCTCATGTTAACGCGCGTCATGGTTTGGACTTCCAAAGGAATCCTTGGGGTCTGAAAACTTGGGACGAAGAGTGGGCGCGCTTGGGTGGAACGACCCAAGGGTCTAGACCTCCCTCGAAATCCTATCAAACCTTTCGGGGATTCGCAATTGGGTTGTGTGGTTGTCCGTCTGGACTACAACATAAGGTCGCATTTTGAAGAGAGCACAAAAGGCATCGATGCGCAGGGATCGGGAGCCATGAGCTTTGCACGGCTTCGGCGGTTGGAGTTCGGCGCATTATATGTGCTTTGCTTTTGTGTTTCCCAGCCAAGCTTGATCGATTCATAAATGAAGAATCAATATCACGGCTGATGCTATGGCTAAAACAATGACAGGCAAAAATCATAACATGGCTGGATTCTAGTCAATTGTTGGTGTACCCTCTTACCTGTCTTGATGGAGTCGAACGGCTTGAGGCCAACAGATAACGGAGGGGCTGGCGATCAATGACAAGGTGTTTGACCCTCTCGACCCCGACCGGCAATCCCTCGACGACGAAACCCTCAGCAGCTCGGCGTCGGGGCAGGAGAGGGCCTCATGCTAATGGTGGACAGACACTGCTGAAAGACAACCGCTGCTACAGTACGGGTGGCCTTTTGGAGAGCACGCCTGGTCTGAGTTGCTGCCGGGATCGCGACATCGAAGTTGCATTGCGGTTTCAGGGTCGGGCGGCATCGTACGAGATCCTCACGCGTTGTTCTCCACCATCGACCCATCACGTGACGCATTCGCCCACCCGCCCGCGAAGGGTCCGTGTAAGTCGAACGTCCAGGGTGGTGTTTGGTTTTGAAGGGCGGGTTTGAAACTTTTAACGGGCAAGGGGCCGCTGTTGTTGCGTCCTTTTCTTTTTTTTTTTAGGGGGGAGGGGAGGAGCGAGTCGGGGGATGGTATATAACCCAGAGTTAGGTATGCTTCCGGGGATTCTCGCGGGATCAATCTGCTCGGTATCAGACGACTTTGCTTTTGGTGTTTTCGGAAACTGTTCAAAACCCCTTTAGTTTGTACAGCGCGATACCTCAAGTTCACCAAGACCTTAGAGCCACCATCACACGGTCGTCCTCTCTCACGCAGCCGGTACACAAATAGCGACCACAACATCTTCCGACCAGGCTTCCTAGAACCGGATCTCTGAAGCACAACGAGAAACCAAGTCGAGTTCCTTGAGGCAGAAAAAAAAATGGCGCCCAGAAACATCATGACATCCGTCCCGCAGCCTTCGCGCCGCCGCTTCGCCGCTCCCCCGTCCCCAGGCGGCCGAAGTGACCTCATCCCTGACCAGGACGACATACTCGCGGAGTTGGGCCTGCAAGTCGACGACTCGGCATCCAGCGTGGGCGGCTCGACGACGGGCATCTCAACGATCGACTCAGGTATCAGCGTGGACGGCAGTGGGAGCGGGGGCGGACGCCGCCGCCGCCGCAGGCGGAACCGGAACCGTAACAACCAGGGGAGCGAGAACAACGCAATCAACATTAACAACAACGGCAGCAACGGGAAGGGCAACTTCAACAAGCAGGCCACGTTGACGATACCGCATCAGGGCTGCAGCGACAGGGACGAGAGGCCCGTAAAATTGAAGCTTGGGCTAGACCTGGACGTGGACCTGGAGCTGAAGGCCAAGCTGAAGGGTGACATTTGTATATCTCTCGTGTGAGTCGCCGATTTGCTCCGATCCTCCTTTCCAGCTCCTTCCCCCTCCCTCTAGACCTCCTTTTTCATTCGTAGCTGACGGCAACTAACCAGGCGAGACTGAGAAAAGGGCCGAGAGAAAGACGTTCTCCAAGCGCGGGTCGACGCGGGTGAAGCCCAACTGGCGGGGCGAGGTCGACGTCGAGGAGATTTTCCACATGCGCATCGGCAGGTTCAGGTTCAGGCAGCGCTGGATCGAACGAGAGGTTAGCGAGAGCCTCACGGCTGCGGTCGCATTCTGCATCGCCGTGGGCGGATTCGTCGCGGGGCTCGCGGCGTCGCAATGCCTTGGCTGAAGGTTCTCACCTCGCCGTCCCCGTGGCGAATCGTTGACGGCTCTTTCCCAAATGTCTGGGCGAGCCACCACAAAAAAATATTGATTTGTGTTTACACGGTGTATTTTTCATTTTCTTCTTCGTCTTATTATTATCATTGGGAGGACGGCGTTCCGGAGCAGGCGCTTTCTAGGTTGGGAGGAATCTCCCTTCATGTGGAGATTGAAAAAGGGAATCGATGGTCTGGGGCACACGAGGAGAGAATCTCCAGCATTATCGCTGGGTAAATTCACCAGTAACAAAAGTTCTACGCTCTTCCGGCTGATGGGTTATTCCAAACCGTGTAATTAAGTTACAACAACTCTGGTAAAGTTCGCCGTGAGGGGTGTTGAGCAGGGGCCGAAAATTGGGCCAATAAATGCCTACACTATATTTTTGAAGGCTGAAGAGTATCTGCTGATCGAAATCATGGAAGCTTGGGTGCGAGGAGCGATTGCCGTGTTGTGTATCAAGGAACTCGTTGCGGTAGGGGCTGGTATCTCTACACTTTGTCGGCTGATCTACTCCTTGTCGGTTTCGTGGGTTTTGTTATCCTAAGGCTGTTTCTTCTTGTTCTTGTCCATGGAGCTATAGAAGAGACATGGGGGTCTTCTTCAATATTCCCGTTCACCATACGGTAGCCTGGTAGTCTGCTATCATGCTTTGTATGGTGGTGCATTTATCTGGTTGATGTAGGTAGATGAGCAGTGCTGATCAGGCCTCTCCCACCAAAGCCCACTGCAGAGTCGAATACGGAGGGCGGCGCAAGCTTTCGGTAAGCGAAGTACTAGCGCCGCTAGCGCCCTGTCGACCATTCCCCACACAAGCTCTAGCTGGCTTCCTAATCGGGCTGATCCGACAGGGTCTCGCGTTCCCAGCAGCAACCTCAAAAAGGCCCAGACCCTGTCGCTGCGATTTTTTTCCACGACGACTTTCCTCAGCTCACGCCCACCCCCCCATCAGCCCCGGCTCATCACCAGGCCCAACTTCATCGCACACGAGACGTTTGCAATCCGCACTGCGCGGCGAATCCGGCCCCTTTGAGTACCTTCTAAGCCGGGACACAATGGCGGCCGTTTTGGCTTACATCAAGGACTGCGTCCTCGGCGTAGCACTGGGCGTGGGCAGTTTCTTCAGAAGCATCGTGAACTGGCTCAAGATGGCATATTCCCCGTAAGGCGTTGTCGTTGTGATGCATGATAAAAATGTCGTTCGTGCGCTGACATGAATAAGGAATCCGTACTACCGTGGCAATATGTTGACCGCCCTCGCCGTCAGCGGGCGGCCCCCTTTTGAAGGCAGCCTGCGCATGGTGATATCCCAGGTGTTCCAACCTTCCGACTGGACAGTCATGGAAGTGTCCGTCATAAAGCCCAACGGACCCCCCTTCAGGGCTGTGCTAAAGATGTTCGACCGCCGCTTCTCGCCATGCGTGCAAGGCCTGCGGCTTCGTCGGGGCACCGGCGAATGGACGCCCGAGTTCGAGCGGGAGTTTGTCGACTACGTCCGCCGCGGCGCCGCCAAAGAGTACCTCTGGAGGAGCGACGATGATTCCGAGGTCGACGACGCCCCGAGGAAGCTGAACAGGCTCGAGGAGGAGGTTGACCGGCAGACTGAATGCGAGACCATTTGCAACGAGCGCGCTAGTCGCTTACAGTCTCGGATGGGCGCCGAGAAGGGCATCAGGTTACCCAAGACGTATTGCACGGTGCGGATGGCGATTCAACAAGATTTTGATAACCGGTTACTCGAGGTGACCGGCATACTCATGGAATACGTGCCGGGATTCAGCTGCGATCTCACGGAGTGAACAAGGCTCCGGGTATAACCCTATACTTACGTATTGTCGATCTGCAAGCGGTGAGCCATGTCAGCTTCAGAAGGAGGACAGAGTTTTTTTGTCTTTTGCGGCGGCGGCCAGCATTAGCCACTGAGTCTTGAAGGGTCGAAGAGAGAAAGGATATGCTCGCTGCGGATATACGTGCCCGGCTAGAAGTTTGGGCAACATTCGGCACGAGGGCTCCAGAAGACTATACGTCCGGCAGACGGTCGGGAACGGCATGCGGACGGTGGGCTCATGCCTCATCTACTGTCCGGGGCTTACGGATGTCGGCCGACTCGATTGGAGGGAAATGACCGGATCGGGCAACAAGCTCCCTCAACACTGGTCTCAACTCCCACACGGGCCCGGCGTGTGCGACAACGTGAGGTCTCTGTTAGAGCCACCATTCAAATCGAAACTTTAATTTATACACGAGAATTTTCGATTCAAGCTACCATTTTCAACCGTCCTCCAAGGGTGGCGGCCTCCTCAGCACCGCTCCCTTCCTCAATGTCACATTTGGCCAATTGCCAGACGGTTCGCAGCCTTAAAGAGAGAATGACCTTCCCCGGATGGAGCCCAGTTACCGGTATACGGTCACCAGCAGCAATCTCTGCTACTGACAGCCATTCTCGGTCTTCTGTCTCAGGGGTCAAAGGATGGGCCGAAGATGAACGAAGCGGCGTCGAACTCGCGACTAATCAATGACGGTAGGCTGCGGCGGCTCCGCTTATTCGAGGCGAAAGCAGTCCACGGGCTTCGAGGGCCGACCTGCTTAGTGACCATGTAGTGCTGGCAGACATACCACAAACTGTAGGTTATGGCGGCGAGCCCGGTTGTTTGCACCATGCTACGACTTTTGCGCCAACAGTGTGCAAGATGAGAGGACACAGCTAGAGGGCTCGTGACCGGTGGGCATCGCAGCAATGCTGTAACACCCAGCCAACGGAGCCGCTGCCGACTGCTGCGCTGTACTACAGTAAACGACGAGCCCGTCATGACCCACCCGGCCGAACACAAGCTTTGCCAAGCTAGGCAAGAACATGGAGTTTTGCTGTGGCTGCATAAAGGGAACAGGGGGTTGTCTTGTGCTTGATATTTCGGCGTTTGTCGCCCTCAGCTCTCCCGCCCACGCCGTGGCGGGAACCAACAGACTTTACGAAAGCGGTTCAATGAGGGCAAAGGATGAAGGAATCCCAAGGTCGAACACCAAACGATCATGTCAAGGACTATTTGGGTTTCCGACCCGGCACGTTGTGATCGCATTGCTCCACCACTGTTCCGACTTGCATCTGAGGAGAGAGGCTACGAGGCGCAGTTGCCAATGGCCACGTTGGACATATTTTTGTATACTCGGAGCCTGCGGTCGGCTTTTGCGTCATGTGGACAGAGTTTCGTCGGTCGGTCTTCAAGCTGAGGGTACGGTTACGCCACCCCAAATCTCACATGTTTGAATGTGGAGAAAAGATTTGGTATATTGGAAGGAAAAGGACACATGGCGCCTGATCCATTTGAATGCAGCAGCCCTTTTATGATACCAAAGGACAGATTTACACGTACCATCAGAGTTACTGTGATACCTCACTTCATCGAATCGTTTTCCTGTCCAAAAGTATCCGCTAAACGCCTCTGCCCCTTCGCTTGATAACGGGCTTCCTCACAGCCCCGTGCGTGATAATCTTCTTCCCCCCCACCGCGACCGTGCCGGGCTTCTTCTTTGCGGACCTCTCTTTCTCGGCCTCCAATCTGTCCTCCTCCCTCTTCTTGTCCTCGGCCATCTTCGCCTCGATCTCCATCTTGCGGTTGAACTCGGTCTCGGTGATGCGCTTGTCCCGCACCGAGTACCCCTTCTCCTTGACAGAGTAGAACACGCCGCCCAGATCGGCCAGCCAGTGCGGGTCCACCGCCGTGACGGTCGAGACGTACACTTTGGACGTCAGGATGAGCTCGTGGTAGACGACGTAGTCGGGTGGGTGGCCCGCGTACAGGGCCGACGTCGGGTGCAGCTGCACGCCGAGGTTAGTGCGGAGGTTGATGTACTCGCCCGAGCCCTTGTATTTGGCCGCCTGGTGGTAGTAGCCGCTACAGATGCACTTGCGGATGATGTCCCAGTCCATGCCGCAGCTGAGCATCTCCATCTTCTGCATCTTCATGATGTCGAGCAGCTGGTCGCGAATCTCCTTGGCGCGGCGCAGCGACTTGGGGTGGAGGAAGTGCTTGATGCACCAGCCGTCCGAGCATCCGTTCGACTTCCACGCCGAGTACACCTGCAGATACGTCAAGTGGTCCGACTCGTGCACCCAAAACTTTTCGCGCTGCGCGTCTGCCTCTTCCTGGCGTTCCTTTGGTCTGTAGAAGACGTTTGGAACAGAGAGCATGGACACGATGGTGATCATCTCCTCGCTGCAGCCGTACTCCTCGGCCGTGATGAGAAGCTTGGAGAGCGACGGGTCCATGGGGAACGCGCTCATTTTTCGGCCAAGCGGTGTCAGCTCGCCCAGATTATCCAGAGCACCCAACGCCCACAGGTCAAACATGGACGTTGTGATGGTGTCCTGCGGTGGCGGGTCCATAAAGTCAAAGTCGAGCAAGTCCTTGACGCCCAAGGACTTGAGCATAAGTACAGTGTTGCTCAGGTTCGTCCGTTGGATTTCCGGAATCGTCTGCATGTACAGTTCCTCCTTGAACGCCTTCTCGGTGAACAGGCGGAAGGCTTTTCCAGGGCCCGTTCTGCCGGCACGTCCCGACCGCTGCGACGCGTTTGCCTGCGAGATGGGGGTGATCTGGAGGGTGTCCATACCCATCTTCGGGTTGTATACCTTCATCTTGCTATACCCGGCGTCCACCACATACTTGATACCGTCGACGGTCAAACTCGTCTCGGCGATGTTCGTGGCGACGATGCACTTGCGCACGCCCGGCGGCGCCCTGTCGAAAATCTTGGATTGCAAATCTGCAGGCATCTGACTGTAAATCGGCAGTATGCTCAGTTTTGGAGGGTCGTTGAGCGCTTCGAGCCGCCGTTGAATTAGCTCGCAGGTGATCTCGATATCCTCTTGTCCCGTCATGAAGACGAGAATATCGCCCTGGTCCATGGATACGTGAATGGCCAAGACCTGTTGTACTGCCTGGTCTACATAATCCTCGACCGGTGACCTGTGGAACATGACATCGACAGGGAAGGTTCGGCCCGGGATGACGAACTCCGGTGCTCCGCCGTAGAAGTCTGAGAACCGCTTCGCGTTCATGGTCGCGGACGTGACAATTAGCTTCAGATCCCGCCGTCTCTGGAGAATCTTTTTGAACAGTCCCATCAGTATGTCCGTGTTCAGGGCGCGCTCGTGCGCCTCGTCCATAATGACACACGAGTACCTGTCAAGATCGGGCTCGTTGAGCGATTCTCGCAGCAGGACACCATCAGTCATGTATTTGATGACAGTGTCCTTGCTGGTGCAGTCCTCGAATCGGATGGCGTAACCCACCGTGCTGCCGAGCTTCACCTCCATCTCCTCGGCGACACGCTTGGCTACGCTCATTGCGGCTACACGTCTCGGCTGCGTGCACCCAATCATGCCTGACTTTCCAAACCCGTCTTCGTGGAGGAACTGCGTCAGCTGAGTCGTCTTGCCAGACCCCGTCTCACCGACGACGATGATGACCTGGTTCTCCCGAATGACGCGCATCAAATCCTCACGGACCGCGAATGCAGGCAGATACTGTCTCTGCTCGCGGAGCGTTTTGCTTCGGCTAAAGTCACTGCCGCCACCTTCGTCCTTTTTCATGTAGTCGCTGAACTTGTTGCTGTTGCCGTTCTCTACGGGTTCATCTCCACCTTTCTTCTTCGAGTCGTTCTCCGAAGCGACGGGTAGCGCGCTGTCCCCGTCGTCCTCCTTCACGCCCATCAGATTTCCCAAGGCGGTACCGGCAATGTTTGTGGCTTCTTGTGCTTGCCTTTGGCGTTCCCGCTGCTGGCGCGCCTCCTTCACTACTTTGCTGCCTTTCCGGCTGAATACGGCCATGTCGCTCTGGTAGTCGCGCACAGCGGGGACAGGCTCCAACTGTTTCGTGAAGATGGTTCGGCCATCAAGGAAAGGTGGCCTCAGGTCGTGCACCAAAAGATGAACACGTGTAGCCTCATCATCGTCGAAATCGGCGCCCATGTCCCTCCTCTGCGCCACGCCGGACACCAGCATCCGATTCGTCTCCCACGCATCGTTCTCCCTCTGTCGCTGCTCCTTCCGCGCGTCGAAGCGACTTGACATCTTCTCCGCCTTAACAGCTTCTTGCTTCTCGGCCTCCCATGATGCATACGACGCAAAGGGGTTGTGCGAATCGTCACCAAATGTGTGTCCGCCGAATTCGTCGCCCATATACCAGTCGCGATCCAGCGCTTTCGAGTCTTCGTCAGTCGGCTCTGGAACGTCACGAGCTGGCGTCTCGGCGGCGCGGGAGTCGCGTGGTGTCGAACGGCCCGAGTCCTGGAATCTCCCTCCCTCTATCCTCCGGCGCTTGAAGCTGGGACCTGATCCATCTCGGTTGTCGTACATATTGCCGCCGGTCTTGCGGTCGCGAAGGCGTCACCTAGGCTTCCTGTATCCTTCGGGCTCGAGCCTCCGTCAAGATGAACGTGGCCTACACGATGCGCTGTCGATTACGCGTGAGTCGGCTGGGTACGAGGCAGGTTGCGATGTTGACCCGGAAATTCATATGGAGTAAGTTGAGGCAGAGCAAGTAAACAGAACTCGAGAACTGGGCCGGTTCACAAGGCGCACTTGAGTGGAGCCTGTGGCTCAGGTGCACATACCCTTGGTAGCAATCACTCACTGGTTGTTCGGCTAATGCAATAAAGAAAGGGTTCTGGCTTCGGTGAGTGTCTCTGGGGATTGCCACCAACGTGAAACCAGCTATAAGTAATAAAAAAATAAAACCACAGCCCGCAAGGAACCCGCTCTCTCGGATCTTTCTTCAAGGCACTTGCTAGGTAATTTCGATGGAGTTTGGCAGCCTTGTTTCCTCCTACGTGGTGGATATGGTGGGCCGCATGTCGCGACAAAGGTCCTTGTGCGGGTTGTTTATCGATAATAAGATAAGATAAACCCCACCTTCGAATATTTTTTTTTCCCATTGCGCGCTTCACACACATTGTCGGTGGGAGCAAATGGAGAGACGATTCCCTTCACCGGATCCGACTCTCTGAAAAGTTTTGGGATCTGTTTTTGACGATTACATACGCACTCTCTTTCTTTTTTGGAAATTCTACAAGGACCAGGTCCTTCTACGTATTAGCAATAAACATACCCGATCACCAGCGACATAACTCTTTGAAGCGACCTTCAAGATGTCCATGATCACCACATCCACCTGGGTGCCTCGAGGCTTCGCGGCGCCCTTCCCCTCGAAATACACATTCGACGAGAGCGAGTACGAGCGCATAGCTGAGCTCGCCAAGTTGCAGCTGGACGACGCCGAGGAGGACCTGCAGGAGGCGCAGGATGCGGAGGACGGTGTCGCAGCCAAGATCACCGACGATGCGGCCGACACGAAGGGGTCGAAGACGGAAACGTTAGTCGACACCAGTCTCTACATACGAAGGCGCACTGGCGCTCATATTTGGGAGGGTATGACTTGCTGACCGCATCTCGAACAGTGTCAACCTTGACGACGAGGACCTGAAGGAGTACGACCTGGAGCACTATGACGACAGCGACGAGGACGAGGAAAAGGTCGGCCAGGGCGAGGGAATGGCCATGTTCGGCAACATCAAGTCGCTGGCCTACTACGAATCGAACAAGGACGACCCGTACATCACGCTCCATGGCAACGGCGGGCCGGACGATGACGACGACGAGGACCGCGAAGACCTGCAGATCCTCGCGACCGACAACCTCTTGCTCGCCGCAAAGGTCGAGGACGAGATGGCCCACCTCGAGGTCTACGTCTACGAGGACTCGGCCGACAACCTCTACGTCCACCATGATATCATGCTCCCCGCGATACCCCTCTGCGTCGAGTGGCTCGACATCCCCGTGCAAAAGGCCGGCGTCGACAAGGACTCGACGGCCAACTTCGTCGCCATCGGCACCATGGACCCTGATATTGAGGTCTGGGACCTCGACACCATCGACAGCCTGTACCCCAACGCCATCCTGGGCCAGGCCGGCGAGGGCGCCGAGGACAAGAAGAAGAGGAAGAAGAAGAAGGCCAAGAAGGCCAACGACGAGTATCACGTCGACGCAGTCCTCGCCCTCGCAGCCAACAGGAAACACAGAAACCTCCTGGCTTCTGCCTCCGCCGACAAGACAGTCAAGTTGTGGGACCTGCACACGGCCAAGTGTGCCAAGTCGTACTCCTACCACACGGACAAGGTGTGCTCTCTCGCATGGCACTCGGTTGAGACCACCGTGCTGCTGAGCGGCAGTTACGACAGAACGGTCGTCGCCGCTGACATGAGAGCCCCTGAGGCGAAGGCGCCCAGATGGGGTGTCGAGAGCGACGTGGAGAACATCCGGTGGGACCCCCACGACCCCAACTACTTTTACGTGTCCACGGAGAACGGAATCATCCATTTCCACGACGTCCGTAATGCGCCGGCAACTCCCGAGGCGACCAAGGCGGTGTGGACGCTGCAGGCGCACGACGAGTCCGTCTCCTCGTTTGACATCAACCCTGTCGTACCCGGCTTCCTGGCCACCGGGTCGACCGACAAGACGGTTAAGTTGTGGAACATCCAGGCCAGCGGCCCATCCATGGTGATTTCCCGCAACCTGGACGTCGGCAAGGTTTTCTCGACGCAGTTCGCACCCGATCCCGAGGTCGCGTTTAGACTCGCCGTTGCCGGCAGCCGTGGAACCATGCACGTTTGGGACACGAGCACCAACGCCGCGGTTCGACATGCATTTGCCGAGCGCGTCCCGCAGAAGCCGGAAGGTGTTGAGGAGGACCGCCTCGTCGGCGTCCTGGATGATGACAGCAGCTCCAGCGAGGACGAGGGCGAGGAGGGCGAGAAGGATGGTGATGAATCGATGGACGAGGACGAGGACTAAGGCGAACGAGGGCTAATCATATGGTCCTTCACTTGTGAAAATATCAGGGACATGCCATCTGGTTGAAGATCTTCAGGGGGACATCTTCTTGGTCGGGGATAGATGAATCAAAAAAGGAGGCCGAGTATCTGCACGGCGCCAGCACAGCCGAGGGTGGAGCCCCAACCACGAGAATGGTGGTGAGGATGGTGGTGGGACGGCGCCGTTGAGAGCGGGGAGGAGAGCGGACTAGAGGAAGGGGGGGAGGGGGGGGGTGTTCCGTGTTGGAAAGCAGCTTTTGACTTGCGGGAGAAGGTCTCAAATCGTCCGAAGTCAATTGCCGTCTTCGAAACGGCAGTACGAATCAACCGAATGAGTTTCGTAGCGACGGATAGCCAAGACTAATAAGACTGTCATACCATGCACGCACTTTCAAACCGGCGAAAGCAATCATTGAGAAAGCGTTTTGTTTGTTAGAGAGATCAGAGACCGGTGCACTGTAAGTGAGCTGGTCTGCAAGTCGAAACGAACGTGCTGCTGCTACTGCTTCTGTCCTGACGATGAACTGCTGCAGTGAGTCAAAGAGTTGTGCTAATTAAGGATGGACATGTGGGTGACAGGCTTATGCACACGACGTAGTGGAGGATGGTGTGGGTCTGCAAGGTAAAGTGCTTAGCACTTGGGCGACAAATGGTAGTGGCAAGGTGGTGAGGAAAAGCGGCCCTTTTTCTTTCTTTCTTTTCTCCATTTTTTATTTTTATTTTCAATATTTTGACCTTTCGTCACCTAGTGTCTAGATATCTGATGTCGGATAAGAACAAGACCCGGGCATTGCTCATTTGGCGACCACGGATCTGTTCGTGCGTGTACTGTGCTGTTTGTGTACTGCCTACGGTATATCTATGTGTGTGCGCGCCATGTGGTGTGGGCCGTGTGTGTGTGTGTGTGTGTGTGTGTGTGTGTGTGTGTGTGTGTGTGTGCGTGTGCGTGTGCGTGACGCGTGGAGACGTGACTCTGGTGCCGGACAAATTGATTTAGGTTGCAGCAGAAGATGTGACAATGAGGTTGTAATGACTGGATGATTCTAAGTTGTTTGGGATTTTCGCTAGCATCCCGGCCTGGGGCCGCCTGCAAGACGCAAGAAACAAGCAAACGCAAATGGGTAGCGGTTAACAGGCAGACACATTGCGGGGCAGCACTTGAGTCACCAAAGTACCTCTTGAAGTCTCTCGCTTAATCCTGCACAGACCTACGCACAGACCAGCTCACCCTTTTCCTAGAGAAAAAAGAAAAAAACAGAGATATCTCTATCAGCTTAAGGTGCATCTAGAATATAGTAGCACAAATCAACTTTTTAGAGAAATTTACCCCTAGGAGCTCTAAGATTAGTAAAAGATAATTAGGCTATAGTATACACTATTATAGAAGCTCTATTTTTCTCTTTTTATTGACTTAGAAGTTAAGGATTTGAAGTTGGTGGTGTGGGGACAGAGAAGTTAGTGGTGTGGGGACATAAGTGACTTAAGAGGAGGTGGGTCAGTACTTTGAGATAGTCTGAGATGCTAAGGTTTGACCCGCAATCTGTCTGCCTGTTAACCGCTACCACGCAAATGAAGGAAGGGGGGAAGAAAAAAAAAAATCGGTTCCGGATCGACTGGTGTGGATCCTCGTGCCGCTTGCGCAGGCACGAGAGGCAGGCAGGCGGCTCCATTGGAGTGGGATGGATGGCGCAGGATGAAACAGTGAAACTGCAGGGGGTGGGTGTCTCTGCTAAACGGAAGAAGGATGGCAGACAGAACATCCAGCCAATGGTGCCTATGCATCTGTCTACATCAGGACTTGGGCTGGCGGCAACGAGGCCATTCTTGACGGCTAGGCCTTTCTGCTTTACCAGACGCTCTTGTCGACTCCTGGAGGCGTTTACTCCAATCACTGGTCCAACACCGATGATCCCCACAAACTCACCATCGCCCCGGCCCCCAGCGCCTTCTCCCTCTCCGTCCGCGGCTCATCACGTCACACTGTAATCGGTACAGGGACGGGGTCTCTTTTGCCTCCGGGGAGAAACCTGGCAGTTGGACAATGCGCCACGGCTCGGCCATTTCGAATCGCATAACCTTCTTCCGGGATGTGAACCCGTCGGGACCCGTCGGGGGCCCATCAGGTAGTTGGGCGAGAAGCCGGTGGATCATGCCCTCTTGTCGGGATGCTGCCCTGATGGTGGCATCCTCGGATACAATACAAGTACTCCGTACAGTATGAGCAACACAAAAGAAGGAAAAATAAGAAAGGAAAAAAAAAAAAAGCGAGAAGAAGGAATTTGCCCACCAGCTACGTCAGACTCCTCCAAGAAAGGCCCACGAAGTGTTACCTAGCTTTTTGTCTAGACATAGTTTCCACTTGCTTTTGTGTGTCGGCCAGCAGTTCGCTACAAGCAACGCCGTGTCCCTTCCACTTCCACTTCCACGGCAACACGGCGGGGAAGACATGGCGGTCGCAGCCCGACACATGTACCGTACGCCCCGTGAGGTACATATGCAAACGCAAATGCTGTTTTGTCGGCTGGCCGGGTACATGGCGAGTACCTATCGTTAGAGTTCATATCGGTCTGCGAAGGTGTACCCTGGATGAGCTGTCAAAAGGGAGCAAGTGAGGCACCGGACTGGTCTCAACTGTGCTGCTGGTCCGACGATGCCAGCCTCTTTTGTTCCCTCCTCTTTTTCTTTTTGTTTTCTTTCCTTTACCTTTCCCAAGAAAGGCAGACGATGACATACGCTATTTCCCACCCCTGGTTGAGCCGCGGTTTGGGCTCGCGGTTGGCGTCGATGCAGATTGCATCCCACCGTTCGAGTGGCGCCGGCTTCAAAGCGCTGCTTGGCGGATGGGTGGCGGTTGTCACCTGCAAGCCCGGCAGACGCATGGTTGTACAGGCCGATGTGCGGTGATACATAGGTATCTAGGTATTCCTTGGGAGGAGGGATGTCACTTGTCAGTTTGTGGAAAAGGGCCTACCCGCCATCAAACACCGACTGGAGTGGTCGGCAGACAAGGGAGTCGATGGTTGTGCAGATACCGTAATGGTAACCAAATAGGGGATGACCACACGCATTACACTCGAAAAGGGAGGGTGACTGACTGGCTGACTGACCGAGTGACGAACGACGGCAGGGACGGCTAAACTACAATAGGTCAAGCGCGGCCGTGTGGAAAGAAGAAGAGGGAAGGGACCAGGGGTTCGTGACGAACTAAAGCTGTCATTGGCGCAGAGGCTATCTTGTTCGGGTCTTGGCGCTGGAAGGCGGGACCCAGCAGCTCCAACGCTAGCGAGCACACTGTGAGGGCCAAGGAAGCTTTTCCCTTTTGGCTCAGCATGGACCCATTATCGGCTGGGGGCACGAAAAAGACAGCAAGGATGGATGGGGTAAGGTAGCCAGCGCCTGGGCATTTTATCCTAAGCGGCAGTCTCCAGTCGTTGGCTCTAGCCCCTGCGGAGAGGGAAAGCGAGCCTCCAGGTCCAACCAGAAGGGGCGACGAGGCAATCAAAGAGCGACATGCCCCAGCCAGGACCTACTGTACCTGCGAGGGGGCCCATTCGTCGTTATTTGGAGGGAGGGGGTGTAAGGGTTTTCGGGGCCGGTCAGAAGCTTGGACCAGACAGGACCGAGGATCAGAGGGCAGACAACTGTGGACAGACAAGGTCCATCACTCACTCTGCCTCGCGCTTGCTATCAGGGACCGCTGCACGTAGTATAGTATGGAGTACGTATTGTCCTGATTTACAAGTGCGACCTTAGGTACTCTACTGCACTACGGGCCTGTTTAACCGTTACCGGCGAGTATTATTACTCTGTCTTCCCTCCCCTCGCACCCTGTCCTACGCGCCCTCTCTTCCCATTCCCTTTCCCTTTCCCTTCAACCTTTTCCCACTCTCGATATCGGAAACAGGACCCTCTTCTCTTCTCTTCTCTCTCTTTGACTTCTATCATACCAACGCATCATCGCTCCCTTTGTGGTGTCTTTCGATTCTTCTTGTCTCAGTGTCCTCCCCTCTCTGCCTAGAAATCTCGAGACACTGGTTCCATTCTGTCGCCGGCACGAACTGCTTTTACACGAGAAAACACACTAGCTACCTCTACTACTACTACTACGCCCCCCCAAAACCATCTCTGCTTCCCGTACGACACGTTGAACGTTTCTTCTCGGCTTGCTACCACTGGACTGGGCTATTTCTCTTTACACACGCAACTGCCATCAGCCCAGCTTGACCTACTGGTATTATATTACCCACGATCCTTTCATCGCCTCGAACCCGTCACCGCAAGACTCCCTTTCCCTTGCAACTCAGACGCAAACCACTTTCTCAGCCGGAGTGACGCCGAAGCACCAACCACTTGTTGAGTTGTTCCAGGACTGGACTACTCGACCTACAGTGTCTCACACACAAGTCCAACCCATCTCGTCGAGCCAGTTGCGTCGTCGTCATCTGATCACCTCGTTTCGGCCCAACCCTCCCGTGGATGGTCAAGCGCACAAACACACCCTCATCACGCTCGACCACCAAACTAGGTACTCTCGGTAGCTACTAAAACTAACCGCCCCCCGCGGCGTCACATCCCATCCCTCACCAAACCCCAGCCTTTGCCCAAATCTACACTTTGACCAAGCGAGAACCAGTTCTGAGCTTCTCGTCGACCGTCAACATGTCTTCTCTCTCTCGAGCCTTCACAACCCGTCGGGTCAAGAACAGCATCGACCTTTCCGACGCTGCACGGGGGAAGGAGCGCACCAACATTTTGCAGCGAAGTAAGACTACCAAGTCTCAGCAAGCCATCAGGCACAAGATTTCTGCGCCCATGGAGCTCGTTCATACCACCAACATGCTCTCCTACAACGCCCCCGATATCCGACCTCGAACTGGAACCGATGCGTCTAGCAACTCGTCGAGAAAGTCAACAGACGAGGACTCGGAAAGCGCCAAGTCAGCCGCTTCTTCTCCCCCGACCAGCCCCGATGTTGCACCCCATGAGCTGCTCAAGGAGCCGAACCATCTGTCAAGTTATTTCGTTGCACCAGGCGCACCCAACAACACCAAGACTTCCGAGGTTCCAACCATTCCCAAGCGCGCACCCACGCACACGAAGCAGGCTTCATATGATGCCGTCGCCCGCCAGCGCTCCCTGTCGCAAATGTCCAAAGCCTCGGACAAGACGGTTTCCTCTAAGGCCAGCATGACTTTCTCCTTGCGAGCGTCGTCTGGTTCCAGCGCCGCCTCCACAATGTCTCACCACTCAATTACCCCCGCCATCAAGACCCCTCTACCGCCAATCCCCTCGCCCGCATTCCAGCACCAATCCCCGAGACAAGAAAAGGTGGCCGAGTCGCACCCCTTTGGCCGTGAACTGGCCCAGGTTACGGAAATCGCCGAGGAGTTTGGTATCAAGGATGATGTCATGTACGAGGAGGAGCGTCTTCTCAAGGCCGAGGGGCTCTACAAGTTCGCTGCAGATGACTACCTGTCCGAAGTTCAAAGCCTCTTCCCCAACTTTTTCACCGACAACCAGCCCCAGCGTTCGATGGCTATGGCATGGATCTAATGCACCTGCACTCTTGGTGCGCCTTGCTTGACACTCTTCTTTGTACATATTCAGAAGATGCAAAATTTGGACCAGACCGACAACTACGGCCTTTCTTTGGGGGGGGGATGACGACAACGGGACTTAACCTGGCCCGGAAGAGAACCTAGTCTGGATTCGCGCAGAAAGGATGCGTGTGAGAGAGGAGGAATATGGCCATGTTTTGGGATTTGACGCCCTCTACGCATGGGATAATTAGCGTTTCTGTGTATATACTTTTGAATGACGCGACAGAGATTCCCACTCCCGTTTCTAGTACGGAGCCAGTTCACAATTCTATTAATTACAAAAATCTGCTGCTTCTTTTGGCAAATCAACCACGTTGTCCTGGTTCCCATTATCATTCTACTTGTTTTTCTTTTCTGTTCTTTTCTTTTCTTTAATTCTCGTCTGTGTTTTCGCTCACATGGGGTTCATATAGTTGGCTCGGGGTGGCTGACGAAAATTCGCATTCGCAGAGTGTCTAACCGTACGCTGTACCTTATTTCTTATTTTAGTTTGTCGCTCCATTCACCTGCACGCCGAGTTCGTCTGGGCAACGACAACAAGCCGCAGTCTCGAAAAACTAGCCCACAGACTGGCGATAAAACGGTGTGTGGACAGACAGGGCCACAGCGATATGACGCACAGCCCGCAACCTCAGGCGGGTCGATGAGCAAGCTCAGCAGGGCTTTGCAGGCTATTCTGGGAAGGGTTTAGGCAGTCTGATGTGCGAGAGCGACGTATCGGAAACAGCGTCGCCGTGTGAGCCTGCCTCTGCCCGGATCCTCGAGCCGATGCTAGAGCATGTACTCTCGGCTCGGTATTGTCGTAGTGAGTACGCCAAACAGACTACTCCCCTTTGTCCGAGATGTTTTCGAGAGGAAGCCACGCGCGATTAATTCAAGGACGTCTTTCAAGATCGTCACGCGGTGTTACCGGGGACGGTCCGGATAACGAACCTACTGCCAAATAGCTTCTGCACTAATTGCTGTCAAATAGCTCCTGCACTAATCACAGTTGTCGGCCCGAGGAAGCAGCGTACCGGTAGTGGGATAGCCTTATGCTTCAGATCGTCGGTTTCATTGTACTGACCGCGGAGACATCGTCGGCGGTCGTCCCCCTCGAAGAGGGAGCTGCCTAGGATGGGGCAGAAAACAGACCTGCCCGCAATCATTTTTGATTCACGTTCCAAACCTCCCTCCCCCACCCAGATTCTCTCTTATTCTGCGATGCCATGAACCGTACCAGCTTCGCCGAATAGGCAAATGTGGGGGGTTTTTTTTTTCGATCACGAGGGAGGGGTCAGGCAAACATTTGGGGGTGTGAAGCAAGACAAACGGAAAACACACAGACATAAGCTGGGAGCGGAGGGGTAGGTCCCGTTTGATTTGCATTCCGGAAGCAGCGCGGGATGAAGGCCCATCTGCCGATTGACGGCTGCAGCATGGAACCCCATGTGACGGCCTCTCAGGTCAAGTGGCTTTCTTCAGCGATTGGCTCTTTGGTATGTCTTTCCTTTTCCCCCCTCTTCGATTCTCGTACCACGCGGGCATCTTCACTGTGGCATGTGTGTTTCTGTCTCTCGGTCGAGATGGTTTCGGAGGGCTGGGAGAGTGTCTTTCGTCATGGGGTCGTCTTCAAGTCAGCGACATCGACCCATCGCGGCCGAGACATGTGTTCACGCGCTTCGATCTGAAGAAGAAGCAGGAAGATGATCAGGAGAATGAAGAAGGGCAAAAAAGAAAAAAGAAAAGAAAAAGGAAAAGGAAACACTGGGCGTGCGTGGAAGCCTTGGCCGTGACTGCCTGCGTCTACAATAGACTGCGGGAAATGTGGATCGGAAAAGGCAAGATGCGAAAGTGGGGGGGGGTGCCTTCTCATCGCCGGGTTCCAATCCAACTTCCTGCTCCTCCTGTTTGGGGTTTGCCAATCCCTTGCCGACCCCTATACATAGGTATTACAGCATTGGGAAGACAGACAAACTCTCCCACAACTATCGGAACCGAGATCTTGCATAGCTCTCGGCGGCCAAAATGTGATGTTGCAGGGGAGGGCAGTGAACGAAGGTGAGGGTGAAAGTGAAAATCAATCTGTGATCCCCACCACCCCCGTTACCTTGTTTGATCTTCCTGCGGGGATACCTGGCTTGCGCATAAAAATGCTTTCGGCAAACGAGAAAAGGAGGGTGAGGGCGGGCCCCTCACTGCCGATCCCGGGACGGCGGGATGGCCGCGGACAGGGCGGTTGTTTGATCGGAGGTTGGGGTTCGCAACCACCGTCGGTTTTGCCTGGAGGGGGACGGGAAATTTTAGGGTCGCTGCCGTGGAAATACATTCCCCATCCTCGTCGCTTCCCCTTTCTCCCGTCCCAGTCGGCCCCGGCAGCCTTCCTGGGGCATGCCTCATCTCAATGCGATGCGGCCGTCTTATCAATGAAGAGGTTGCACAGTGCATGCAGCATGATGATGAAGGGAGGCGTATCAGTGGATGATATATATACGGTAGGTACTAAGCGGTAGCATTCGTTGGCAGGCCCCGCTTTAATCTTGTCCTACTGTTCATCGCATCTCATGTTCGAGACCGCCACCCCCCCGATCGGTGATCGCGCAAACGGTCCTGCGGGGGAGGGGAGCGCGGTGCGCCACGGCGGTAAAATCCCTCCGCACGAATGTGCCGTGTCGATTGCAGCCACGCCTCGCATTGCGTCTGTGCATGGAGAATCCCGCGTCGCCGGGAACGGGAAGATCAAGCTTTTGGGCTCGGTGTTGCGGGCACCCACCCCCCCCCCCCCCCACATGCGGTGCCCGGGTCACCGGGACTAGGAAACTCCACCGCGAGACACTCGGCATCCGAGCCTGCCGGTCGCCCTACAGCGAATATAAGCGGAATGTCATACGAGAAGCCTAACTAACCGATGAGGAAAGGAAGTTTATGGCTAGTAGAACGGTACTTCTGTGAGCAATCAATTGAGTTCGAGAAGCCAGTGCTGGCTTGGCTCGAATCAGCCAAGTCTCTCCTATATTCTACATTCCAAAGAATAACAAACATGCTGTGCCCTCTTCCCACCCTGACGCCTGACTTGCTGCTCTCTGGACTGCTGGGTGTTTTTGAGCGGGTGTACTTAATCAAGAAACCGGGGCCAAAGCTATTTACGGTGTCAATGATGGTCGGCCCAACCGGGCATTGATATCTTCTTTACCACGAACGTTGTTCTCCGTCGTGGGTCTTTCTCTTCCGAACGCCGTTTGAAGTCCGTACTTGCGGCGCACACACTCATGTGAGTTGCAGTTCCATAAAAGATCTTATCAAATACTTCCTTGGTCTTGTGGGATCACTTGAAACTTGGTACGATTCCAGTTGGCCGAATAAGGTATAACGAGGGATCCATAAGGGCGTCAGAGATACAAGCACTTTCCTAGCCCGGTGTTGGGTTCGGTGTTGTCCGGTGTTGCCTTGAGACTCAAGCACACTTCCAAAGACTATGGTATACTATTGTGAATTCAGTAAGGACTTATGGACATAATTTGAGATGGTGAGCTCGGGATCGGCTCGGGGAGTCTGGGATACAGCCTTGACGCCATCTGTTACCCATTGGACTCTGAATACTGGCCCTCTTCCGGAATACACGAGCAATGGCCGACATCTGTTGATTCACCATGCATTATGAGGGTGATTTGTGTTCAGGAAAGTCACATCAACATGTTGATGACAAGCGGAACAAGCTCGTATGGCAGTTCTACACCGGTTCTTTGGGACGGATTACACGGAAAAGACGAAAGAAGACGAGGCAGGTTTAACCAAGGATCGTTGAGTCTTCCCGGTGAGCAAGCGGCTTGTTCTGATCTAAATTGCCGAAGACTACTACTATCTGTCCTGGTTTGACAACTGGCTATGCCAGGATTACGATTATGCAGCCCTCGAACCGGCGGCATAGGTAACGAACCATGGGACGATGTACTGGACGCCAGCCGACCAGTAAAGTCACAGCGTCAGCATGGGATACAATAAAGGTCTAATAAGCCCTCATTTGCGGTTGGCAGACGGGGGTTTTGGTTCTGGCATGTCACTTTAAAAGTTGGATCAGACGGCATCGAGGCCTCAGCAAGTGAAGTGACTAAGGGTATGAATAGTATTCGTAGACCAGGTGAGGTCGACCGGAAGGATTTTTTGTGGGTCCCAACGGCTCCATTTGCACCAGCCACAATCTCGGGGCCCATGTTTGCCTGTCGGCGTTAATGTTCGCAGCAAGCCACAGGCGCCAGTCAGGGGGACCAGCTGGAGCTGTGCGCCGGGCTCAGCTTCGTTACCTTTTGTTTCACCACCAGATCGACGAGCTCGACGATGCCGCCATTGCCCTTCTTCCCTCGACGAACACGAAGGTGAATGGGCGGCCAATGGCACGCATATCGCTCCTCAGATTTCCGAACAAGCTGCGCCGGCGCGTACGGAGGAATCGAATGGCCACCCTGCTGGTCCTCCTCGCTCTGGTCGTCCTCCTGATCGTCCCCTTCTATATCATCTACAAACCCCCGGCGTGCCTCATCAACTACTTCGCTCGACGATGGCCCGATGTCCTCTGGCAGGTCCCGACGGATAAGAAGATTATAGGTCTGACGATCGACGATGCACCGTCCCAGCACACCTCCGAGATCCTGAAAGTACTCAACGAGAACGATGCCCACGCCACATTCTTCCTTATCGGCTCGCAGATGAATGGCCGCGAAGGAGATATGGATGCCATTATCGAGTCCGGAAGCGAGCTGGGAAACCATGCAATGCATGACGAAGCTTCGCGATCCCTGCCCGAAGGGCAACTGGAGTCAGAGATATTTGAGGTCTACCGCAAGATCAAGGTTGCCTACGAGTACCAGGACAAACCCATGGTGGCCAACTACTTCCGCCCGGGCTCGGGCTTCTTTAATGACAAGATGCGGCGGCTGGTCGACAAGATGGGATACAGGATGGTTCTGGGCAGCGTGTACCCTCACGACGCCCAGATCAGCTCTTGGCGGATGAACGCCAATCACATACTGAGCATGGTCCGACCAGGTGCCATAATCATTTGCCACGACAGGAGGAGCTGGACCGTCCCCATGCTGCGGAAGGTGATCCCAGAACTCAGACGACGCGGCTATAGGATCATGAACTTGACAGAGCTGTTGAAGGAAGTCGACACAGACAGATGAGTCAGTCCTCAGTCAACCAATAGTTTATCGTTCGTTACATGAGCACATTGGAACATACCTCACAGCATTTGCACTCCCCCCCCCCCCCCCCCCAACTCCCCCTTTTCTCTTCCTCCCCTTGATAGTCTCGCATCGATTCCGATAGCGTCCATGAGAGTCATGTGAAGGATATCGGCAACCGTGAGGAGCGTGCGTAACAGCGGCCACAGCTGGTCTCGACTCGGCTGCAGTATCGAATCGCTGGGAATGCGAGCACCATATGCGCGTCACTACGACCGGGATCCACGCGGTCCAACCCATCGTTGCTTGCGTCAGCACGAGCAGGGCAAAGACTCTGCATTTGCCCATGTGTTGTAGACCCATCACAAAAAGCGCCGGGCTGCTGCATAATCGAGAGTTGCGAAATCGCGGTTTCGCGGACTGGTGAGGTGTGGTTCCATTTTTGCTGTTTCAGCGAGGCGGCACAACGAACATGTCCTACAAGACTGCGGCGCGACCCAACCGAGACCCTCGAGGAGGGCTGAGATGGGTGACACACGGTCTAGAGTGAGGTGTACGTGAATGAATGACTACGGCGTAGGCAAAGCGATGCTTTGTACGATAGGGGTTATCAATTGATGCTGGTAACCGCGCGTGATATGAGGAAATGGAAACGCCACCTACGTTCTACGGATTTTGAATTCAATATATTTCCTGAAATAGCCTTCCTAGAACAGTTATGTTCCCACGCAGGTAGCCGTCTGCCCATGGAAAATTATAGTTTAGACGACTTGTCTCGTCTGTATCTCTTGGGTGGAAGCAATGGCGTGTATGGTTGTCCACAAGATGAACCTCTGGAGCCCGATCCATCGGCTAACCGCAGTACAAGATTCTGCAGAGACCACGTCTCATTTTCCGAATGATCTCGTATGTGTAATCCAGTATAGGACTCACCAAAGCCAGTTCTAGCGAGCCCTGAGTTCAATTGGATGAAAATCAATGCTATTATCCGGTGAGTAGCGAGTCCATTGTCCGCGCCCCTGAAACCGTACACTCGGGACACTCTCACCGGACATCACTGGGTTTATTTTTAGCTATCGGTGACAAACAGCCCGTAAGATTTCAGTGGCTTTCTGAATGTCTTGAACACTTTATTCCGGATCATAATGTGGGCTGCGGTGGAGCGAGAAGAGTGACATGTTTGTCCTCGACATGGAGGCTGCTCAGTCGGTTATGTACCGTACTTCCCAATGAAGGAGCGGATTGGCTTGGCGTTCACAAAGCAATAGACATCCCAGACTTAGCAAACATATATGGCGCCAACGAGTGATCCCGAAATGAGACGATGACCCTCAAGAAAGGGAAATGGCCCTCGTGAGTTATTAATGTATAACAAATGGAGGTAGAGGGCAACAAACAAAAGCTCGGGTGCGCAGCAAGAAAAAGACTCGAACTAACATCCTACAAAGGTATCCATACAGATGGAATCTGTGGGATTTCTCATCACCAGGTTCATACTGACCTGACGGGCCACGGTGTTATACCACCAAGCCACTGATGCCTTCGGTGCTTGGCTGAGAAGAATGGAGGTCAAGTTGAATACAAATGGGCCGAAAGCCTGCATCCCCCTTCCTATTTTCTATCTGATGGCTTCTCGTCATATCTAATCCCATCGTTTCTTGGTTCATTCCTCCCCTTGTATCCTTGCTTATGCAGTCTCATCTTTCTTACCAGACGGCCTTCGCTTGACCGAGGGCTCTGCGGGTTCCTACTTTAGTTTCCATCAGATACTCGAGTTTCCTGTCGTCCTATTTTGTACTCGGACTAGAAATAACCAACCAAATCTCCACTCCCAGCCCGTCTCGCTGTTGTGTGCATGAGCCAACTCTGGAGGGACAACAACGCGACAAGATGTGTGTCGACCAACAGCTCTTTCATTCCGGTGTCCGCGGCCGAGCCGACACTTACAAGAAAAACTCAAAAGATATAATCGCCAGCAAAATGGGCTCAAAGACACAGGAAGCTCGAGTCATTTCTGAAGCCTTGAAGGGGCAGACCATCCACGTCCCAAACCTCTACAGCATCCTTAAGGGATGGCCGGTCAAGGCCAACGTCAACTACGAACGTCTCGTCCCCGTCGTTGAAGATGCTTTCGACCGGCAAGTCTGATAAAATGTGTACTGTAAGAGATGTAAGAAATGTTACTGACGTTTGCTCCTTCAAATAGTCTCATCAAGTCGCCCAACCTCCGGGAAAAGTACCGGAGGGCTGATTACGCCCGCTTCGTTAGCCTGTCAGTGGTGTTCTTTACCTGTTGTCTTCAGACTACTGAGCTGATTCCTCCAGGTACTATCCTCATCCCGAATGGGATCGAGTTCAGACCCTGGCGCTCTATATCATCTGGTTGTTCTGCTGGGATGATGCCATTGACCAGCAGGGGACTGGCGATCTGAGCAACAACCTTCTGCGAGCCAAGACACGTCGTGACAACACCATAAGAATGCTTGAGTACGTTCTCGGCCTTGCTCCGAAGTTTGGCTCGGATATACAGTTTTCTCAGGCAGATTATGAGCTGAAGGTGATTGGAGATGAGTTGAAAAAAGCCTACACCCAAGGTGAGGCTCGACATCCCTGAGAACTGTAGGCATTGCTGACCCAAGAACAGAACAGAGGGAGGTCTTCATGAGCCAGATGCGGCGCTATATTGGCAACTGTCACGAAGAACAGACAATGCGACTTCAAGGCACTCTGCCTAGCATCGAGTCGTATTCAGAGCTTCGCCATGGCACAGCCGCGGTCTGGACCCTGTGTGCTCTCATCGAGTCAGTCATCCAAGAACATCAGATACTCATCTCGTGTTGACAAGTACATCAGGTTCGGTCTATCGGAAAACATTTCGGAGCACATCCGGGACATGGAACAAATCCAGACTATATGGTCCGAGACCAGCAGGGCTGTTTGGATGTATATCTATCCTTCTGCTCAACAGTACAGCGGCTAATCCAACCAAAATCCACAGCACGAACGATATACTTTCCCTCCGTAAGGAAATCGTAAGTATCGCTGCTACTCCTGCCTGCTGTTTATCACTTTCTCGTTATCTGATACACATAAACAGCCCAAGGAAGGCAGCGAGAGCGTTGTAAATGCCATCCCCATTATTATGAAGCACGAGGGCAAATGTCCTCAACAGGCCGTTGACGCCCTCCTAGCCGAGCTAGCCACCTCTGTGGCAGCGTTTGAGGCTGCTGCCATCGGTCTAGAAGAAGCAGCAGACAAGGGGGAAAGTGAATTTTTGAAGACCTATTGCGACGCATGTCGTTGCATGGTCACAGGGTCCATCCAGTTCTCGTAAGTGTACATTCACACCCTCAAGAAAAACGCACCAGCTAACCCGCCTTGGCAGGCTCGAATCATCCCGCTACAAGCTAGAGGACTGCTTGAACGAAGACGGCTCTTTGGACATCTTATTTTAAGAAACGATGAGACGGAGACTTAAGAGAGACTTGCGAAGGTGGAAGTTGTTAGACAGATACCCCATGTAGTGACCGACTTTAATTTGCTCTGGCGATATATCTGATTGACTTTGGCCCTTGCCAAAGTGTATACCTATCCTCACAGAATGGACAACAACATGTCTCTTTCTAGACCAAAAGAGCCCTCATCGTTCCAAAGGATGCAAGGGGAATCCGATCATGCATAGATAACTTGGGTTGGCATGGTTCCTACCACCTCTCAAATAATGTGAGTTGTTTACGGTTTAGGTAATTTCAGAACATTATATCGTTGAGCGGACAGACGGTTCTTAGACCCTTTTCGTCTTCTCCTCCGCCAACTCCTTGAAGCCCTGCACCAAGTCATCTCTCAGATCCTCCCACCCCTCGACGCCGATGCTGACCCTCAACAGCCTCTTGTCGCATCCGCTATCGCTCATTGCGCGCCACTCGATCAGGCTCTCGACACCACCCAGCGACGTTGCATGGTGGAACAGCTCCATCTTGCTCGGCAACCTCCTAGCGTCCTCAGCGTCCTTGAGCAGCATCGCGAACACGGGGCCAAACCCTCCTGGCATCTGCTTCGCCAGCCACCCCTGACCATCCGCTAGGTCCTCCTTCTGCAGGCTGGCGTGCACGACTCTGTCGACAACGCTGCCCACGACGCCAGCGGGGTTCCGCCGGATCTCTCCGTCGAGCCAGCGGACGAGCTCCGTCGCCGAGCGGGACTGCCTCTCCACACGCAGCTCCAGCGTCCGCATCGACCGCACGCCCAGCCAACCCTCCATGCTCCCCATCACGCCACCGATGAAGCACCGCTCCAGGACCAGGTTCTGCACCCACTTCTCCGCGTGCTTCGGGTGGACGGCCAACACGCCGCACAACATATCCGAATGGCCGCCAAAGTACTTGGTCCCGGAGTGCATCACGATATCCGCGCCGAGCCGGAATGGGTCCTGCAGCGGCGGCGGTGCGAACGTGGCATCCACCGTGAGGTATGCACCCTTGCGCTCCGCGATCTCCTTGAAGTACGCCAGATTGCGAGCCTCGCCCGTCGGGTTGAGCGGCGTCTCGACGTGCAGCACGTCGCCAGCTTCGAGCTGCTCCAGCGACGCCTCGTCGAGCTCGAGCTGCTTCAGCCCGTTGAGCTTGGTAAGGATCTTGATGACGCCGTGGCAGCCGTGGTAGCCGCCGCCGATGGCGACGCGCTTCGGGTTCAGGTGGACTAGCATGGCGTGAAAGGCCGAAAGGCCGGACGAGTAGGTCAGTGAGGGCCCACCGAGGACCGAGGTGAGGATGGCCTCGAAGCGGGTTGTGTTTGGGGCCGAGTAGCGCGAGTAGATGTGCGAGTCGCCTGGGGCCGAGGGCTGTTGGAGAAGGGGAAAGACGAGAGTTAGTATCCGAGATTGCCAGTAACTCAACTCTCTCTCCCTCGCTCGCTCTCTCTTCTCTCTCTTCCCTCATTGGTTCTCCCAGGAACGGTAACGAAGTGTAGGGAGTATCGAGCTGTGAAGCGAGCAGGAACCGGGTGACGGGAGACCTACGTCGACATTACCCCCTGAATGCAGCTCGTCTGGGTTGCGGCTGTACTTGAACGTCGTGGAGACGTGCATGGCCGGCGCGACGGCGCGGTGGGCGCTGATGCCGTCGTCGGCGTGGACGGTGCGCGTCGCAAGCGACAGCCCGCCAACGCCGTTCGACAGGTCCGAGCCGCTGCCGGCCCCAGCCCCGGGGGCGGCCGAGGTGCCGTTCGCGGGGATGTCTCCAGACATTTGCGTAGAAACGCGGGCGGGGGAGGGTTTCCTTATTTCCTCTTTGGAGGACCTTTTCCCCCGTAGAATATGAGGCGGAGTGACTGTCTATGCTGCAGCCAGGTGTTGCGTTTCACCGGATGGGCGGGCCAGAGATCTATCTACGTTCTGGGCAACGTGTCACTCTTTAGTAAGGGTCCCGACGTATGAAGTCAAAAAGTAATTGGAAACAAGTTTTGGAAAAATTAAGGGTCATCGACGTCCGGCATGGATGTCGATGAGAGAACGATGGACGGGCGTGATGGACCAACCCTCCATTACACCTACCTAGGTAGGTACCTTATTTAAAGGTGGGGTCACTTTGTACGCAGCAGCAGGTAGTGTCCCCGCCAGGCCTCCGACATTAGGAGATTTTGATCTCGTAAGTTTCAAATCACTTTCAGAGCCAGGGCGTTATCTGTTCGTTACTACCAAAACAGTCCTCATCAACGCATGGCATCGAGTAGTGTCAAAATTGTTATCATTATCATTAGAGAGCTTATTTCTAGACGCCCGGCCTCAAAGCTCTGCCCCTCAGGCTTACTTGCAGCCATCCGTACATGCATAATGTGGCTCAGTCCAGTGAGAGTCTGGATCATGAGCCCTAGTTCTTATGGTATCATAGCGAATGCGTCCCGTACATAGAGACGTAGCCCAGCCAACAACGCCCGATACCATGCCGTCGGGGGCTTGCACCGGGTGGCTAAATACTCAAATGAGAACAGAGGCAGGCGTACAATCAGTGGACTTCAGTAGTCTCGACTGACGCTGCCGACTCGGGTCGCTGAATGGTGCCCAATTCTGAACCTTGCCCGCTCTGACCACGCTTTCTTCCTGCGCCCGACAGGAAGCGCGTGACGCTAGAGTTAGGCGAGTTGGCGCTCGGCTCCTTGTGGTCTAAGTCACCGAAGCGCGAAAACAAACCGCGCATGCGGCTGGGTTGGTGTTGCTGGTGCTTCTGGTCGTCCAAGCCCACATCCTCGAAGCCTTCATCGGCAGTAGGCAGGTCCCGGTCGGCCCGCCTATCAATCGCCGATCGGGGTAGTCGGGGGTAGCGGGCTGAATCGAGACTTTGGCGCGCCGGGAAGTCGCTCTGAGGAATGGGTGACCGTGCTGTGATATCCTACAGCACATATGTGGTCAGCGGCTGCGCCGAACCGAGCGGCGTTGGTTTGTTGGAAAGAATTAACATACAAATGACCGTCTGTACGAGTCGAAAGACTCTCTCGAAATGGAGAAGTGCTCGATCTCGCCGCTGTCATTACGAGTGTCTATTGAGTTGCGACCCGAGCCGAGATATTTGCGCGGCCACGGAGCTTTTTCTTCAGTTGGGGATGGCTGCGCAAATGCGTTAGCCATATCTCAGGGACTACGGAGGTAGTGGGCAGGATGCATACCGGTAGGTAGACTCCGCTGTCGTTGACGACTATGTTACAGACAAACAATCAGTCAATTGGTCTCACGATGGGCGCCATTTAGGTTGTGCGGAGTAGTGATCAATTGGGGCGTTTGGGCAGAAGCGCCTACCACTCATTTTGTATTCCCCGTTATCCTGGCTCTTGGAGCTCCTCACGCTCAGCGACGACGAGGCCTTGGAACCGACAGTGTCCTGCTTCTCGAATCCGGGATGCGATGGGTTCTGGTTGTCGGGTCGCATGTTCTCATCTCCAGCTGGAGAGAAAACAGCATGGCCCGGACGACGGGTAAAGGGGTTGCGAATAGGCATGACGAAAAGTATTGGGGAAGCAGAATTGTCGGGTTATTCCTTTAAGAAGCGCAATATTCAGTGCAAGGCAACGGTGTAAGAGGTCGAGACCATATGAAGATGCAGCCTTGCAAGGTAGGTGATGCAGATGCAGACAGCGAAATTTACTGGTATTGTTTCGGGCTGGGTTGGGAGTTTCGAGGTTGATGCTGGGACTGTTTGCCAAAGAAATCGATGGGTGGACCCAGAAGGCGGGGGTTAGGTAGGTAGGTAGGTAGTGATAGGGTAGGCGGGATGGCGATGGACTATATGGCAATCTTGACTGTCTTGTTAGTCGGGTAGAAGTTTGCTGATCTAACCCCGGGGATTTTGGAGACGTTCCAGGGTGACAGTCAGATGGTGGCTTGGACGTACGACGGCTGATTGGATTGGAACTGGAGTCTGGGTAAATGGAAATGGGGAATGGAGAATGGAGAACGTGGAGGTGCGTACCGCTGTTGCAAGTCGGGGACGTAAGATGAATCGACGTGAGAGATTGGGGATGAGGGAGATGGAAGAGCAGATGTCAGCTGAAGGTGCTCATCGGGCGAGACTCTGCAGGTTTTGGGCTGTGCTTGCACCTCGCTTGTCTCTGCCATGTTTTCCTTCTCCTTCCCGCCCCGCGCCAACAGCAGGGCCACACTTAGCGTTCGGGTGACAAAAAAGATGGCCGCTTTCCTCTACCACTACCATATGGCAACCGGCAATCTGTTTTTGTCACTCGAATGTTACACACTTCCTTCCTTTCCATGTGCCGCACCTTCCGTGTTTGCCTAGGTAGGTAAGTAGGTAGGTAGGTACGCATCTCCACGCACCCACAGCAAAATGTGTACGTACGGGTACTTTGTACACGCTACTGCTCCGCAGGGGCCAGAAGCGAGGGAGGGGAGCGCTTCAAATTCGGAAGTGACGAATGACCCCATCCTGCAGCTGCATCTAACTATTGGATCATGAGTTGAAGGGTTGAGGTAAGGGACCGGCTTCGCTGAAAGAGGAGGCATGCCGGACTGGACCTTACCATCATCTCCAGGGCCGTCTACACTAGAAACTCGGAGGTTATGGGACCTGGTTTCACCGACTTCGCACCCGACGTCACACCACCATCGCAGCAGCCTCTTCGCTGGAATGCTACGCGGCCATGTCGTCCATCAGTGGAGACGACCGGCAGGGACAGCCCGATGGGAAGCGAGTTTCGGGAAGCTTGGAACGAACCACGAACTGTCCGGGGCCTGGGTATTAACGACCGAACCAAATCCGATTCAATGGACAACCGGCCAAGGCTGCGACAAGACGGGGGATCTTGGTTGATGACATCTGTTTGTCCCATGCTTCCCTGCCACATGTCATTGACGTCCTTCCGCCACTCGACCATGATTCCAAGCTTTCATTGAATTGTCGTGCACCGGTACTTGGGACGCCGCCTTGATTGCAGCACAGCAATGTCCCAGTTGCCTCATCCATTCGTTCTGCTGGAAACCTGGGCACGATGGGATTAGTTACACTTGCCGTTGTCTAGCTCCTCGGGCCCAAATTCCAGCACCTTGTCCCCGCCATTGCTCGTGCACGCTTTCATGGCATAGCTACAGCGGTTAAATCAACAGCCCAGTCGAAGCCATGGGACCGCGAGTTGTTGTGTAGGTGAGCCAAGACTTCTGCCAAGTCCCAACTCACCCGCGGACTTCCGTCTGCGGTGCAGTGCGAATGTCGGCTACCCTACCTACTTGGAGAATGTGGGCAGCCCCACGGATGTCTTGGCACCAGGGCGTCAGGTGGCTTCTTGATGATCGGCGTACCTATTTGCCCTTGTCCTTCAGCTGCCCTGCGCGGACCTGCATTTCGTCTCCGTCCCCTTCTTCACAGCATCCGAATGTCCCTAGTGCGCGAACGAGTCTGCCCCGTGCATCATGCATTATTGCCCAAGCCCTGTGCAGTTAAGACGGCCGGCAGACTTTCCGGACCGCGAACGAGTGTGATTGTGGCCGTGGCTGGCGAACACCCAAGATGGAAAGGTTCTCTATCACCACATCTGGCTTACCTTGACTTCTACACAGATACTTATGGCGAAGTCGCCTGTCTCAGCATGACCAATTTCGACTTTTCGGCCAACGCTGCTCGTCCAATCGTCGTGATACCATGAGATGCAATGGCCCAAAGAAGGGTAGGACGGGTTCTATCATAGATAACGTATATTGCAACTCTCACGCTCAAGTAATTCTGAGTGGAAATGCGACCGCTTTAAGACAGCAGACAAGATGGGAGAGCATCTTTTGCGACGCATTGAAGACATGCGCGTCTTCTTAAGCTGATGCCCGCCTTGAGATAGACATAACCATCGGAGCTGTTATCCACAAGCCAAGATCCGCATGGCGAATGCACTCATCATGGCCTCAACACCAATCCGCAGGATCATCTCGTCATTGGATCTGTTCAACAAAGAGACAGTCATCTCGATGAGACTCTGTCAATAATAGCGAATACGCTATCACCTCGGCTTGCGCCTGGATCAGGGAATGCGCGAAATACCAGCCTAGGTCCCATCTTTCAACAAAAGAGCCAACGGCGGAGAGCGCCGCCTGGTTCTGGACATCGGCGAACCTAGATTACCTAAAGCCTGATGCCCTGATAGGTTTACCTCACCTGCCGTACTAAATTCGTGTCCGTCGTAAGGCAAAAAGCGGTAATGGCATTGTCAAGTTCATCATCAGCCGGATCGGGTCGGATCTGCCACATCTACCACATGAAAGGCTCTTCTTTGTCGCGAGGTGATCGCCGGGGTATCTGCAGATGCTCCAGATGCTATCCAGATGCCACAGTTGTGTTTCACATGGTTCTGAGACTGCGCCTCGGCCTTGCTATTGTGTTCAATATCGGATTTACAGTTTGCCGCAACACCAACTTCCCGGCATCAGCGCAGTCTCTTCCAGTCTTTCCATCTCTTAAGTTGTTTCCAGGTGATTTTCCTTCGTCGACTGGACCCTTGTGGAAACTGCGGCTCAGCACTGCTGTGATGATCGATGCGTCTAAACAAAGGAAGTCACCGGTCTGAAAGAAAGATCATCGAGCTTGGTATTTATCGCCAGTGCATGATCGGTAGACACGCGCAAGCTGGCGTATGGTACTGCAGACTGAGGACGGATTATATGCCATTGTATTCAAGATGAGCTTGTTGTTCCTTGTACCAGTCGGACGACGCTTGAGCCATCACCGGTGTCCCAACCTCCACGGCCGACAGGCACATCACAACTAGACCCTTGACTCCTAGGGCCACGGTTCAACAGTACCAACCGCGATGCCGGTTTCATTCTGCCAGACCATTCCGGCGGGGTTTGCACCTCTAAACGTTTAATACGTGGGATCTAGTCAAAACAATTAGGCAGCCTCCCTGTCTCAGCATGCACCACTCTGTCAACTCACAGTGGCATTTCTCGGTGGATGAGGTAGGAAAAGTGTTCACGCACTGAGAGCATGTCATGAGATTTTGAGATGCAGGCAATTTCAAATGTCCATCAGAAGGACCAACAATGCCGGACCCAGCACCCACATTGGCATTAAACCTGGGCACATCTCCCATGTTCCGGGCATTCAAGCTCGACATCTCATCGTGCGACGCAACGGGACGACGTCTGTTCCCACCAGGCCTTGGTGTTAGACCTCGTTGGAGCGCAATAGGTCGGCGCCACACTCGCCAGGGCTCCTGAGAAAAGAAGCGTCTATGCAATGATCAGCACCTATCCGAGCGTCCGAGCATATCGGGCGATGAATATGTGCGGCATCAGTGCTAACGGCTGTCACAAAGAGGCTGAAGCACAAACAGACCTCTCTCGCCGCTCCGGTCCCACTTGATCCCACTCTCACTGCGGCTTGCCAAGGCCATCGGTCGTTTTCAGGTCAACATCGTCTTAGCTCTAATACGATGCGATGCCATGCATGTGAAGCAAAGCACGCACTCTGTGGTGTACCTAGTGCAGGGTGCGAGAGTAAATACAAGAGATCAGCATAAGAGTGCGGTTTCCAGGAGGGGCAGCCCGATCGAAGCGGCCAGGAGAAATCCGAGGCTATGCATTGCGTTAAATTTGGTTTCTTGTTTTATTTTGTGCGACGCACGCGTGCTGGTTGGTATCCGCTTCGGACGAAAGCCGGAAACGAATGCGCTTAGATGTTGTATCGACAGATGGCAGCGCAGCAGATGTCGGAAAGAGCGGTATTCAATGAAACCAGAAAGGCATGCGCCAATTTGAGAAAGAGCTGGCAGCGAAGTTCTGGATGGGTAAAGGAGCGCGCTCGACAAGCCAAGAGTGTGGCAGAGTGTGGCTCTTGTGCTACCGCAACCATGCGGAAGACGACGACAGAAATATGGTCCCGGCCCTGAAATCAGCGGTGGCTTTTACCCTGTTCTTTTACCTTCCGCCCTGGCCCCGGCGCCACCTAAGCGGGCAAAGAGCTAAGGTAGCCCCGCGCCGTACCTTGCATTCCGCAAACGGCCATTGAGGGCCACTTCCGACGTCGACTTCGTCCCTCGCCAATCCCCCCCCCGCAACTCTCTTTCCAAGGAGGCGTCAAGCTACGGATCCTCGCTTTCAATCCTTACAGCATCAGGTCCTCCCGTGTCAGTCGGCCAGTTTGCCTTGCCGGATCCAAAGCATTCCGACATGGCGGCAGCGCAAGAGAAAGACTGTTTCCCCAAACCACCGTCGACGATAGTAGCTTGTTGAGATCCGCGACATGGGTGGAAGATCAGGGATAACCCAGTCTGATGCCCTGCAGGCTGCAGCGGGCATCAGGAGTACCTGGTAGCTTTACTGCCATAAGCTCGTCCCTTGTAAGTAGCCGCCTTCGGGATGGTCGTCTGCATACGTGGTTGTAGTTCAGTCTCGCACGTCCTCGACCGACGCTGTTGTTCCTTCACGCACCCCCATCGTGCTTCCAACTCCACTTGGGCGATGGAGGACGGCCAGCCACTGATACTCTCTGTCCGAGACGGACGCCGGCTCTAGTCCCAGTCCAGCGGCTCATCGAGGCCCAGGCCTGGCCGCTCATCCAGCCTGGATGGGATAATGGAAGTGAAGTGTTATGTTTGCTGTTGCTATCCGTATGCGCCCTATTTCATACAAAACCTGCAAGCATCCGTCCGGCCACCTGGAGCAAACTTCTTACATGACATACACGCTTTAATTCCCTTCACCGTCGAGAGTTCTTTGACGCCTCTTGTATTCACCATTGCCCACACGAGGTATACTATACTCGCCTTCTGCTCGACTGATACTCGACAACCTCGTAGCTTTCTCCCCTAGACTTTCCGGCGTTTCTGCATTACTCTTGACCAACACTTGTATTCCCACAATACACCGTGGAAAAGAAAAAACAGCAACAGCCCAACCTTCTCTCATCTCGATCACTACAACGTGCTGTCTTGTGTGTGTTGCATACAGCCTTCCGGGCAGAGCTGATATTTCACCACTGGTACTGTTCCTCCCGACTGCCGCTCGCCGCATTCGTATAAACCGACGCCAAGCCTGCCCGATCGCTCAGCAGTAAGACACCAGGCACAAAGGCTCATTTTGGCCAGAAAGGGACTCTTTGTTTGCCTGGGTTCCCTTTCAGTTCGAGAAGGAAGCCGTGCTTCATCTATCTGATAATAAGCACCTTCCTCACCTGCCTGCTCGGACTTTGAGCACGTTCATTCAGCAAACGGCAGTACACTTCTACTCCCATTAACAATCATTCTAATTCGAGATGGGTAAATTCTTCGTATCCTGGGAGCTATGGCAGCAGATGACCTTTGTAAGTTGTACCCCGCACCTGTACCTCGGCATGGCTAATACCCGTTACCTAGATTCTGGCCTGCGCCATCGGCGTCGTTTTCATTATCGGTTTCGTCAAACTGTGGTGGATGAATCGGTACATCGCGAGGCAAGAGATAATTGACGCCGAGAAGAGAGCACATGCCGCCGAGCTCGCGGCGACCGGCCTCCCAGTACCTCCACGCAAGAAATCCGAAGTCCCTTTCGGCGTCCGCGCCATCCAGTCTGGTGTTGAAGTTGATGGCATCTGGATATCTCGCCCCAACACGCCGTCCACCGAACCGTCTCCCAACTCAGCCAGAGCCAAGGGCAAGTATGTTTCGATGGGCCCTATTTCGCCTCGCTCTTCAGTCTCCGACGCCTTTAGGTCTTCGACATCGTCTCGTGGTGAAATCGGTCCTCAGACGTACCGACCCAAGTCTACCTACAATCCGGGCACGAGCAGAGCCGATGCTCTGAGCCAGCTCGAGGGCAAGCCCCAGGAATCCTTTGCCCACGACACGTATTATCCCCGAAGTAACAATCACATGTCCGAGAATTCAGACGAGGCCATGGACGGCTCTTCGTACAACGGCGTCGATGTCCGAGTGCCCGCCCACGGACCCCCCGTCAACCGCCACCTGAAGAACGCGCGCAATGCCAGAGAAAACAACCCGCAGCCCCGCACTGGCAACGGTGTTCGCGCCGACAAGGGTAACCTTCAACCTCCCAAGGAAGGTAAAGGATACTCTGGCCTTCCTCAGGCCTCTCCCGGTCCCAGCGAATTCTCCGACCCCTTTGCGGACCCTCAACAGCCGACAGATATTTTCAGTGATGACCACGCCATCCCGCCCTCGTCTCCCCACGTGAAGTTTGCGGCCGACGAGCACATCACACGCCAGCGCTCCTATAGTGGCAGTAGTAGCGGAAGCGGCAGTGGGCGTCACGTTTAGAGTGGTCATCAGCGTTGATGCTAAGCCATTCAAGCGTTCGGCGGAAGTGATGGCAGAGTGGAACTAGCATTAGATAGGATAGCGACGTTTTCCCCTGTGTATTGTTTACTTATTCTCCTTAATCCTACTCGAGTTTACTCATCGAAATTTAATAAATACACTGCAGTATTAGGTAGTCTGCCGCAGTAGCGGTGGTAGAAAAGAAAGGGGCATCGGCGGCCTTCGCATAGATGGCATACGATGACGGCGTCCGGGTAATTCAAAACGTTCAGACGATGAGGAAAACGAGATTTCTTGTCAAACTGCGCACATTAGCACAGGGAAAGACTTTCTTGAACATACGGCAATCGTATAGAAAACCCAAATAGAAACAATTCGCAATCATCAGTTGTTCAATCATCCCCTACTTCCTCCCTCCAGACCATGAATGTAGACAAAGAACCTGAAGGATAAACGTATATATGCGGTGAGGCAGAGAAGAGGAGCGGGGTGTGTGTATAAATCGACATTCGTTATTGGTGCTCTGCTCCCACCTTTGCACCCCGACCCTCGGCGTATGTCCGACTTTTGGTACCGGGGCCGGTTATACGACTCGAAACCCCGCCACCTCCCACTTCCCCCGCATCACACATACATACCTTACCTGCCCCACACATTCGATGTAAGAGGTGCGGGAGGAAGAGAGAGAGAGGGTTGGACGACCGCAAAGAACCTGAGGGATTTGCTCTTTCAAAGGGGATATTGGTTCTTCTTGTTCGTCCACAATATCGCGCGATTGCATCATCATCACTGCCTCGGATCTTCTTTGCCCACGTCAGCGGAGCTCGTTCCCGAACACGCACACCTTTTGAACAGGAGGTCTCGTGCCTCACAGACTAACCACACCACACTCCACGGCTCGAACCAAGATCCATATTTAGAAACTCGGGATCAAGAAAACAGGCAAACATGTCACCCAGTACCCTCCACCAGGGCGCGGCAAAGGGCTTCGCCGACGCCGCCACCTACGACGCCTACCGGCCCTCGTACTCGTCCGAGGCTACCCAGAAGTTCCTCTCGCACCTGCGCCTCGCCGACGTCCCTCATGCACGAGTCCTGGACCTCGCGGCGGGGACGGGCAAGATGACGGAAGTGCTGGCGGCGCGGCACGAGGGGTTCGAGATCGTGGCCGTCGAGCCTCACGAGGGCATGCGCGCCGAGCTCGAGAAGAAAGAGTTGCCCGGGGTCGAGGTGAAGGACGGCTTTGCGGCGAAGTTGCCGTTAGGAGAGGAGTGGGCCGACGGTGCTATCGTTGCGCAGGTTAGTTTCTTCCTTTTCCCTTTGTATTTTATTCTCTCCAACACGCGAGTGGGAAGGGGGTCGTGATGAGATTGGCGGCTGGACAGCCCAAGGGAAGACGGTGACTGACTCTCGTCTCTTGGAAGGCCTTTCACTGGTGAGCTGGACATTGTGGCATGGATGAGTTCGAACATGGCTCACACAGGGACATAGGTTCGCGACACCAGAGGCTCTGAAGGAAATCCACCGCGTTTTGAAGCCCACTGCCGTGCTGGGTGTGATTTGGAACATTGAGGAATGTAAGTCTCCATTCCCAACATCCTCGCCCTGCAGTGCCAGGAACCCGCAACGCCCATCTGACACGACTGCCTGCAAACAAGACAACAAGCCGCAACACTGGGAGGCCAGTACGCCCTGGGAAAATGCCCTCAACGAGCTCGTCTTCAGCCTCGGCTCCGACGGCCAGCCGCGCTTTCGAAACTTCGTCTGGAAGGACGTGTTCGACAACCAGCTCGACTCAAACCCGCTGCGCGCCGTCAGAGACGTTATCATGGAGGGCGGGCGCAAAATGCCGCTGTTTTCGGTTCCCGTGGGCGAGGAAAAGGTTCCATTCACGGTCTGGCTGACTCCCGAGGCCCTGTGGAACCGGCTGCGGACGCTGAGCCAGATCGCCGTGCTAGAGGGGGACGCAGCGAGTGCGTTCAAGGAGAAATTCGATGCTATTGTGGCGGGGGAGAGCGTAGAGAGGAATGAGAAGGGCGAAGTTTTGTTGCACGGGGTTACGTATCTGGCGTGGACCTCGAGGCTGTAGGTGCGCGCGGAGGCGAGCATCTGGTAGTGGTGGTATATGCTGTTTTGATTTCATAGATATTTTGTGCATAACGCGCCTCTTGGCCAGCATAATGTTCGAGGATGTCATTGCCCCTAGCTCCCAGTCCCCTTTCGCAATCCACGGTTGACTTATCCATCTGCCGTTCCCTAAGAGTCGGCAGAAATATACATGACTATGAGGTTTATCAGCACTCAGATACACATGAGACGGAGACGGAGGTATAGTATACTCACCGTTGTTTCCTCTCACAAACGCGTCGCCGTACGACCGTCTCTTGGCGCCGTTGACGTACTCCTCCGTCTTCTCCAAAGCGATGTTCATATAGCCATCGACGGACTGCAGCTCACCTGCGACGGTATCACATCAGCGCGGCCGAATAAAAACGAGTAGTCTTCTCGTCACGTTCAGTTCCCCAAGGCAGCAGGGGACTTGGGCTCACTCACCCTTGTAGACGACGCCCGAGTTGAGCTTCACGGTGACGGGGTTGCCGATGATGTCGCTGAGGAAGCTGGAAGGGTCCTTGCCCTCGCCCTGGCTGATGTTTCCATTCTCCATTGTAGCTGTTTGTTTGTAGCTTAGGTGAGTTACGGGTGGTTGTCGGCACACTCGGTTGAGTCGTTAGGTTGATGTGAGTAAGGCTAACGGACGTCAAACAGACTGATGATGTTCGCAGAATTGCTGGCAGCTGGCGACGATGGGTGCCTGGGTGGAGTCGACCACAAAGAAAAGGGTACTTCTTAACAAGTACCTCGAGCTGTTAATACAAGCTGCCTGGGGCCAACTGACGAGTCGCCCCCTCAGCCTAGCTTTCCCAGGATGGTTCGCACTGTCAGGCTACCCGAGCGGCGCACTCCCACCACTGAGCAGCGTCCATGGCGAACCACCAGCGCCAGGGTTCCCTGTGGGGACCTGTAGTTCAATATTTGCTCTCACCACGGAAACAACGCTCCTCCCCCATCCCGTCCCAGGATAGGTATGCGCTGAGGACGCCTTCCCTCCCTCCCACTTTGTCGCGTTGGTTCGTGATGACTCTGTCCGCTGCCTCGTTTTTTCAGGCACAGCCTCCGGTGCTTCCCCCTTTGCGGCCTGGAAGTTGTTAGTCTTTCAAAATCCAACAGTTATAAAACCATTCTCTGCATGCAAGTGCTCAGTTGGTCCCAACCTCAGTGTTAAAACTTCTTCTCGGTCACACCACCCTTGCAACCCTCACTGCGTAGCATAACGACAACCGAAATTTTCCATACGTCTGCTTAGTATACAAAAAGGAACACAAACCAAAGAGAAACATGGCCGACGCGGCAAAGCCCAAGAGGCGCCTCCCTTTCAAACCCACCGCCCTGCGCCAAAAGTCGGATCAAAAGCCAGCGCCCAAGGACAAGAACGAAGACGACGACGATGGCCTTAGCCTTTTCAAGCGCTCCGCCGAGTTTTTCCCTATTACGGTGGCGGAACAGGAACGGCGCATGAAAAGGAAACAAGCGGAGAGAGAGAAGAGCTCGCAAGCACGATCACTAAATTGCGAGACGAAGCTTACGTCTAGGGCCAGCGAAGAGCCCGACTGGAGGGACGAGGAGGCTAGGTACGGACTCTCCCTTTACCCGGAGCCTTGATGTTGCATCTTGAGCGACGCTGACGTGGCTCCAATGAACAGAGAGCCCGGCACGCCTCCCTCGAAACGCTCGCGAACGAGCGACGAGTCGCCCGAGTCGAGAAGCAAAACCTCACCGACCAAACGTCGAGACGGTACTGAGACACCCTCCAAGCGCATAACCCGCGCCGCCGCTTCGCGGACGCCGCGTAAACAGGAGGTGGTACCGACAAAACCCGTCATCTCGATCGATGACAGCGATGATGAAGACGAGGAGGAGGACGATGCTCGGCCTTTAGACGACGATGACATCTATGACGCCTCACCCATACGCAAGCCCAGGTCCCGGCGGCAAACATCGGAGCCTGAAGTCTCGCCCCTGGTCATCGAAGATGATGACCCGTTTGCCGAAGGAAGACGAGGCGAAGACGCTCCCGCGGCGCAGGAGGAGCAAGAAGAAGAAGATGACGAGTTCAAGGAATACGTCCAGCGCGCTATGGAGCGTAAGAAAGCACTTGAGCAGGAGGCCAATCAGACGGTGAATGTCTTCGTCACCTCTGACATCCCAGGGACCAAGGAGAAGCAGTTTCGCTTCACTCTCGTGAAGCCCCTCAAGGTCCTCCGCAACGCCTGGATCGATGTTCAGGATGGCCGCGCCGCTCTGCCGCGCTCCGAGCTTGAGAGTGTCTTTCTCACGTGGCGCGGGCATGAGCTCTACGACTGGACGACGCTGCATAGTCTCGACCTCGCCGGGACGTTCCGCAAGAGTGGCGGGGGCGGGGACGGGGGCGGAGTTGCATACGAGGGGTTCCGAGATGACTGGACCAACGTACACATGCAGATGTGGACGCGTGAGCTGTGGGAGGAACATGAGCGACAGGAGGCCCGGAGGCGGCGGCACGACCTTGGTGAGTACTCGGATGACGAAGGGGGTGGGAACGGCGGGAACGAAGAGGGTACACCCGCTGTCGAACAAGAGGCCGAGAAGAAGATTAAGGTACTGCTCAAGACCAAGACGGACGAGCCGCTCAAGACGTCAGTTCGGCCGTCGACGACCATTGGCACCATCATGGAACTATTCCGCAAGATGCGCGGGCTGGCCGCTGACGCGCCCATCTCGCTCAGATTTGACGGTGACGAGCTCCAGGAGGACATGACAGTCGAGGACGCCGACATTGGCGACATGGAGACGATCGAGGTCTACATAAGATGAGGAGCTCGGATTCGCCTATCAGAATTTTGTTGGATAGGGGGGCGATGACCTGTTGTTGCTGGGGGACCCCCCAGTTGTCGGTCACCAGGCGAAGCCGAGATGGATAGTAGGCGTGCATCAAAAGTTAGAGGGCGGAGAGTTAGGATTTATTCAAGATACCCAGGGAGTTCCGAGCGGTCTTTTTGTGTTTCATGGGAAGGCGGGCTACAGGAAACACGATGCTAGTAGCTTGAGAATCGAAAAAGAAAAGAAGAAAAGAAGAAAAGGAAGAAAGGTTCTGAGCCTTTAACCCCTGAGGTGACAACCTTTTCCAATCTTTCTGAGAACCATTTTAAAACTCACTTCAACAACTCCTCACCAGTCTCCGAGGATTGACATTGGAGCGCGACATTGTCTGCCATTGTATCGTTTCTTCAATCCATACTGTCATAGCTAGTTGCCCCTCGAAAGTTCCCCTGGCAGAGAAATAGATCCCGAGACGATGTGATGGAACAACTCAGTACCCGCCACGTTAAAGAACTTCGAATCCGCAAACGCCCCCGCCACCCGGTCCTTTCCAACCGTGCGGGAGGAACGGGCCCATCACTCATCGCCTACGTAAAACCTTGCGACGCCACAACCGTCCAGCTGTGCCTTCATTGTCCTCGGTTAACGACCACGTGCGCCCGCTGCCGTTGGTTCGCATCATGGACGCGAAGTCCTCCTTGCCGGCCTCATTCTCTTCCGGGTCAGCGTCTTCGTCCTGCCGCGCCCCGTTGTACTTTTCGCCCAGCCGCTTGGCGACGTCGTTGGCCTCGTTGAGGGAGACAAGGCGGCGCTTGTCCGGGTGTCGTTCGAGGAAGACGCGAATGCTTTCCCAGACCTTTTGCTTGTTGGGGAGCTTGAGAGAGCTGCTCTTTCTCTTCTCCTTGTCGTCGCCTGCCTTAACAAAGGATTCGATGGGTCTGTTGACGTAATCGGTGGGATTCTTGCCGCCGTTGAGCCCAACGGGTCCCGGTGCGGTAAACTTCTCACCGGTGACGTTCTCGCGGGCAACCTCGGCAGGGGTGCGGCCGACGGCGTTCTCGCGGTAGAGAAGCTTGGGCTTGTATCGGACCAAAGCCTCGGCCAGGAGATTGTCGTTGGACATGACGGCAGTGTGGAGGGGTGTGTCGCCTGCACCATTGAGCATTTCAAGTTCGGCACCATGCGAAAGCTTAAGAAGCAAGTCTAGGACGTCAATAATCTGTTCGTTGCTGTCGTACTTCTTGCACAAGTAGTAGTAGGACGTATACATGTTGTGTGAGTTGCAGACAGCGGTAATCCACGAATGCAACGGTGTCGTCCCGCTCTCGTGGATGTTGTTGCGCTGCTGGAACAAGTGAGCGATGATGCCAGAGTCAATGAGCTCTAGGACTGGACCAAGATCACTGGCCCTCGGCATTCCCAACATTGCGGCGTGTATTATGTTATCTCCAGAATTATTTCGTGTCATTTGGTTTGCCCCGGCCTTGATGAGAGTCTTTGCGAATTCGAGTCTACCAAAGTAGAAGGCCAGCCATAGCGGTGTGTCGCCGAGGGTCGATTTGTACTCGAGGGAATTGGGGTACGCCTGGACGAGATACTTGATGACGTTGTTGGTCTTCTCTGTTGGAGGACCCATCACAGCACAATGGAGAACAAGTTCGTCTGGTTTCACGTTAGGACTCTCCCGTGTGCAGGAGCAAAGCAAAGAAAGACTCACTTTGGATACCCAGCCACTTGGAGATGGCCCGGTCAAAGCCGCCAGGTCCCTGACTGATGTGCTTCAGCTTCGAGTCCTCGAGAGCTGTTTTTGACCTTCCAAACTCTACGTAGTGTCGATGAGGGGCATCGCCGAGGAACCATTCGACGCTCTCGATGTTCCCGGCAGCTGCAGCGTGGAGAAGGGGCGGTGTCTTCACTCCAGTTGACCGGACCACCGTGTTTCGTCCGGCCGTTGCCCAGTCCTTTCTGTGATGCGGGTCAGTACACTATCATATCGTTCTAACACGCATATGCTCACCTCTTCTTTCCGTAGACCGTGAGACCCTGGTAGTACTTCCGCTTCTGCTTCATCTCAACTCCACTTCTCTTGACCAGGTCGTCAAGGGGGATTCCGGCACCGGTTCGACTGATGATCTCTGCAAGAGCGGCAGTCTTTCCGTTCTTTACAGCCCAAAGGAAGTCGTTCTCGGGGAACGAGAAGTGCCCACCCATATCATCTTCGTCAGGAACCCTGCCGACAAGCTTCTGTTCAGAAAAGCGGCTAGCCATGTCAAGAAGCGTCTTCAACCCAGCATGATCGTCGTGTTGCAGAACGAACTTGAACAATGTCTGGTGAAATTCTTCGCTGCTTTTGGCCTTGCCGTCCTCAACCGTGAAGGTGTGGACATTCCGGGCCAGGAAATCCAAGGGCTTGACAGTGGAATTGACCTGCATTGAAACCTGGCCAATGTTTTCGATAGTGAACTTTTTGTCAACGATTTCAGAGATGATCTTGGGGTCATCGGTGGAGTCAATATCGCTCCTGTACGTCTCATCGTCGTCATCATCCTCGGAGTGGCCGGTATCCAACTTGTATCGCGTTGCTTCCTGATCCTCCGGGGCGTACTGGGCCATGACAACCTCCAGGATGACCGATGCAACATCGTGGTGGCCTCGGAGGTAAGCCAATGAAAACGGTGTGTTTTCACTGCTGTCGTTCACTGAGATGTTCAGTGGCGGCTCCTCCTGGTTCTTGCCCCAGGCCTGGAGCGTCAACGATTTGATCTTTTCGACATCACCTGACCAGGCGGCCTCGAAGCTATTGCAGAATCAGCATCCACTGAGTATTTCAGCCGCCCCGTGCACTTACAGCTCCAAGTACGCAGCCTTCCTAGCTTCAGTTACATCAGTAACACCGCGGAAGGAGAACACATAGTTGTAGTCGTTGACCTTCTTCATCTCCGATGTGTGGCTGTTCGAAAATCCCTTGTCAGGACGCCCGTTGTCAGGAAAGTCGATGTTGGGGTACAACTCCTCGATCGTTTTGCCTCCCTTCGCGATGATGGCTTTCTCCAGCTTCTCAAGCGATGCAATGACCTCCTTGATGGCTTCAGTCTTCTCGATAGTGCCTTTCCGCTCGTCGTGCTCCTTTTTTCCCTTTTCGTAGGATTCTTGTTGTGTCTTGTGGGAAATCTTAAGCCAATCAATGTTTTCTGATACCTGCCAGTGTTGGTAAGATCCTTCTTCGTACTTTTGGAGACACTCGTCCATTCTCAAAGGTAGCTCGGGCTTCGGCTGGGTAAACTTCTCGGATTTGTAACTGCGAAGGCACTCCAGCTGATCCTTGACAAGGTCAAGAGCAGTCTGACTCTGATGGTAATATCCCCGGTGCCCATGCTCGATAGCAGGATAGGAGTTCTTTGTCAGTGTGTTGGGATCCGCCCCCTTTTCGACCAAGCTTATGGCTACCTCGGGATCAGAGCAGTTCTGGATAGCCACGATAAGTGGCTGATCGTTCCATTGGTTAAACTGCCTTTTGTTGTCCTCGTATGAACCAAGCCTGCCAGACGCCTTGGAAAACTTAGCCGCCTTCAGCCACGTATCGAACTCGATTTGGGGATTGGCGCCGGCCTCAAGTAATTTGAGGGCAAGGATCGAATCACCATTCTCAATCGCGGTATGGATAGGCGCAATTGCCACATGACTCCAGCAGTTAACAAAAACCATGTGGTTCAGCGCGGTCTTGAGGCCAACTTTGTCGTTCTCCCACAGTGTGTCAATCATCTCCCGGTTACCGTTCTCAACGTAACGGTGGAAAACGGTGCAACCATCCATGTCGGCTTGGGATGAGCTGGCGCCAAGCTTCATCAGTAGAAGAGCCATCGACTTGGCCTTTTCGATAGGAAGTGACAGCGCAAGTACCAGCGTCAGGATAGCCGCCTTTGGCTGCTTATTTGAGTCGAGAAATTTGACGGGAAGAAGAGCGTCGCTACCGTAATCGCAAAGAACCTTGACAGCATCTTCATGCCCTTCCGAGATGGCAAGATGAAGAGGTGAACAAGGTACGTCCCAAGCCAAGACGTCGATCTGGTAGAAATCGGGTCCATCGTTCGTCTCGTCCAGGACGAGATCTTCCCTACCGTATCCTCTCAGCAAATGTGAAATCCGCACGGGCCACGGGCTGCTGGAAAGGGGTAAGCGGGCTGGCAGAAACAGGGATCTAGATGTGGCAAATACAGGAATTCATTTACGTCAGCAGCAGGTAGGTGGCAAGGGTTAGGGTTATATGGGTGGGTGTGTGTGTAGGTAGGTTGACCGCCTGTTATAATGGGACTAGCGTGTGGCCCGTGCGGATTTCACATCTGCTGAGAGGATACGGTACTCTTCTCGTTCTCATCCTTGACATTAACGAAAGAACCAGTGGCAATAGAAGTTTCATCTGCTTCGGTGTTGCCCGCGTCGATCATCTCAATGTCGGAAGCTTCGCTCGAATTATCATCACCCTTCGCATCCATGTCTTCGTCAACCCGGTTAGATATCTTCTGCGAGCCAGAGCCATCCTGCGACCTGGCCTGAATTTCTTTGCGGCGGCGATCGGCCTTCTCCTCTTCTTCCGCTTCGTTGAGGTTGCTCCTGTCCATCAGGATCTTGATCATGTCGGATTTCCCAAGCTCGGCAGCGAGATGCAGCGCTGTCCTGCCGTCGGCAAGGCGTGCAGTCAGACGGGACCCATGATCGACAAGACAACTCACGACTTCGGGCGTGGAGCTGGTCACCGCCAAGTGGAGGGGCGTGCGTCCAGTGTAGTCTCGATTGTTAGAATCGGCGCCCTGCTGTGACAGCCAATCGCGAACCTCATCGACATCGCCATCGACGATGCTCTGGCACAAGCGAGCAGTGTTTCCCACGTATGCCATGTCGGTCCAGTCGTCCTCGGTTAAGGGATTGAAGGACCCGATCTGTTGTCGACCGGGATCATCAATCAGAAAGGAGACTTTGCCAGAGATATAGATCTCGCCTTCCTTCTCGGCTACTTCTAACTCTTCAGGCGTGACAGGCTTTGGGCAGCAGCCGCAGCAATCTTCAATAACATCCTCAACTCGACCGAAGAAGGCGGGATGCCGGTGGAGATATACCTCCCTGTTCTCATGCTGGTTCCACTCGGCATTCAGAACTGAAATTATTATTAGTGAGAGAGTGAGGGTCGATAGCTAAGATACTCACGCAGATCTCGAGTGTAGCAAAGCTTTTCAATCATCTTTGCATGGAAGCTGCTTGGGTTAGTTGAGGAAATCAATAGAATGGATATATCAACATACTGCTGACCGTATGGAACAGTGAAGGTGTGATAATTGGAGACATCGTTTTCGTCAACCCAGTCCGCAACTTCGTCCTCGTAGTTGTCTTTGATGTTCCCATTCAGGCGATGGGGGTTGAAGCGGTCCGCCACCGGACGGCCTCTCTCCTCTCTCCTCTTGTCAAGGTACGTCTCACGGACAGATTGTGTAGGGAGTCGTTCCAGAACCAGGAGTCTTGCTAAGCCGAGCGTCCTTTGAAAGCTGCGCTCGAAGATGGTGGGATCGATGCGTTTTCGGTCAAGCTCGGGCCAGTAAATTTCGAAGTTGCGGTGGCTGTACTTGGAAAGCCGGTTCTCATAGGAAGGACTTCGACGGGTGAGGTCGATTTGGTTGACTTGAGTGATGAAACTTCCCAGGGCTCTGGGCGTAACCCAGACCTGCTTCCCATCGTAGGCGCCACCTGCTGCGTCAATGTCAAATCCGGTGAGGATTTCACCTACAGACCTAAAGAACGGCGTTAGTCGTCATCTCTGCATCGGCCATCAAGCTGCTCTCAGTAAACGATTGACCTACTTGTATACACGCAGAACAATCTACAATCTCGATCAGTGATTGGTTCGGATAAAGGAGAACCAGAGCTCACCTGAATGTGGCGGGTGGGGTACTGAGAGGCAATGGTGATGGCATATTTTGTGCGCACAACCGTGACCTCACTCAGAATAGCATCGCGGACTGAAGTCTCGATCTCCTTGATCTTCTCGATAGCCTCTTCGTGGGTGAGACCGTACAGAAACAGATCAACGTCGGACGCCGGACAGAACTTCTTGTGGTAGTACTCGCGAAGCTTGCGTTTGGAGGTGTTGAATTCGGGCGGAACTGGCAGCAGAGTGTTGATGACGGATGACCCAGCAGCAACAACGTTGTCCCAGTTCATGTCGATAAGGGAAGACTCAGAAAAAATGTTGAAGTTCTTCTGGAATTCCCTGATACCGGAGACCACGGCAGGAGAGCCATTGGGACGGCGCTTATTGTCCGGGAGGACCATGATGTAGCGGTCTTTCTCCTCCTGGGTTTCGGCGGCGAGAAATCGGGCGCGGGTCTTGATGTTCTTGGTATCCTCGGTGAAGAGGGGCAACAGGTTGATGTGAGGGTCAGCGAGGGCGGGGTTTTGTCGATCTTGGGCGAAGACAGATCGGAGCTGAGCTTCATACTTGCGGTAAGGCTCCAAGATCTCGACCATCTTCTTCTCTGGGTGGCTGTGGATATAGTTGACCAGGTCCCCATGAGGGACCGGCAACTCCTGTAGCTTTGGGATGGTCATTTAGGCGAGTTTGAGGGCTGTTATCCAGTTTGAATTCTGTCTAGTGTTGATTAGAACTGCAGTTTGGTGAGTAGAGGACAAACGCTGTTCAACGGAAGAGACCGGTTGCGTGGTTGGTAGTCTAGACAATCGGTTTGTTGACTTTGGGTTTGAACACAAGGAGCTCAAGAACGACAGCTCCTGGAGTGTGGTAGGAGGAGGAGCAGAGCAAATAGCAGCAGGCTTTTGGATCGATTGATGGGCAACAGGACGATATGAGGGAGGTGGAACTGGATACCGACGCAGAAGTGAAAAGGGTTTGAGAAAGGATGATGGGAATCGAAGCTATCTTATACAGTTTGCGTCGCTGTCATCGCACCAGAAAGAGGGACATGGGATGCAGGCAGAATTCGGTCAGAGCCAAAGCACATCTTCCCCATGCTTCAACCAAAAGGCACTCCGTTTCCCAAAACCGATGTGGGAACCAGCATGTAGCCGGACCCTGTGCAGGAAGCCATCGCAGCGTGGCGTGTTGTACAGGCAGGAGACGCGCCGAAAACGAGAGTAAAGAAGACGAGAGACGCGATGCAGGGGGCGTGCTGCCTAAAGCGCGGGGAATATTCGACACGAAGTCCAGTGACCCTAGGGGGTGTCCCCACTGTTTCCTCCCAACGTCGACCGCCACAGCCCGCTGTTGCCTAAGCAAGCCTGGTCGGAACGGCACCCGAGGCCCGCTGGAGCCTGGAGGATATCCGATTTTCCACAGAATCTCGCAATAACTTCCAGCCCTGTACATGATGCGGCCGACCTTTGCTACTGCTTCACCAGGCAGAAGCGCGTTCTAGATCTGCTTCCATATTGAATTCGGGAGCAGAGTTCATGTAGAACTTTCACTGTATACGAGCATACGTTGTATACTATATTAGGGGTGTAACCTTCCACAACTCACATAGCAGCTGCTTTTCTGCTTATGCTAATCCTCCTCATCGGCCTTGAAGAGAACGAAGAGGCGGAATATATAAGATCGGGCCTTTGTTAAACACGGACGAGTGGTTCTTGGCGCCTAAATCCGTAATGCACTAGCTACGGCTTCCTTCTCGGGCACTCAGACACAGAAAATCGGTGGTGTCGTCCGTTCATTATCGACTAACCAGCAGTGCACCAATTTTCAACTAGGTGATATTTCTTGCTCTAATATATAGTCGTATTAATTTATAGCTATAGCAATCCTTAACAAACAGCAAGCCAATATCTCGTTCACGTCTCCCATCAGTTCATCAGCATTGCTCAGGTTGCACAACCTGCAACCAGGCGCTACTCATCGCCTGACTAAGAAGTCCTTCTCATCCTCAATGAGACTTCTCTCCTCCTGGTCAAGTTTGACGACTTTGGCCGACCTCGGACCCTCGTCGATGTCCTTGAGTAGCTTCTTCAGCGCGTCCTCATCACCCTGCGCCTCGCCCTCTACCTGTATGTCATGGATATATAGTCAGCCAGCACATCCGCCCGGGATCATAGAAGCACGTCAACCAAATTCTGGAACTTGTATCTTGGTGATCGTAGCTCAGTGCATGCAAACTCACCTTATTGTTGTCTGTATTGCGACACCATCCTGTGAGACCATATTCAGTTGCTTTCTTCTGTGTAAAGTAGCTATTCCAGGCAAAGCCATCAGTGTTTACTCAATTTCGAATTGTACTCAGCTGTTACCAACTTGCCCAGAGATCAGACAATGGGCGTGTGGGGCAATGATATCACGAACCGGAATCCAACGCCTGATGTGTGAAGTCAGCGTGCTGAAGAACACCATCAACCTCGGCCTTATCCAGACCAAGATAAAAGCTTGGAGCTCGTGTGGAGGGAAACCACGAGGGGTTCACGTACCTTGCACTTGGCCGCCGTGTGCCAAAAAGTATACCTTGGGATCGTCAGAAACGTCCGAATTTTGACCTGCAGAGAAAAGTAACATACTCTCTTCGCCATGATGTTTCTGACTCTCGTTTTGTGTAATAGATGTCTGGTTGTAATGTTGAAATTAGGATGCAGGAAGTCAAAAGTAGCTCGGAGCTACCCCCAAGCTTGCGACGGCCAAAAAAAAACACCCTTAATGGTGGTGGGGTTCCAATCATCACGATGACATACCAGGCAAGGCCCCTGCTGAACTTTCTCGTATGCGCCCGCCATCGATAGGCTAAACCTCGGGTACTTGTTTTGTGTTCAAATCCTCGGGCGGGTTTGCGATCTATTCTGTGCCTAACATCATTTTGCATGCTTAACTATCCATCCATCTGTCCTTACGCGCAGCAAAATCTAATGCCCGAAATCAACAATAACAACAACAACAACAACGTCAAATTCACCAAGCACAGATAAAATAATACAAGGGTCGCGCGCCTTTGCGCATCGACTCGGAGATGGCGTCCCCAAGCGACTCAACACCAGCCGTCGACCCGGTCTCCGCCCCGATCCTCTTTCGCACAAAGAAGAAGCGCAAAGCAGGCCTCCGTCAACGCGCCGCATCACCCGCCGACGACACCCCGATCGCCTCCGCTTCCTCAGCAGCTCTGAACGCAACACCTCTGGACCAAATTGACGCATCTGTACCGACGAAACCTGCCCCTGACGCAGTGGCCATCGCCGATGAAGATAACGAATCCCACATCCCCTCCGCTCTCCGCCATCGCTCCCGCAAGCGCCTCAATGGCGTGGGCTTCTCCGCGCGCGGAAGCACAGCCGCTGCAGCGGTTTCAACAGACGACGCGGATCTCCTTACCTCAATTTCATCGTCGCGCGCTGTGGTCCCCGCCGCAGCATCCCCTCCGGACGACGAACTCGTCATCGCGAAGCGCTTCGCGCCGCAGACGGGCACCGCGGCCGCTACCATCGTCAACAAACACATGTATGTACCATCATTTTCCCTCGCATGGGTGAGACGAGGATCCCAAGATAGTCCACACCCCACCACCGTTGGCCAGAGGCTGATCAAGCAAGGATGGAATACATAGAATCCCACCTCTCTAACCGCAAATCCCCCGCCACGCAATCTACGACAAACCCACCGCCACCCGCGCTGACGAGTTCACAATCGTCCGCATCTACGACCTCCCTTGCACAACCACCGCCGCCGCCGCCGCCACTACCCACCGCCGAGCCCGGTCCAAAGAACCACCCCATCATGCAGGGCAAGCTTATAGAGGTCGATCTCGGCGACGAGGCTCGCGCCCGCAACCAGGCCATGACCGAAAAGGCCGCCCGCCGCCTTCTCGGCGAAGTTGACGGTGCGGACACCGACACCCCAGACGGCCGGAGAGCGAAGAAGCCCCGCCTCGGGAGAGACGGCAAGCCCTGGCGCCCCCGGAACCGCCGCAATAGCGACGACATCAAGCGGGACCAGCTCGTCGAGGAGATTCTGCGCGAGAACAGGCGTTAGTTACCCCCCCCCCCCCCCCCCCCCCCCCAATATTCTCTGCCACCATATCCCTCTTTCTCCCATGTCTGCGTCCGAATTTACTGCAAACACATACTAACAAAAATACCCAAGTCGACGTCTACGATGTGCCCAAACCTCTACAGCCCCAGGATGACGCCGGCGGCGACGCCGACGACCGCATCGCCGAAGAGTTCCGGCGCGAGTTTATGGATGCCATGGTCCAGCGGCATCAGAAGAAGAAAACGACCGCGGCGCCGGCCCGCGCGGGAGCTCGCAAGGCGGACGAGGAGGTGCTCAAGGGTCCCAAGCTGGGTGGCAGTCGAAACTCCAGAGCTGCCATGCGCGACTTGCTCCTGAAAAAGGAAAAAGAGAAGGAGTCGAGAAGATGATGGAACTGTGTCCATCTCATAATCGAAAGGGATTTCGACACACTCCAATGATACCCATGTTACTCGAGGGAAAAGGTCTGCTAGAAATGATTGAATTTCATGATTGGCATCTATAAACCAATTGAGTACTCCTGAAAATCAGATAAGACAGTTTGCCCATACCCGCCCAAAGTATTAAAGGAACAAAGGTCATGACGACGTGCAAGCCAACCATTCATCCTGTACCCATTTTGATATCCCGTAATAAAGCCTATAAGTAACGAAAAAGAAAAAGGGGAAGAGGGGGGGAGGGAAAAAAAGCAAGAGCTATCCCACAATACTGTCATAGTTCACTCATCCATAGAATAGTAAAGATTGTGTAGAAAACCGGCTCATGAAAAGCTCTCTGTCTAAGCTCTCGCCAAGTTGCAACGCCAGGGTATTGAACGATGCAGCGAATCCTCATGTCAAGTTTGATGCTCTGTTGGTTCCCAAGACGCCGAGTGTGTATTGGTGCGTGATGTCAAATGCAGTATGCAGCCCCAGGTTCAAATGTTGTGCGTAACGTATTCATGAAGGTCGATGAGAAGGACAAAATCACCGGATGTCAAGCTGGAATGGCTTGAACCGGCCGCCAATTGTTGCGCAACGGGGGCACTTGCGACGGGCCCCCTGCTCTGCCATGAGAACATCAACGCACGCCTGGCACAGGCCACAGATGCATTCTGTGCAGGCATACGAGTCCTTGAGCAGTGAGACGCTCTGACAGGCTGCGCAATAAATTTGAGTATTCTGAGATGAATAACTCGGCGATGAATCTGACAGGCCTCGAGACTCGATATGGAAGTTCTCTCCACTCTCGCCGCTCTCAACCGACGGGAATGGGTCAATTGTGTCCTGGTTGTAGGATGGCGGGGTCAAGGCTTGCTGCAGAGGTGAAGCTTGGTAATTTCCTCCAGTCGCTGCTTGGAATCCATGATGTTGTTGGAATGGAGGCAGCGAAGCCCTGTGAATAGAAACTGGTGATTGAGGCATCTGGATGCGAATCAGCACGTGTGAGCATGAGTAGCATGTTAAGGGTTCTTACGGGAGTTCTATCCTCATCGATATCGCCGGCGGCAGATGCAGCCTGGTCGGCGGCGTCGATGAGATCTTCCCATCTCTTCCCATAGTCTGCAGAAGGTTCAGCCGATAACGCCTTACGGTCATTGTTACCTGGTCTTAGCCGTTCGTCGTTCTGGATGCGTCGAAGCCAGTCTGCTGCCGATCCGCGAGACTTTTGTTTCTTGTGGTGTGCCTCTCGGCCTCTCTTAGTAACAGATTGCTTCCTTGGTCGCGCGGGCCCTACTGGTCGCTGGATTGGCGGAAGTGTCGAGGAACGCCCAGGAGGGGAATTTGCTATGATTGAGGGGAGGATATCACGCGGCCTGCTCGAGTTCATGGCTGGAAACGGCTCGCTGGTAATGTCGTTATTCGACAACTGCAATGGCGGCAATTCAATTGATGTCCTGGGAATCCGACGCCCTTCGCTGTCAGAATGCCAACCCTGGTTGGAGAGTGATTGTTTAGCCGCCTTTCTACACTGGTAAAGTAACTAAAATCGACGAATTTGAGCTCACCATCTCGGACTCCCATTCAGGTTCGACCTTGTGACCATGCAGCTGAGCCAAAGCAGCAGCGGCGCTGGCGGCGGGAAGCATGGAGCCGACAGCTTGGTCCTCCATGACCCGGGGCGTCCCCGGATTGCTGTTGTCATACATGTGGCGGTCATGATTGAAGCCTTGAAGATAGTCAATCTTTGAGGGGAAGCCCTGGATTGAGAGGGACGAACCCTGGGGAATAGAGGTCGCGGTTGGCATCGGCGGGCGTTCAGAAGGAGGAGTATTGATCATGAGCAAGAAGCTTTCTTCGGTCGCTGGAAGCTTAGAAATATAGTGCTCTGGGTGTGCTCGGCGGATGTGCTCTTGCATGGAACGATATCGTTTTTCCTGAGGTTTAACCAAGGGCGTTAGAGGAGCTCTGCTTTTCCTTTCTCTCGATCGGGTGGATTTGGCTGTCGCGATCGAAGCTCTGCGCTGGAGTCACAGAATGCGCAGACGCCCAATGCTTGTGGCGGAGGAGACGACGTGAAGAAACCACGACCAATGCAGCAATATAGGGCAGCACTTACACCGATGCATCTTTTCCTACAGCTAGATCCATCTTGGTTTCGCAGAGGACACACGACTTCATTGTTGGAGTCGGTGATTGAAAAGGAAGACGTCAGAGAAGATCTGGGCGGCATCTTGACCCCACCATGCGCTTGAGGGCTGGTATCGATACTGAGCGGGGTGAGGTGCGATAAGTGCGGCAGCAGTGGTGTATCGCGAGGCGGAAGCGAGGTTAATTGAATGCGACTCGATGCAGTGAAGCTTGACCATTTGACGGTTCGACGAGAAACTGCGATACGTGGTGAGCAACTGTTTAGAGCTTTTGGAAGCTCTCGTCTCTTTTTCTCTCTCAGGCGTGTTACAAAGAGTGTTTCGAAGAAGAACAAGGTGTAGTGGAGGGGAGGAAAGGACGGGGAGGAAGAGAAGGAACCTGATTTTGGGGGGGGAGGGAAGTTGACCGAAAGCAGTAAGTAGCGGCAATGTGGGAGTGAGGTACACTCGACAGGCTAGGTAGGGGTGTGGCTCGGTCTGGTGGGTAATGAAGTACGATGTAGGTACCCAGCCAGGACAGGTCCAGGTCAAGTCAGGGAAGGACAGGACAGGGCCAGCTACCTTGCGCAGCACGCGCAGCCCAGTGAGGAGGATCATACTCGGTAGGCCTGCCCAGTCACGTATACTACCCAGAAAAAGCAGGGGATGGGATGGGACGGGATGGGATGGGATGGGGATGAGGTACGGATACTGGCAAGGTGGACGAGCAAGGAGAGAGCTTGGATCTGGCAAGGCGCCCTTGTCTTTCTGACCTTGGTCCTTGGTGTAGCGAATCTATCGAGAGGGTGGGAACAAGAGCTGCTGACGAACATCTAGACAGTTTACATTGTGCCCAGCTCTGAGAGCTGCCTTGGACCGAGAGTGCTACAAAAATAATTGAGTTGCGCGCGCGCTCGTACCTGTCTGTTCTGTGTCGGTCCTGTACCCGAACCTAAGCTGACCCTGAGCTTACTTTGCTTGCACTATAGATGAGGTGAAAGATGCAGATACATAGAGAGTGATAAAAGCGGTCGTCGCGAACAAGGAGGTGACGACGAGGCGAGCGAGGGATGGGCGGAACGACGAGGGGCAAGGAAGTGAGTGGTAGGTAGGTACCTAGGTATGTAGCGACTGAGGTGAACAGGTGACAAGCTGTGAGCTGAGACTCGGTACTCGTCGAAACGATGGGTGAACCTAGGCAAGAAGCCCAGCTCCGGAATGGGGTGGCAAGACGGTATCAAAGTCACTGATCAGGTGCAAGGTGCGACTAAAAATGGCCAACATGGACGGCCGGTTGCTGCTAAATGACAAGACGGCTGCGCCGGCGGTTCGGACAGTGCAGTGATGCGGTCGGGTGGTGTAAGTGGCTGGTCAAGCAGAAACGAGGGGATGGATGCTACGAAGCTCTCTCACTACCAGCTTCGATGTTGGTCGGCCAGCTTTGTCACGTATCATAACAACGCCGGCTGGTCGCCGAAACCGAGCTTTTCATGAATCCTGCCTCAAACCTCGAAAGAAGTCGGGTGGGCTAAACGCATTGCCCGAGGGACGAGTAGCAACATGTTTCCTCTCGAGTCAGTTGTTCCGCCTCTTCTCTTTGTTCGATGAAAAGGCTGCAGCACACAGAGGTGCCTGACTTGGCCGAGAATGGCGGTAACCAGCTGAGCGTGGGAACACTTTTGGTTCAGTTAGGTATAGTACCGCCTGGTGCTTGGATGACCAGCTTAGTGCTTGAGGTAGGTACAAGACGGTGGCGGCGTCGTCATCTTCCAATAGCAGGTCAGCAATCTGAGAGCTCGGGGTCAGCAATGGCGAGGTCTGTCCTGTCCCACGTGATGAGCCACCAAAGGGGAGAGAGGGGGGTGGGTTGAAAAAAAAGGAAGGAAAAAAAAAAAAGAAAGAAAAAAAAGCAGCTCGACCGACCCGCCGAGAAGGTCCAGAGCCAGGCAATTGGATAGCATGAATGACTCGATCCAGGACGGAGGGTGTCTGGTGGGTTGGCAGGTCGGGTTGGTTGGTTGATCCTAGGGCTAAAGGGAAGGACGAACGAGGCCTGGCGATAAAGGAGGGGCGTGAATGCTAGCAAAACGAGATACACCATCCGCAAATCCATACCTTAGTAGAGGCACTAGAGGCAGAAGGATCGCAAGGCACGAAAGAGAAGCAACGGGAGAGGGGCGTAAGGAGGGAGAAGGAGAGGGGAAAGGGAACAACACTGGAGCAAGGCAAGGTAAGAAGAGGGAAGGAGGGGGTGGGGACTGGGGAGGGGTGATCACAACAATGGCAAGCAGACTGTCTAGTGGGGCTCGCCTGCTTTGCTCTTTCTCTTCGGAGCTTGCGAGTGGTCGGAAGAGAAAAAAGGCCCTTGTCGCAGTGCAGGGGAGCTCTTGATTCTGCCTTTTTTACCTCTATCATTGTCACCGTCGACTGTCTCCCGCCCCGCCTTCCCTTTCTGACCGCCCGCCCCGGCCTGGTCTGTCCGAAGTTGATGGCCTTTTCGGAGCCATCTCTGTTCAGCTCTGATGCTGCTGCTGCAAGCTTCTCTGGTCTCCTGCCGTCTGGTTTTGCTACGCTGTGCTGCCCTGCCGTGTCTCGTGTCTGCTGCGGCTCCTGTTGCTTGCATACACGTACGGCCATCTCTCCTCCCTCCGTCCTCACCTGCATCTGCGTTCCGCTAGCGACAGAATAGCGGAGCTGGACCCCTGGCTTGGCTGTCACCTCCACTGATTGAAGATACGTATTCGTACGAATAGTAGTCCTGACCTCGGTCAACATTTGCCTGTCTGATCACTCCCTCTGGATCCCCGCTGCCCGACCATCGCGTTGAACATCCCAGCAGACGGGTAGGGGGGAGGGAGGCTAGGTCATTGCAGCAAGTATGTAAGGTAGCTTACACCATAGTAGTTAGTACTCCGTAAAAAGCGGATAGCTTTGTGCGCAGGGCAAGACAAGGTACTTCAAGCGAGGCGAAGCCTCGCGTCTTTCTTTTCACTGCTTGATTAGGTACGCTGCTGTGGCCAAGATGGATGCGCACGACTGATATCGAGTAAGGTAGTTGCTTGCTTGGGTAACCTGATCAGTGCTGCCAAGCCACATTAAGTGCTTCATGGCATTGCCACAACAAGATGAGCACCTCCAGACCATATCTCCGGCACAAAAGCTACGAACGGTCCTGGGCAAGGAAAGGCATGATCGGGGCGGCCGTTGGGCATTGAGAACTGGAACACAGACCAGCAGCACGAGGTTGCTTCCCTTATGTGTTGCTTGTAGCTTGCAGCTGTTGTCAGGTCGGCAACAGGCAACCCGAAGCACCTCGGTCGGCGCACCCACTGCATGCAGGGCCCTTGCTTTGCCTTGACAAGTTCAGGGCATTTTTGCAAAGGTGAACCTTGGAGCTGCAGCGCCTCCAAACCGCGCACCAGTGGAGAATTTACCCCCGACCCGAAGCTTTTGGCACCGAATCGTCTGTTCCACAAGCGGAGAGGAAGGGCGGTGGTGGAGAGCCAGAGGCAGGGGTCGACACTGGCGGGTGAGACTGTGATGCGTGCGTGGATGTGGATCATGATGCGGATGTAAGTGGATTACTCTGTGGTATCGACGGAGTGACGGGGTGGCTGTCTGTCAAACGCAGAACAGCTTCTTCAAAGAAGGGGGTTCTCGGGTTTTTCGATTTTTTTTTTCTGCTTTTCTTTCTCTTGCCTTTCCCTTGCCATGTTCCTGCCATGTTGAAATGCTAGGATGCCTCAGGGCTCTCCAGCACGTCAACCTGCCTTTTCCATCCAAGTCACCCTGCTTGTCAAGATGTTGCCATTACCACCCGCCTGGCTTAGATAGGAACATACTCTACCTAACTTGAAATGTACCTTGTCTTCCTTCTCTCCGGGCTTTTGCTCTTCTCGCTTCTTCGTCTTCCGCTCCTCGGATTGGGTGGCGAGCAAAGCTAAGGCAAGGCAGGTACGTACCGGGTATGACCGGGGAGGTCCCCGCTTTCGGCACGAGGGGGACCCTCCAGTCCCCTCGCGTTCAACCTTCCTCTCGACCTATCACCACTCGGTAGATTCGACTGTATAGCAGCAAAAAGAGAGCGAAACCCCCGACCGATAAAGTACATGTTACCTACTCCAAAGCGGCGCGTCTCCAAAACCAATGCCGAAAGTCTGCACTAGAAAAAGAAGGGGGAAAAGGAAAGGGGGGGGGGGAACAGCCGGGGTCGCTCCACTTTGTTCCTTGCTCTCCAACCAACCTCTTTGGAAATAGGCCAAAGCTGCCATTGACAACCCGAAACCACGGCTTTTCACCGAGGCGGCATCTGCTCAAAGAACGCAGCTTAAGTCCGAACCCTAGCCTTGTCCAGATAGGTACCTCCCTTGCACCCCTATCTCTTCGGCTTCTGATTTCGAGGTTTGTCAAGTCTTTTTCTCATTGGGTTGGCAATGTCAAAATCATATCTCACCTCACTCGAAGAGGTAGTAGTTTGTGTGATAGATACGGCATTGCGGATGACTACGTAGAACCCAACGCTGAGGAGGTTAAATCGATGAACCAATGAGCGGGCCAATTACACTCTGTCTTCACCTTGCAAAATGGCTTTTTCTCTCTTTCCCCCTTGCCACATCCCACTCCGTGGACCCCTGGTTAACGGGTGAAGACTGTACTCCGTACATAGTAGATTGTAAATTAAAAAAAAAAAAAAAAAAAAAAAAAAAAAAAAAAAAAGGCAGACAACACTTGCAGAAAAAGCGGGGATCTCTTATTACATCCTCCCTTGGACCACCCAAATGACATCACGCTGCTTCGGCCGGGTTATGTCCTCCGTTTTCGTTGGTTTCTTCAAGGAAGAAGCAATGATTGGTCACAGGGTTCGCGGTGGCATCAAACCTCGACCCGTCTCTGGGTACGAGCACAGAGTCATTCGGTCGTTTTGATGCAACAGACAAGCATTTCGAATCCCGGAGTACCTAGTGTACGATCAGACCAAATCGGGGGCCAGCCCATCTCGTGACGGCCCACGGAACGTTGCAACGCTTCCCTAGACCGCCAGCGGCTACGCTCCTGGTAGGTTAGGACTTTGGCTACGTTGGCCCGAGGGAGGTTACCTAGGTACCTTGCCGCGGCAGTCCAAATGGTTTCGTGGATGCCGAGATGGGTTCAGACGGAGACCAACCTGCCTGAGAGCACTGAGCTTGATCTTGGGGTGGTCAAGGAGAAGTGAAGAAAGCGGTGAGTCGACCCCGCCTTTCTGCCACCCTTTGCCTGCAGCCTGCAGCCTGCAGGGCGCATCCAGCTCCTCCTGGCCGGTAGTGTACACGACCAGATTGGTGCAGAGGATAAGCTCCAGAACGAGAGAGCTCGGCCGCTACTGATAAGAAACCACCAACCACATGCCAGGGACAGCTTCGACGATAAAGCTCCTCCAAGGATTCCATAGCAGCAAAGTTAGTTACCTTTCAACCGAGCCTCCAGAAGCTTCATTCTCGAGCCATGTGAGGCGGCTAGCAGCTAGCTGTTCATGGCCTTCCAGCTTTCCTTTTCCTCATCCTTCGAGTTTTTTCCCAGAGGTTATTGCCCCGAACTAAAATGCAACATGGACCTGGAAAAACAGGCTTGCTTGCGAACAACCCTCTCTAGGCACTCCCTCTACAAAGGCTTGCTCCACCTAATTATTAGCAGGCTTCGGTTCAGTGGCTCTCGCTAGTCTTCGACACCACCAGAGCTGGTCCGAAATGGGGGGTGTCAGCGAATCGGCCCACAGAGCGGCAGCATTGGGAGCGCTCTCTGAGTTCTCTGGCAGCAACAGCTACTACCTAGCGAGTTCGAGGACGCGAGTTGTCCAACATAGGATGTATCGGAGGGGTCTCTGTTGTCTGTCACATGCTGGCTTCATTTCTTCTCCACGCCATTAGCTTCTTGCCTACCAGACAAGCCGACTTCTAGGCTCTGGTTCTTATTTGCTCCCTGGCTTCCGAGACATGGCGGTCGATCGAGGGACTGTCTTATCGGAAACGCCGACTCCGTCTGCGACGGTCTGCGACGGTTGTAGTAGCCTCTCAACCTCGTCATTGTCGCCGCATAGATTCCGTAAGAGCTTGGCCAAGCCTTAGGGGTGATGGCAGGTAAGAGGAACCTGATCAACTCTACATGTCAGCACTGTGCTGTGTCAGTCTCTGAAACACAGTGCAGGAGGGGCAACACTTAAAACATCCTCCCACACCTCCAAGCACAGGCTCAACTCATTCGTCTCGACTACTCCGTACAGAGACACAGGATAACCCTGACTGCATTCATTTCGCAATCGAAGCCAGCCCAAAGGAGTTGGAGAACAGACCGTGACGCCATTCAGCAACGCAGGAGCCCTTCATGCGAGCAGACACCCACATGTACTTCCCTTGGTTGCGGACGAAGCTCTATGCCGACGTCATGAAGTTTCCTTGCAACCGCCAACTCCAGAAGAAAACTCTGGGCTTTGACTGTTAACGCCATCTGCTGCCCCGGATGGATATGTCGTTTCGTTGCCCCCAACGACAGTGGTCCTTCCGGTCCGGATAGCTGGCCAGACACATGATACAATGGATCATCCCTTGCCTTGTTAGGGGTTGAGGCAGCCGGAACCGCTACAGCCGCTGCAGCCGGCTGTCAATCCTGCATGAGTTGCAGAAGAACACAACACACAAGGGCTTGTCGACAAATTTCCCACTGGCTGTGCCATCTTTTAAACACGAACAGCGGCCAGCTGCCATCTTATCAACTAATTAGCTAGCCGACTCAGCTTGCTCAAACCCGCCCCAGGTTTCGATTGTCAATATCGTCCGAAATTCGTCACATCCAATCACAACACCCCAAGTTCAGGATCCCAAACAGACTTGTCACAGGTCCTCGCTGATCAGCGCCTCGGGGTGTCGCGCACAGACGGTCGTGGTGCGTCTTGGTTACCAAGAAACAGAAGAAACTCAAGAAAAAAGTTGAATGCTTCGGCGCGCCCTATTAGGTTTCCGAACAGTGATTGGCAATAACAATAATGAGGCCACCGACGGAGCTTCGTGTGATCGGTCGGGCTCTGGACTGATGAGATTGTCTCCTCGGAATCTGCAAGGGGACGCGCTCCAGTCTCTAGACCAAAAAAGGTGGCCCAGCCTCGACAGTTTCAGCCTCCGACCTTGACCGAACTTGGCAACCTCATTTGCAGATTTTTGCCAAGCAATCGCCCACAGTAGTCGTCATTCTAACATCGGTCGGACTCTCGGCAGTCTGGGCAGCTCGCGTTAACCTGCCCTTGCTTGGGGCTGTTGATCTGGTAAAAGATCCGACCGCGATGCTCTGGCCTCCTCATTCACACCGTCGTAGCCTACCGGACTGGCGTTACAGGGACCATGTTTCTAATACTCCATGGAAAGCTTCCTGAACTCGCCTCGTGTTGCCCTGGAGGGCTTGGTCGCGTCCGATCGTTCATGGTAGCAGATCCCCAGAGTTGCGTACCCCCCTGACCCCAAATGTTGCCATCAGCATGGCACATATCCAACCGTCTAGCCTCCTTTTCTGTACATGATCGTGTTCTTGTAGGCGTAAGATATTGTTCTGCGGCAGTTCACCATCTGCGCTTAACCGTTGTGCGGTTGAACGTCCATATTGTCTTATACATTTCCTCCTCGTTGATAAGTCTGCACCATGGCGTTGACTGTCAAGCAGCTCAATGCCGATGCCTCGTTCCTATTGACCTTTGAACCCATCGTCCCCGAGTCAACGCCGGGCATCACTGCAAGGCCGTTCCGGGTCCTGTTGGATCCATGGATCACAGGACCATCCACCATATTCCACTCCATACTCGCAACCACGACGCATAAAGAGTGCCCATGCGTTTGTTCCCTACAACACCTACCGGAACCTGACCTCGTCATCATAAGCCAGCACAAGAGCGACCACTGCAACGAAGCAACGCTCCGACAACTGCCCGCCAGCGGGACGCGAACGCTGATTTTAGCTGAACCCGCGGCGGCCAAGGTAATCCGGAGCTGGAAGTACTTCGACGCGGACAAGGTGCACACTATTCCGCGATGGGAGGATCCACGGGCAACTGGGAAGCAGTCAGTGGTCAGGGTGAAGGTCCCCCCCTTCTCTCCCGGCGGTGAGCCTGGCGAGGTGACGGTCGCCTTCATCCCACAACGCAGGGACTTCAAGGGATTACACGCCGCCATTGGAATCACGTATCGGCCCCCGCCGACTTCGCCGAGATTCCCCCACCTCTCGACGCCCCCAGAGACGCCAGTCTCTCAGCAGTCGAGCCTCACCACGTCCCAGGTCGCGATGGCCTCGCACAAAAAGTCCAGAAACGCACCAGTATACCTCAACCCTCCAACGCCCCCGGAGACACCAAGCAGCAGATCCCTCCGCTCCGTCCGCTCCGGCACCCTCGCCACGCCGATCCCAGACGCCCGCGACAGGGCCGTCTCCGTCATCTTCTCGCCACACGGCATTTCGTACCGCTGCCTCGAGAAATACGCCGATGCTCATCTGGAGGCCGAAGCGGCGCTGCCTCTGACGGCTCTCTTGCATTGCTTTGACACGGTGTCCAACCCGTGGTGGCTCGGCGGCAATATTTCGACGGGCATGCCGGCGGGTCAGGAGACGGCGGCGGCGCTGGGGGCCACAGCCTGGGTCAGCACGCACGACGGCGACAAAGACGTCAAGGGGCTGGTAACGAAAATGCTGAAGACGAAGAGGTACACACAAAAACAGGTTGCTGCCCCGTCGTCGTCTGGCCAGAAGCGCGGCGACAGACACGGTCGTTCGGCGAAGACCGGTGACGGGGAGAAGGAGGGCAAGGGAACCGAGGTGCTTGTCCTCGGGGTAGGCGAGGAGGTTGCGATGACTGGCGAGGGCGTGTGGAACGTCGAATCCGCGGCACGGGCGTTACCCATGTCTTGGAAACTGCCTGAGATAGGAAAGACACCGAAGGGGAGGGAGAGGGGGCGGGGGTTGGCACCGGTCGACACGGCGGCCAAGTATGGACCTCGCCGATGAACCCGGGCCTAGAGGAACTGCTCGGCTAGTTTGTCTTTTCGTGAGGTGTTTCGCGGCTTGGGCACTCAACTAAGCCCCTCACTTCTTTGATTGGGGGGAGAGGGGCTTGAGGAGTAGGGATACGATCAACATGAAGATACCCTCGGGAAAGAATGACGTCTGGGATGGGTGGCCTAAGACACGGTATGGCAATATGCGGAGCGTAAAACGGAGTTTAGGTTGCTTCTCTTCTCGTGGATAAGACAGACGATGTTTGCCCAGGACGGCGGCACCTCTGGCGTTTGGTTGGGTTTGGTTGATGCCTTGGGATATGCGGATAGGCGCATAAACATAAGACTACGGTAAATTGAGGAGCCAAACAAACCAGGCCGACCTCCTAGTAGCACTATCAAGATGAATTCTGCGAGAAAGACACCGTCACTCTGAGACCATTCACTGCTTGCGGTTTTCTTCTTTCTGTTCTGGACTCTGGTGGATGATAACTCGTGATAGGATATTGAGGACAGACAGATCCTGACTTGCGTGCTTTTGCTACAGAGCCCCGCCTGTGTCCTGTTTCCCTCCTCATTTGCTTGATTTCTCCTGCCCAGTAGTCAAGTCCAAGCCATAACGGTGTCACTTGAAGACTAGACGGTACGCAATTGAGTTTACAAGTCCGAAACGGATCGCATGCCCCGGTTGGTTCTACGGTCGATATAATCTGGATCAAGTATCATGGGGATTTGACATCAACCGAATTACCCTTTCTTCGATATATGACCTCATTATACTCATGTCAAGTCACGACCTAGGGGAAACTCGATTTGATCTTTGCCAATGATTTCCCGGCGTTCCTTGTCCGCATACGCGCGCGTCGTCCCGTCCATGCCTATCCATGGTCGGGCACAGTAGCCTCAAGCCCCCGCCGTGAGCCTGCCTTCTCATCCAAGGGATAGATAGACGCGCCTCTTACCTAGTTGTCATGTTCCATCATCACCGTCTTGATGACGCTTGTTGCGGGCTATACCGCGTACTGCCGCCTCCGTATGTGGTCACCGTGCACCGTGGACTCTATCCCCGTCATCCACCACTTATAGGAAGCCGACCGTTGTGAAATGTCACACCATGACAAATGATGGTTGCCGCATACTCCAACGCAGTCACACACGCAAGAGGCTCAGAACCAGCACCACCGTAACAGACGGGGCAGGAGCTGCAGCCGTGACGTGAAGCCGTTAGGACAATAGCATACTTTACCATCCGCCACTGCCTTTCGTGCTTGCACCTCTTGTGTTATTGCAAACCTGGGCCAGGCCTATGAGAATCAACAATGCCGGATTTGCCTTTTATCGCTATGTTAAGAAGACCACCCAAGTTAGTCAGCCAAACTTACCTCGAATCTCTGAGATCTTGACTGAGGAAAGGTATCGAAGCGGGGTACATCCAGGGCCTAGAAAACTTCCAAATTTGGCTATTTCCAGATAAATTCCCTACTAGGCATTTGGGATACAAAGAGACCGCGCCCATTAAGGACAGAGTATCACTTTCCAATCCCAAAGATCCCTCCCCCCATTACCTACACACCCGTTCCACCCAGGGTATCTAAATTTCCCATGCAAAACGAGGCATACCCCTCTCATCCTAGAGACGCGCATCTCCGAGTATACTTCTGCCTTATCGTTCCAAGCCAGCGAACTTGATGCCGTGGGTTCCCCATTCTTCCTTCCAGGCCATGCATCCAGCTGTACACTCACATAAGTTCCGCCGCATGAACTCTATTGCGACCTTTTGTCTATATCTCCCGCTGCCCCGCTCCTACTTGAGCTGCTTGAGAATCTCCGTTAGGAAGTCCTCGAAGCTAAGGGTAATATAGCCGTCCCTATCGTCGTCGTACTTCTTGAAAACATCCGTCATGCGCTTGAGCGAGATGCAGGCCTGAACGAAGAGGTCAAAGGACATGACGCCCTCCCCGCGCTTGTCGTACGTGCGAAATAGAAGCTCAACGAAGCCGGGGCTTAGACGGTAGCGAAAGGCGATCAGGGCGTTGCTGAACTCGGGGAGCGAGATGTTACCAGAGCGGTCTGCGTCAAAACGGTCGAAGAGCGTGCGCCACGAGGCTAGAAAAGACCAGAGTCCGCAGAACTCGGCGAAACCGATGGTGCCGCTGCGGTCCGAGTCAAACATGCGAATCATCATGCGTACCGTCTGCTGGTCGAAAGCAGTCCAGTCACCGTTGACAAGGGCGGTCGACAGTTCGCGCTCGGAAAGCTGACCGGTACCTGGGGGTTCCTATTAGTCAGCGACTCCTGGGTAGTGATAGCGGCAGCGGCAGCACTTACCATCCTTATCGACAGCTCGGAAGAGGGGCAAAAGAGTTGGGTCGGCGCCATCGCCAGAGGCATCAGGGGCAGGAGATGGGGGTGGTCTTGAGCTGGGCGGAGGTCGGTGCTGAGCGGTCGGCCGCGGACCGCCTGTCGGGGGAGGAGAGCTGACGCCGTACAGGGCATTGGGGTTTGGTCGACGATGGTCGTTCCGAGGATCGGGACGGTGATAGTCGTCACGCGGGGCCGGCGGAGGGGGCTTGCTCTCGTAACGGGTTTGAGAGGCAGGCGGCTGGGAAGGCTTTGGGGCAGCGCCGCCTTTCTGTGATGAGAGAGTCAGTTAATCTGCCCACGATTCATTGTTGCGCGTATGGAACCAAGGGGATGGTTTGGAGGAGCGGCGGGAGTGCCATGTGAGCTGGAGGCCGAGGAGGGTAGGTCACGTACGTGCTCGGGTTCCGCGAACCTAAGGAGGGGGTTAGCACGGCGGGGCAAAATAAATTTGATGAGGGGCTAGGGGGACTCCTGTTGAACCTCGTGAAACATACCTTGGAAGTTCGTCGGGGTTGTAGGGTCTGTTGTATGCCATTGTGATTCTGATGCGAACGTTGGGCAATCGAATCTAAGGAAAAAGGAGGAAACCAGTATTTGGGGACGACTCGATTGTGCTGGATTATATGAAGTTGCTGGGTGGGGGGTTACTGGGGGTTGAAGAGAGAGAGAAGGGGGGGAGCTGGATGGAGTACCTAGCTAGTAGGTATGTCGAGGCGAGACAGGGGACCACGACTCAACGTCAGGCGGCAGTCGGCACGCTATGCGAGCATGAGGCTACGTGTGTGTTAGGCCGCCGCGGCGGAGGCTGTGGGAGTGCCAATCGGGCTCGCTGCTCGCAACGAGATAGCTAGAGAGGGGGTTCAGCCGCACCTTCGGTGTGATGTAAGGCTTAGGTCGAGTTTGACTTTGGTTTTGCTGGTGCAATAATCTTCGGCGTCGGTTTTGGGGCAAGACGACTTTTATGGCGGGGGATGGAGGAGGATGGACGAGCGGCTTTTCTGGCCTTGGAATTGCGCTCGGAAAACGGAACCTGACAGCAGCTTTCGGGGCGCAATATGGCACGGGCGGCAACGACGCAGGGAAGCAATGGCGAGGAAGGCCTCGGTGTATGAGTCGGGGCGTTTGGGCGTTATGTCGCGTCAAATGTGCAGTGCGCAAAACGGTATAATGGCACCAACTGTAGCCAAAGATGGGTGGACGAGATTCGCTTTTCCGAAAAGCTGCTCTTCTGCAGATGCGGGACAAACCCTCAATGGAAGCCAGCGAGACAAGAAAAAACATTGGGTATCACACAGGTATGCGATCCATGTGGCGATGTTGACGCCCGTCGCTCCTCGGGACCCAGACGCAAGTCACAAGGAAGCAAGCGGCAAGGAAGGAGAGGGGGTAGCCGGGAAGTGGAAAGCGAATTGGGTCCGGGAATACTCATCCTAACTCTCTCCGAAAGTTTGATGACCCCGCCACACCGTCCGTTCTGTCGAGGGCACAACGTCAACGCGGCACCGGGGGGATGGCAACTCAATGAAGAATACAAACTGCTTGGTACGGAGAACACCGTTGACGGCCTACCCCGTAAGGCGGCTCAGGTGTGGAATGGGTGGGCAGTCTAGGTTTAGGTTTCAGTTTCAGTAGTTGTACTTTTTTTTTTTTTTTTTTTTTGGTAATTATTACCTACCTACTCGCTACTTGCCTCGTGTACGGATACAGACCACAGAGTATCCGTACACTTGCTACCGACATACCTCTACGCGCTAGTGTCCGGACAAGTCCTATGTGTATTGTAAGTATCTTTAACGGCGACAAGCGTCGGTTGGCCCTCGATTCGGTGTGATGTATCCACTAAACGGGCCCAAAAGGGTCCCAAGGGGTATTTTGCATCGTCTCGGGACCGGGCACTTGATACGATGGCAGATACAGATGGCGAAGCCGAAGGGTCCTGGGCCCTCTAACCCAGCCTGGAACCGCTGCAGTGATCCGGCATTGTTGCTTTCCACCCCCGACTGACAGTCTCACGCCCGATCATCAGACACACGCGCGGGACAGGTACGTATCTACCCTACCTGTACACTAGGTGCCTACCTACGATGTAGATGCATACCTACCTACCTACCTACCTCAGTAGGTACCTTTGATACTTCGCACTTACCTACCTAGGCAGGTACCCAGGCAGGAACAGTAAAAGGCATCCGTCCATTCACCTTACCATCCAGCACACACACCACGCTCGGCGGGACGGCATGACAACGTTGTCAAGTAATTAGGTATGAGGTGGTCGACTAGTCGTATCCCCGTTTAAGCTTAATTTGTCGAGGTCAATTCCGCTTGCCTTTTCACCTGGAATCCCCTGGCAAGTGGGCAGACGCCATTTCCAGTCTCGACGGGCTCCTCATATATGTGAGTGGTTTGGTGTAGTGGGTTAGACACATTGGACAGCCACATCCTCGTCCTCGTCCTCTTTACCTAGGTAGTCAGTCGTATGAAGCGTGAACGCCTCGTGAAGAGCACTCAGCCGTGCCGCCCCAACATCATTTCCTTCCAGCGCCCCCCCCCCCCCACACACCTCGAGTCCCGCCCCACCACAGCCCCGGCACCAACACGCCCCCTCCCTGAATGCCGAGCCTCCAGCACGGGACGCCGGCAAGCGGGATTGCGTATGCTTTCCAGCTTTTGCAGATTCGCGGCCCTCAACCCGTCTCTCGCCCAACCTTTACGAACACATTGAGCCTTTCCCCCTCCGTCCCCCGTGCTTCTCCCTCTCCCCTCTTCATCGTACGTACTTTGACCTCTTCTCTCCCCCTAAGCGAACCCTCGGAACATTTCAGATCACACGTCCCTTCCCTTCGTGGCTTTTCCGTCTACTCCGTTTTTGACTATTCCTCCACTACCACCTCTTCTCTTGTTTCTTCCTCCCTCTCCTTCTCTCCGCTTTACATTCTTACATGGTTGTTGATCTACCAATGCCCAATATGTGCACACATTCTCCTTTGAGGGAACTCGCACCACGGCGTCTCGACCGTTGCACTTTAGAGCTCTCGGTTGTCACTGACGGCTTTCACTACGTTGGGATCATCTTGCAGCCAGGCAAGTGCCTGAGATCCAAGATGGATCAACGAGCTGCTTCAACCGCTTTCAGTGTCACGTGCAGATCCCAGGCGAGTTGAATTACAGTATGACTGATTAGCTTGAAAACCCCATTCTAGGTCTATAGAAAATTGGTTATACCAGATACAAAACTTTGTATTCTCGCTCTGAACCCAACGGGAAGTTTTCAGACATTTTCCATACCTTCTCCTCCTCTGCCCACGCCTGAGCACTATCCCTCAAAATCACGCCAGCCCTACGACATCCGGCATGACCGACAACGACCACTCCACCGACAGCGGCGAGTTCTGGCTGTACGGTTATGGGTAAGTCCTCTATCCTTCCAACCCCTTGAGGTTTCCGATAACTACCCATCTCTCTTGGTTGATTCTTGTCCTTCACCTCCTCCCGCCATCCCGCATCCATCCCTGCTACAGGCAGGCCTTACGTATGTTAGTCCTAACGCTAGAACCCCCGTCCTCCAGGAGTTTGATATGGAAGCCTCCGCCACACTTCGGTTAGCCTCCCCCTTCCGCCCCCCTTCCCTCCCTTTCTAGCCGTTATCCGATTTGCCGACTGATCTGTATCTTCTTAAACCCCACAGATAGGAGAATCCCTGGTTGGGTGACGGGATACGTCCGTCGCTTTTGGCAAGTTCGTCCCCCCCCCCCCCCCCCCCCCCCCCCCGACGTACTATTATTTTCCGGCCCCACGGAACGTGAGGCTCTGTTATCTCCATAGTGTCCGCCGTCCCCAATGCTTGTTTCCACTACATGTTGTGCGTCGGCTGGTCCTATTTTATCTTTACTGATCCCTCCTCGCCAGGCAAGGTGAACACCCCACCTCGAAAGGGCTAAGCCACGCTTGCCCTCTGTTCTTCCACTGAGATATCTAACCCCGTAATCAGTCAAGACCACAGGGGCACACCAGAGGCACCAGGCCGTGTCGTCACCCTCATCGAGCGTTCATTCTGGGAGCAACTGACCGACCACCACGATTCAGCTCCCGACCGCGTGTGGGGCGTCGCTTACCGCATCAAGGCTGACAAGGTCGCCGAGGTCAAGGACTACCTCGATATCCGCGAGATCAATGGTTACACCATTCATTACGCCCCCTTCTACCCAGCCGACGGCTCTGAGCCCATCCGTACTCTTGTGTACATTGGCACTCCAGACAATGACCAGTTTGTCGGCCCCCAGGATCCCCAGGCTCTGGCTGCCCACATCCGCAAGAGCCGTGGTCCGAGTGGACTGAATATCGACTACCTCCTTGGCCTCGAGAAAGCTCTAGACGAGCTGGGACCCGAGAGCGGCGACGTCCACATCACCGACCTCTCCAACCGAGTCCGGGCTATCATTGCCGCCGAGCGAGAGGCATCCGGCGACGTGGTTTCGTCTCGGCCACCTCCGCCATCAGCCGTCGGCAACAACTTCCAACGAGAAACCAGTGTCAAAGAGCAGGAAGAGACAGAGAAGACAGAGTGAAGAGTTTATATGCACATTCATTTGCATCTTCTTCCTGGAATCGCCATTGTCATATTTACCTTCATGTCCCCTCATGCCATTACCTTGGAACCATGTCAATCAACAAATCTCCCCCACCCCCTGTTGTTCTAAACGCATCATAGACAAACATGAAGACAAATAGCCTTAGATCATAATCATGTCGGCCTCCAAGACGATTTGGAGATGCTACGCCTCCTCACTCCGCGCAGGACCACAGGGGACAAGCATCACAAAGTACCCGGCAACATCAAACATTGGCAACAACCAACAATATCGAACAGAGGTAAAGGTCGGTGAAGACAGAAGCAGAAAACCATTCCATTTGAGAGAAGACTAGGCCGTCACCAACCCTTGACCGTGGGTTGGGGTTTTAATTTTCCAGAGATCCAGTGCAACAGAAGAACCGGGTATTGTGTTGCAGCGAAGAATATCACCAATGCTCGATCGAACCAACGGGCGCGCACACACGAACGTCTGTCAGACTCGGAGGAGGTATCGTCGGCAACTTCTCCTGGCCGCGTGATCCCGAGTTGCCAATATCAACAACCAGCGGGCAACGAATCTCCGAAATCTATCGAGCACTAATAGCCTCGACCACCCTGGGGCTGCTGAGACGGGTCCTGGTATCCGTAAGGGGCTTGAGGGGCGTAACCACCATCTACGAAGGAAGCGTTAGCGGTCGTGTTGAACGATTGGGTTTCAGGGAACCAACTTACCCTGAGGAGGGGCACCGTATGGCTGCTGAGGGGGGTAACCGCGGCCGTAGGCCGGCTGTTGCTGCTGGTACATGTTGGGGACGCCAACCGGGTATCCGCCGGGCGCGGCGCCATAGGGCACAGGGGGAGCGCCGCCGTAGCCGCCACGTCCACCACCGAAGCCGCCACGGAAGCCGCCGCCGCCACGGGGACCGTTGTCGGAAGCCTTGTCAACACGGATGGTGCGCCCATCAAACCTATCGAAATCTTGTGTCAGTGGAACAATCTCGTCGTATATTCATTGCGCCGGGACAAGCTAGCAATGGAAAGTAGTTTTTGCAAAGGCAGCGTACTCGACATTGTTCATGGCGGAAATGGCCTTCTGGGCATCTCCATCCTGGGTGTAACGGACGAAGCCGAATCCACGGCTGCGGCCAGTGTCGCGGTCCTTTACAACAACCTTCAAGAATGGAAGAAACACGGGTCAGATCTCTCTCTCTCTCTCCCTCTCTCTCCCCCCCCCCTCTATCTTCTTTCTGTTCTTTCTTTTGCGTGACGGTTTGGGGGAAAAGCTTCTCTCCAAGGTCGACAATAATGCCACTCCAAAAGTTTCTGTGCGGAACGGGCGATCAGTACTTACAGCTTCCTCGACGGCACCGAATTCCTCGAACTTCTGTCTAAGGGTGCCTTCCTCAGTGTGCCATGCGAGGCCGCTGGAAGACGTTTTGTCAGCAAAAACTCGTTTGGCATGCTTGACGTCGTCGGATGTGCCAGTGCAGGGGAAACATACCCAATAAAGAGCTTGGACATTTTGATGGATTTTTTGTTGTTTTTTACGAAAGAGCTTGATGGTCTCTGTCTGGTCGGGTTAGGAACTGTCTGACGAGAAAAGTTCAAGGGAGATTGCGATGCATAAATGTAAGTGGTCTCGCGTGGCGCCAAGCGGGGTCTAGACGAGCAAAGCAAACGGGGGACGCAAATGGCTCTCTTTTCGAGACTTCCCAGTCGAAGAGCCAAGGCGAATCTAGCGGGCCTGAGTCCACTTGCGCAGCAAAGAGAAGAGGCTGTGTTGGAAGACTGCCTTTGTCATTTGATGATGGCGCACAAAGCGGACCAGCAGAGGCGACAAAGCAAACGTACAATAGTCAAGGCGGATGACGGGTGATGCGGTGAGGCAGAGGGCAACAACGGAGTCAAATAAGGAGAAGGTTGGCGTGCGCGTAAATGTGTAGGTTTATTGTGTTGTGGAAGAGAGAGAAGGTGAGACAGGAGCGAGGAGCGAGGGCAAGATACGAACCTAGAGGTTGGAATATGGTGGGCTGGTGGTGATAGCGGTTGACAGACGTCAGGTTTGGATGTCTGGGCTCGATGGATCGAAAAAGGGGAGGGGTGAAGGTGAGAGAATATGTGAAAGGCCAGCTTGAGGGGAAAAGAAAGGAAGTAAGTGCTACTTGCCTAGCGGGAAATTTTTGAATGGATGGAGGAAAGGGCGTTGAGGCAGTGCAAAAAAAAAATAGGCCCCAAGGCAAGGCAGGTAAGGTTTGTGGTGTATGAGTGTGTGGGAGTGGGAGTAGGAGTGGAAGTGGAAGGCAAGTGACTGGACGAGACAGGATAGGACGACGGTGCCAGGAAGGTGAGGTAGGCGGGGTGGATTGAGGAAAGGTTAGGCAAGGTAGGAAGCAGAATAAGGGAAGAGGAGGGGTGGAACCGCGGGATTGCAGAAGAAAGACGCAGGAGGTAGCAGCTCAAGCAGCTTCCAGCTTCTCCCTAGCCAGCAATTGCCCATGATTTCGTCGTCGCCGTCGCCGCCGCCGGTTTCTTGCTGCAATCGGGCCTTAGGAGGGGGGAACGTGGAACGGGGGCACGTATGGGAACAAGCTCGTGGCGGCGGGACATGGAGGGGTCCAGCGAGTCGGGGCAGGTGGAGGATGGGAGAGGGCAGAAGGGAGGGGTGGAGGAGAGAGAGGGTTTACTGTCTCTGGTTCCGAATGAATGACAGGAGAACAAGGAATGACGGTTGCATGTACTGCCCTTCATTAATGACCCGACAAGGTACCTGAAGGGACGAACCGTTGTCGGGCTAGCTCTCAGCAGGAAAGACGGCAGCAACTGAGCGGAAGGAATAATCAAGAACGAGTACCAACCCAATAAAAAATTACAAGACAGTCAAGAATCAGAAGGAAAAGGCGAGAAGACGTGAGAGGAAAATGCCTGGGCTGGAGCTACCCGGAGACGTACCTGTCTCGCCCGATTTCTTTGTATAGATGGCTCTTTAGTGGAATTCCTTGGTTTTTTGTTGCTGATGCAAAGATGATGGGGGAACCCCAGAGAACGGAGTGGGGGAGAGTACAGCACGCAAAGATGGCAAAAAGGATCGGAACCAAAAGAGAAAGGAAAGTAAGTAAGTAATGGCCCCTTGATGACAAGGTAATGGTGGTGGCAATGGCGGCAGGCAGAAAGACGAGGTTCAGTAAGGACAGGCGCAGGTCAGTCACTGTCGGGAATTTGAATAATCGCGCGTTTTCTTTCCTCCTACCCCCCCCCCCCCCCCCCTCTCTCTTTTCTGAGTTATCTACTCAACCTCCGCGTCCAGCCATCCGAATCACGTCCCCGGTCCCTCCATCTTGTTATACAGTATGCGATGGGCGCAGGGTCCGCTGTCACGGTGGCTCCAACCAGCGGCAGTAATCTAGGACAAGACCAGGGTGAGCAACGACTTACGACTTACCTACCCAGGTAGTCTAGTACCTAACCTGACCTGCCAAAGTCACTAGGTAAAACAAGAAAGAAAAACTAGAAAATCTTCGACATTTTTTTGGTTTTTGTTTATTTTTCTGCGAAAATTATAATAGGAAAAGGGGTTGATCTGTGCAACTAAAGCACTGTACCTTCCTTGCCTTTACCCTCGTCTAACCTGAAGTACATGTCCGCCCGCAGCTCGCAGCTGACAGGGTCGCTTGGTTCCTTGTTCATACCCGGCTGCTCAGGCACACGGAGGGCCAAGACATCTGGGAGATCTGCCCGGGGCGAAGTGACCCAGGAAGAGACCGTGTACATCCATGACCATCTAGTGTCATGGGGGCATAAAGAGGGGACCGCCCACCCCAAATTCGGCTTTTCAGCACAAGGGGTGGGAAAGGACGAGCAAAAGGAAACGGGAAAGGAAAAGCGCGCCCGTCAAATGTTTCGACCAGAGAGCATGAATGTGGCGGCAGGGGGCTCCTCCCAAACAAGCATCAAACAGACGAAAACCCTCACCTGTACAAACAAACAAGCTCGCGAGGCCTCTTTCCCCTTTCCCGTCCTTGCTCTTGCCCTAACGCACGTTGGCAGCCGGGGCTGTTGCCTGTCTCCGGATTTGTTTAAACATGTTCGGCCCTGTACGCACCCGGCCTCCGTGTACCGGCTCCTCGCCAGGCCTACATCCGGGTGAGAGCCGCCTGAGGCATGGTGCGTGTTTGAGAGGTCGCAATACCATCGTCGTCTTCGCCGCCGTCGCGGGGTTCTACTATCGTGGCCGGCATCATGGAAGTCGCCACGGTAAGACGCACGCACACACGTACTTGCATCTAGGCAACCACTCAAGTACCAGGGTGCTTCTTCACACCCATGTTTTGGGCTTGCCTGGGGTCCAACAACTTCATACCTTCATCATCACCAACCTCGTTTCTCACACACCTCGACATTGAGTCACCCCGCTGCTGCCCGCCGGTCGACATGTATCATCGTGTCCAGTCTGCTCGCACACACCGTCCGAGTGACCGACCTAGCGCCTGCAAGTGTGGTGGGATGAGATGCAGATACCAGGACCACAGAAAGCTTCTTAAAACCCATGAACCTAGCCGTTACAGGGAAGTGACGGCGGATGAGAAAAAGGCTTACAACCTGGCTGCAGGCGAACAAAATGCGTGCACCCTGAATTACATAGGTAGGTAGGACTTGATGTGACTGCCGATGTACATCGTAGCATGTACCGTGATGAGACTTAGTCGAGGCGTTTACTCACGCACGGATTGATACCGGGGAAATACAAGGTATACACAGATCATGGAAAGGGGAGGGGAGGGGGGGGGAGCAGCATGTGTAGATTAGGTAGAGCCTGCTAGGATATTCGTGTGAGAGAGCAATTTCGCGAGAGGGAGTCAGAGAGACGAGGCGAGAATGGGACGGGGGATGAATAAGAGAGGGCGGGAGATCCTGATACCCAAACAACAGATTGGCATCTCTACATCGCATCCGCCATGGCTTGACCGCGATGGTGCTGGTGCTAAGAGGTACTAGTGTAAGAATCAACAGCACAGGGGCGACAGGCTTATCCGACCCCACACTTTGCACAGCCTCCTTCCACCATGCCCAGTTTGAATCAAGATGAACATCTTGGGAGCTGCAACATGATTCTCCAACGCCCACCTTCTCCTGAAAGTGGGGGAGGTACCTAGGTACACATTTGGTAGGTAGGTAGTGTATCCGTACCATGTCGTTGCTGCAGAGCCTGCGGCATCGGTTCTTGACTCGGCTGGAATTCCCCCATGTGCCTTGTTGCATGCAAGGCGCATCTCTCTTCTGCTTAATCTCAGTGTGGATATCTGGCCCAGCCATCGAATTACGACATTCGCCCTTGACTTGCTCGTGGTAATATCGGTCTGTTGTGTAGTCCGTTCCTGGGCATCGTCTAATGCGGTTCATGGTTCTGGCCTTCTCCTCCGAACTCGTCGTTCTCGCTTTGTCCTGCCTTCATCTTGCGTGATCTTCCTCATGCGCAGAGATGCGACCAACCAGATCTCTGGGACGGGTTTCCGTTGCCGGCGCCGGACACTCATGCGAGGTGGACGTGCGAGGCATTCCGTTTGGGAGACAGCTCGATTGCAACCGGCCTCTTTTCTTCCCACACAAAACGCTCAATGCCGTCCACTGAAGCACCATCCCCCCCCCAATCTGCACCGACCAGCGGGAGGTCCAGGAGCTAGCTGCCTTTGCAATGCGGGCGAATTTGTGTTAACAACTTCGTAGTAGTAGTTATGGGTGCGGCCAAATGGACCACGTCCTCCATGCTAGTGGAGTGAGCTAGTCGATCTAGTGGAGACGCGAAAGGTGGCCACAACCCCTCTGTTGTATTGTCAATTCAGTTTTGGGCATGAAGTGCCCCTCCCCCAAATTCGGTACCTCTGCTAGTTTGCCTTATTCACCCGATGATTACCCGGTGCAATTTGGCGTCAAACGGTCACTCTGCCAAGCCATTGACATGCTCCGAAGACCCTGGGGCAGTCCATTTCCAGGGTCTTCAAAAAGGAGTGGGGGCATTCGACCTCTATACCCATGGGAGTAGGTACTGTATAGCCGCCATGATATGCCGCATGGGCCAAACAAAAACGCAGCTAGGAGTCTCCAATTGGGTAATGGAGCTTCGCTTCTCCTCTAACCACGGTTTCTTGGCTTTCGCCACATTACTATCTTGTCGATGCGTTTTGTGTGCCCTGGCAGGCAGGGCTGACAACCTGAAGGATTAAGGAGTTGCCCTTCTGGAGATCCCAGAGGCATTCGAAACTGCTAGGGATGGTCTATAATTAATAGATCCTCGACAGATAGGGATGAAACTTGCCGCGCCTTCTTTGCAGGCCCACTTAAAATTTGTTGCTTGCAGAGAACGCAGAGCATATGGCAGCATCGTCAGATCGGCTTTCGACACATTATGTCTACACTAGATGCCGCATTGGCCTGCTCCAGGAGAGAAACTCCTGCAACCACGTGCGTTGTCACGGACGATGCGACCCTGCAGATTGTCAGTTGGGCTGATCTCAGATACCAACAGCTGCAGTCCATGTCGAGTCCAAGTCTTTGGAATGGTTGAGATGCCGCCATGCCGGCGTTGTCGTCGTCAGCCGAAGCTTTGTTTCAGTCCTTCTCTTTGTCACCATTTACAGTGTTTCTAGGTCATGTGTAGATGGCAAAGATTACTTGATATAGCCAATACATGTGGCCATGGACAAGGCATCAGCAAGGGCTTGCATATCCAGCTGTCAGTCCATCTGTCAGGCGGCTCATATCCGGTGCAGCTTCCCCGCAGCCGCAGCGGTGCTATCAATAGCATCAGGCCGAGTATTCGACACAAGACACGTTCCGTCACTACCAGCTGTGCCATGTCTTGACACTCTGAGACGGCTGCAAGCATGGGCCACATGTCCAGTGTGCCGACCTGTCGTTGTCGGTGTTTCTTTTTCCCGTCATTTTCTGTGGTCCAACCCAAAGATTGAATCAAGTTAGGTAGCGATGCTGTAAAGCCCAACGAGTCCCTCCATGGCGACGGCAGCAGAACTTAGCGTTGTGCCTCGTACCCCGCGATCATTCAAGGTTGTGGCGTTTCATACCTCGGCTGAGTTAGGGCCAGCAGCACTACGATATTCCCAGTAGAACCGGCGACATGCAGTTGAACAGAGAAATCTCCCGGCGGCGACAAAGGACGGTGTGTGTATGCCTGGTCATCGTAGGGAAAGCCTGAAGATGGAGAATATGCCTACGCGCACTAGTGTAGATCCCGGGAGACTGTTTGAAGTGTCATGCCGGTTCTGTGCCCAAACGACATGGCAGCATCTCCTCAATTCATATAGGCTAATTTGGTTTTGCTTTGCCAGACACAAGTCCGAGACCTTGGATGAGATGTTTGCTGTCAAGTTGGTGTTCTCCTCGTCAACAAGTCTTTCTATGCAAAGTACGTGATTCCTTCCCTCGTTGAAGTTAAACCAGTTTCTGGAATGCGTGTCTTCCAACGGCATGTGTCGTCAATAGCATGATAGGCGTGGTGTCGAATTACTTTGGAGATGTGTAGCGACGCTTTTGAAGTCGATACGGAGAAGTGGGCAGGAAGGATGCAGCTATGGAAGTTGGCACGAGCTGGGGATAGGCTGGCTTCCTGCCTGGGAGCTTATGCTTGTCATTTCTGGCTGCACAACAAAATTTGGCGTCTGTCATCCAAATCTTTCTCTGCGTTGTCGTAGAGCGACAGCCGAAGTTACCACAGCCCAGGCGGTTCCACCTTACCCTGTGCTCTGATGGTAAGGTGACTTCCTTCTTTCGGCCATTTTATGAATAACCAGTAGAAGGCGGTATCAAACAGACCAACATGCGGAGAAAGTGCGACGCCGTCATGGGTTATGTACCACCAGAAATAGACGATGCCGTTCGCATCGGCGTACTCGACTTGGATGAGCTTTCCTGCACGTTCACCCACCTGCATTGCGGTCTCTACCTTGACCGGAATACCAGGATTGTCAACGCATCTTGTTCTGATTGTGCTTACCACCATTCCTCTCTTGTCTCCGGTACATGCCGCCGAATCGTCCGAGCCGCGAATCACTGATTACGCCTGGGAGCGCAGAAACAGCGTGCGATGGAGCAGCGCCTGGTGAAGCATCGTCACAGTCGTGCCCAACATCGTCGCGATGGCCATCTCAGCCACCGTCGTAGCCCTCTCGATGGAACAGAAACAGCAGAATCCCGTTCCTACACCAACCCGAGGCGAGAGGGTCAAAACTCGGGCGTTGCCTTGGCTTCAGATGAAGGGAACAATGCTGATTTGGTGGAAAACTGGCTTTCCAAGGTTAGTCGAAGAGATCTAGCTCTCACTGAGCCTGTGGGCGGATATCATCCAATTCAAGGCTACTTGAATGATTCGACCTGGAGGCCTCAAGGTCTTCCTTTTGAGAACGCACCGCGACGAAGCCATAAACGCACCAGGTCTCAGGACAGCTCCATCATCAACCCATCTAAGGTGCCTTCCCTGCTACCTCCAACGACAAGAAGGCACGAGAAAACGAACTCAACCAAACTAAACGACAGCATTGACCTACCAGGTACCCCTTCTCCAGAATTTGAGAAGCGACCAAGGCACAAGACGAGGGAAGGTCGATATGATACTCAGGAACGGGTTCGGCAGAGGCGCAAGAAGGGCCGAAAAGAACGACGACCGCCTCCCAATAACCTACCGAGAAAGATAAGTTCTTCCGGTCGAGAGGTGATGGATAAGTTCCGCTCTGGGGTCATTCTCAATGACAGACTCACAGTAAGCAACCAATAGCCACTAATGGGAGTTTCCATTGACAACGTTAGTTGCAACCTTGTCGAACGCCTGGGCTTTTCCAAAATGGGCGTGTATCGTCACCAAGGCCTGGTGCGTTCGTTTTTCCGAGCTGATCAAGACACTAAACGTTTGCTGACGTGTGCAAGTCGAGGAACTGGCTTTCAATTCGATGGCTTCTCTTGAGCATCCTCCGCCACACCAGTCTTCATGGCAGCAGAAAAAGCGCTCCCAGTCCAAGCAAAGCCAACGGCGAGAAAGAGAACTGGAAGAGATGGCGACCTTCATTGGTCGCAAAGAGACGCCAACGGGACAACATAAAGAAAGGGGGCAACGGCGATACCATGAAAACTCGGAAAACTGGCAATCAGGTATAAAACTTCTCGATGACTACAGCATACGGCCTGTGCCACAGTTGTCTCCGACAAGATCTATTGTGAGTGAAGCCTGTCTAGAGGGAGGTGAGACACGACAACCTCCGCAAATCAAGTCTGGCAGGTCAACTCATCCTCTCCGGTCGAGTAGCAGAGCTACAAGCTACATAACATGGTCCACAAGCAGCAATCACCAAAGAACCATATCGGATGACAACAGTGATCGTTCATCTAGCAGAACCCCCGAGACTGTTAGAGAAGCCCTTTGGCGGTCCGGTGTATTCGGCGGAACTGGGCTACGGGGAAAGAATCCTAATTTCGAGGCCAGTTTTCACCAGGCTGACGATTTGTGCAACCACAACAAGACCTTCCAGGGATGTGAAGAACACGTCACTTTGGAGAAGCCAACAACCATCGTCCGATACACCGACAAGGGCGTCATGACGAACAATGAACTTCACCAGCCAGCAGTTGGATCGAAGGCACCCGAGAATTCAGAGAGCCCAAAACCTTTAGAGGCTATGGCGAAAGCGGAGCTGCCAACACAACCGGAGATAAACAATACACATTCAAAGAATGTACAGACATACTGTTCTGCTGAGGTGGATTGCGAGACAAATACTCTCCCGAAAAGAGCTGACGCCGCCACACAAGCATCCTTTGGATTACAGTCCACAGAGGACGTCCCCAACCCAGCACCATCGAAGTTCTTTCAGAGAACACCGGCAGAAACACCCGCTGTTAATGAGCCCGCATATCTAAGCACCGATAAGATAGACATGCAACCAACCACCGCTGTGCGGCCTCGTATTGAAGCTACATTAAATCCTAAACTTGCAAAAGGAGCAGCGGTCCAGCCTCAAAACAGAGAGGTACGAAATTCGGAGTCTGCGATGTTTGATGTGTCTTGGACACCCTCCTCAGCAAGCGAAAGCAGACATATCGACCACTTGCTGGCTCAGGATAGCATGCTATTCTATCGGCCAACTTTTCTCGAAAACAGACCCCCTACGAGGGGCTCAAACAGCCACGAAACGAGCAATGAAAAAGATGCGATTTCAAAGCCATGGACTTATCCCCAGACGACCGTACAAGAAAGCCAGCAGAAAGGCCTTCCTCGTGCCCTTACCGTACAAAGTCACGGGTCAGCTCCAATGCCAAATGTGTCGCAACTCCAAAGCTCGGAAAGCATGGCCGACTTCATCGCTCGCATAGAACAAGATGCACTGCGGGACGAAAAATATCACATGGCCTATCGGCAGAGAGCAGGCGACTTCTCAATGACAGTGGGCCAACATGTCGGAGGGAGCGCTCAAGCGAGACGAGATTCGGGCTTCGATCAACTCCTTGGAGAACCGGACTGGGTTTATTATCAAAGAGATGATGATGCTAATGCCAACGGCCCAAAATTAGGATCATTTCTGGAGACCGAGCTTTTTGCGCAACCACGGGACTATCAGCGTCACAGTCCACAAAGGTCCATTGATCAGACAGAAGCATACGAACGGGAAGAGATGAATGCATTCTGGCGACCCAATTACTTTTGTTACCGATAGAGTTACTCAGGCTCTTGGCCCTTCCACTTCTCCCGAAGACTTGACACGTCGATTTCACATCTTGCCGCTTTGGCAATGATGGCATTCGCCTTTCCTGTTACTGGGGCATCGATCATCATCCCGTCGAGAGTCCAGGCCCCACGGCCGGCTTTGCTTGCTTTTTCATCTGCGATGGCAACACGTACTGCCCATTCCACTTCCTTTTCACCAGGGGCAAACAGCTTCTGCACAAGAGCCACCTGGTTGGGATGGATGCATTGTTTGCCGTTGAAACCCATCGACTTGCCCCCGAGAGACTCTTCTTCTAACCTCTTCAAACCTTCATCTCCCCTAAAAGAGGTGCAGACAAGGTCAATCGCGCTGGGTAGACCAGCGGCCTTCGCAGCGGTAACAATAGCGGACCGCGCGTATAAGAATTCGGTAAGAGAAGGCGTCCTCGTCAGAGACAGATCCAGGGCAAAATCCTCAGCAGCAAATATCAGGCCGCTAAGATACGGTGATGCCTTGCAAATTTCGGAAAGATTCATGATTGATCGAGCAGATTCAACCAAGGCGATAAGCTTGATGGGGTTCCGGGACGTGGATTCATGCCTATCAGGGGCCACATGACGCAATACATCGGTAACATACGTAAGGTCGGCGGCAGAGTTGACTTTGGGAACGACGATAGCATCGACATTGGGTAATGATCCAAGAGCGGTCAGGTCGTCTAGAGCAAATTTGGTCTCTACTGCGTTAATTCGTACAGCCAGTTCGGAGATGAACGGCGGTCGCGAATTGTTCTTCTCGAGAAAAGACCGAAGTTGGCCTCGAGCTTGTGACTTCAACGACGGCGTCACTGAGTCCTCGAGATCATATGTCACATTGTCGGACTTGAGAACCAGCGACTTAGTGAGCATCTTTTCTGAAGACGAGGGCACTATGTAAATGTTAGTCAGGGCTGTCACGCAGGTCTGATTGGACACTATTCACCATAAAGTAGCGCTCGGCGGACAATTGAAGAGGACCTGGCCGCCATAATGGATAGGTTGTCCACAATAGATATATACCCTGTCGGATACTGTGGTTCTAGTCTATCACCTTTGTATGAACCGAAAGAATGGAGCCCTGTGATGTTTTACTACGGGCATGAGCCGAAATGCACAAGCGCAGTTATTTGGCACCTGTGTTCGGTAGTTCGTGGTCACTTGGCGGACGATGCCCGGTAACTGAGAGGTTCGGAGCGGTTAGCACCAACAATCAACAATTCGGCTATTTAGAACAGGACGGGGCTCACAAAGCTGGGGATGATTGATGACGTAATGAGGTATTGTCTCTGAATGCCAGGGAGAGCTTGTAGTATCTGCCGCGAGTGACCGCCATTGGACCCCTGCAACAGCCGAGTGCGCTAGGCAAGTGGGTCTTTTGCTCCAACAGCCCCCTGGCGGAATAATTCAGCCTCCACCCGCCGAACAGCTTACCGTAGCTTCAGCGGGTCTGACCCAGTAAGAAGTGTAGGAGGGCAGCTGAAGCCACTTATGCGGTCCGCGCATTACGACAGCTGTACTGTAATAGGTTTCTGGTCCTTTTCCGAACAGGCATCCCTCTCGTCCTTACACCAGGAAGCACAATTCCTCCACAAGACCACGACATGCACACGACGACAACGACGGCGACGAAGCAGACGAGTCCAAGTTCTTGATTGCTCGTCGAACTAAATACCGAAACTGTTGAAGACATTGAACACTACCTACTGCGCCGGATCGAACAACCTCGCCCGAGATGGATCCCTCGCAACAGCAGCAACATGCGCCGGGCTCCCTGAGCTGGCGGTTAAGCTCGCACCCCATTACTCTTTTGACATTTCTTTCATTTCGCATAGGTAAGTCAAAGCGTGAGCCTCACGCATGGGTTGTAGGGCCAGTAGACTGACACGGCCCCGCGGAATAGCAAGTGTGCTCGTGTACTTCCTCGGGTTGTGGATCATTAGAAGCATGTACGTCGTCGCATACTCCCTTCCCTTCGAGCCCCCAGTCGGGTCCGTCCGACGAATCTTTGCTCCGTTCTGGATCACCTTCTGAAGGGCGGGAAGTCATCGACCCTACAGTCCACGTGCCAAGGCACCCGTCACCTGACACAACCACCTGACGCTAACCCGCTCGCTCACTCGTAGGATCATGATCTTCATCATTACCATCCTTCTCCTCGCCGCAGACTTCTACTACCTCAAGAACATTGCCGGTCGCCGACTCGTGGGGTTGCGTTGGTGGAACGAGGTGGACGTGCAAACGGGCGACTCTCAATGGGTCTTTGAGAGCAGCGAGCCAGGGACCAAGACGATCAACCCAACCGATAGCCGCTTCTTCTGGCTCGCACTCTACACTCAGCCGATCCTTTGGGTGCTACTTGCCGTCTTCGCGCTCGTACGGTTGCAATTTTTGTGGTTGCCTCTCGTTGGTAAGTTTGACCACCCCTCCCCACTTCTCCTTGTCCTTGTCTGGGGCAGAGGGGATTGCAGCATGATCGCCGTCTTCTCATAGCAGCGGGGGCGAACACCTTCCTTCGAAGCAGTGGACAACACGCTGATCCGGGTTCCGCAGTTATTGCTCTGGTCCTGACCATCATGAACGCCATGGCTTTTTCGAGATGTGACAAGTTCAGCCACGCATCCAACATGGCCGGAAGCGCGCTTTACTCGGGCGGTCTGGCGGGCAGCATCGCGAGCAACATGGTGGGCCGGTTCTTTAACCGTGGTTGAGTCAAATTTCTATTCTTGGATTGCAACTGGAGGGCTATGGAATCGGCCAGAAATTCTGCTTTCCGAACCAGAACAAAGGCCGTCTTGCGGTTTTTTTTTTTTAAGTCTAGTTGCAGGCACAGGATATGTGACACTGAAGCCGTAGTCGAGAAGCAAAACAAAAGGGAACAAGGGGAAAAACACAAAACATGATAAAAAATTATTGGCTCAAGGCCGAGCGTATGGTTGGTTTGCGGAAACATTGCTATACCCACCCCTAGCTGTATATTAGACATGTAAGCATGAACGGTAAAGCTGTATCTTTTCGAATGATGAACAATCTTTCGTATCCCCCCTCTTATAGCAGTACGGTGTCGTTGGCCTGGTTGCCGATATTGCTCTCCTCTCTGCCATCGGGGAGTGGAGGATAACGAGAGCTGGCGCCTTATCCTTCGGTTCAAAGTCGTCCCTGGACGCCTAGGTCTGGACAGCACTCATCCAGGTCATATCTCTCTGGAAGCCGGCTGATGGGGCCGGGCTGGTACAGCGTGAGCAGCCCCACGTGTACTGCATGTGGTCTCGAGGTTACCCCTCACAGGCTTGCACGTTCAATATGGCGCTTCATGCAGATATGCCGGAAAACGGACTCATAGAAGAAATGAGAGAAGGAAAAGGCTTGGTTCCCTCTTCATAGCGAAGAGGGGTAGCTTCTCTCTACTGATAGCTAGAACAAACAAAGAACAGTCCCTGATAGGCTATAACACACCTGCAGCTTCGGAAGGCTGCAGAACACTCCTATGGGCACACGGATGTTGCCTGCAGGCAACAAGAGCAGCAGAAGGCTTGAGAGAACGGCTCTCTTTGCTCCATTGCTTTATCTACCGTGTCCGCACACGAACACACAGCCTTATGGCATACACCAGGCCCGCTTCCTTTTTATTATACGGGGTATCAACAGCCCTGCGCCCAACAACGAAGGACGTTGTGTCACATAAGTAGAAGGCCTTGACCTCGAAATACGTTACCCAATATATGAAGCACCAGTCTACCAGAGTACCATCCGGCCGAGAAAAAAGTGGAGAAATAAGAGTGTTATGCAATAACTCGCTTTTTGGCGAACTAAAAAGGGTGCGGTAGCTACGGCTTCTGACCTCGCCCCTGACCCTGTCCAGCCTGCTCGATTGCGTCGTCCAACGCCCTCTCTTCATCCTCTAGCCTCCGGATCTCTTCCTCCGTCATACCATCTTCAATCAGATGCGAGACGTTTGTGGTGGCGTTTGGCGTCGACGACGGTACGCCGCTCCGGGTCATGTCTTCTATCGACCTCGCCGTGATGGGTACGTGCCCCTCCTCGCCATACGGCGTCAAAGGGCTTCGTTCCGCAGCGCCGACGGCGGCTTCCGGACCGCCCTGGTGGAGGTAGTGGTGCTGTTCCAGCTGCTGTTGAGGTTGCTGTCCGTCATCCGAGTAGGGGGAGTGCGGCGACTCAGTGACGCTGGCGTGCGCTTCCTTATGGGCGAGGTACTTGTGGGGGCCATGGCCGGAGCCGTAAGCGCCGTTTGAGACGTGGTCCGCCCGACGGCGTTGATGAAGGAAGAACCAGACTAGGAATGCGATGAGAAACAGGCCAAATACCGAGCCGATGACGATACCAGCGATAGCACTAGGAGGGAGGCTAGACCCGCCGCTATTGCTACCTCGGTTTGAGCCGATAGCTGGGTTTGGTGAGACGCTGGTAGCAGTTGGCAGGGGGAAGACCGATGTCTCGACTTTGCCCCCAGGCACCGATCCTACCGGGTCGTCGTAGGTTTCGAAGCCATTGAGTTGAGTGTCGTCGCCTGTCGTCAGATCTTTCATTCGTCGTACCGTGGCATCGTAGTCTTCAGAAGGGTCTAAGCTATTAAAGACAGTGAAAACACCGCTCATCGTTGTACCAGATTGATCACCGTACGTCCACAACAAGCTAATATACATGTTAATATACGTGCTCGGGTCGCCATATTTGAGGTCCAATTCGCGGACTGGCAGACTGAGACTGTTGCCATCAAGAATCACTGCATTACGATATCAGCGGTTCGAAAGAGAACAAAACAGAGGCTTGTTAACCAAGACACTTGTCCTCCAACAGGAGAGGAATGGGCGCTTACCTCGTTCTTCACGCTTTGCCCTAGTGCTCGGCGGACCCAAATCGCTGGTGGAATGACTTGTTGTAGATGACTGCTCGGAGAAGCCGGCTTCATTGCGGAATAGTTCTTTGGTCTCTCCGAGGCTGTCAGTAGTATTTCCCAACCAGATGGCATCTGTAACCATAACGCTAGAGTTTGCCGTCCATATGATGACATGGATGTCATCGCTAGTCGTGATGACATGGTCATCACCGCCGAGCGTAGTGACATTGAAATGGATTATTCTATCGTTGGGCATTGTGGTAGTTCCATCGAAGGGATTGTTTTGCTTAGTCGGCCAGGCCTGCCGAGAACTCTCGAAGGCAACGTTGCCGTCGGCTTCATCGACTAACACTCGTGTCGACGGTGCAACATGTGGTGTATCCACTGCAAGAGTCATTTCGCGAAAGGCGTTGCGTTGCCGGGCGATCCGATGGCTCTTATTCAATGTCGAGTTGCCTTGCTTTTTATTTGCAATAGTCAAGCTGCGTCCCAGCCTGTCACTCTCGATCGTTGGGTGCGAATATCCTTCGAGCCTGTCGTAGTCGTTATCTCCACCCTTCCCGTGTAACTCGCGATGCAATTTGTCCGCTGCTTGTGTCGAATCCCCCAAACACCCACTTTTGGATGGGTATCCGTCGCCTCGAAGAGGATAATTCGCGCAGAGACGCGATGAACGAAGAATTGGGAATCAAAAATCGAGAATAGGAAGAAGGGAAACGAGAAATGTGAGGAAGGCTGGGCTGAAGGAGTGAGAAAAAGAAAGCCACCAGTACCCCCCGGCTTGTACTCCAGTGTGGGTACCTAGGTAGGTACGAGAATGAGACAGAGCAAACTACAAAGACAAGGGCGAGGGGCTATGGCTGGCATCTTTTCGTTGGTCGGGTCGGGTCGGTTTGCTGACTGGGGGCGGGCGCGATGGTGTCGGTGTCGTTGGTGCTGCGAGACAGTTCAGCTCGAGACACCAGGCCATTGTTGAGCTGGGCCGACTTACACACTACCCACACAACCATCTCCGGGATGTCGACATGCAAGGATTGGGCGATCTGCGCTACGCCAACTGCAGCAAGCCACACGCCAAGGCCACGCCTCGCAGAGAAATGTGTGTGGGGAGAAGGATTCACCCGTTAGCAACCACGTACGCTCCTCATGAGCCCCTCTCCCGGCTGGCTCTTGAGGAAACTGGCTGCAGTGAGGCGCCATGCTTCTACAGCTTTGCTAGTATTCGGGGCCGAGGGTTCAAGGGAACACACACTGCCCAGGTTCCTTTCATCATTCATACTCACCTCTCTCTTCCCTCGCAAAGCAAAAGGTGCAGCCTGCCATTCCTAACCCTCATTGCCAGCAACTTAGTAAGCTGCTACACAACGGCAACAGCAAGTGCTAAGATGCAATCATACCTACTACGGTAGATAATGTGCTCCGCCACCGGGCTGTGGCGATGCCAACCCAGCAGCAAGAAGCAAGCCTAACAAGACGGGCTGACCTCTCGTAACCCATCCATCACAGTACCTATGTCGCCGGGCACCTTGTCCACTACAAGACACGTGGAATCACGACCACCGGTGTGCAGCTGTAGGCGAGGAGCACTTCAAAGGAGAGAAGTTACACTACCTACCTACCTAGGGAGTAACCTAAACCCATGACTAGGTATCAAGGTACTCGCTCACTCGTGGCAAGGCTGGAGATAAGTGGAGGTGCCAAATCACCCTAGCCCCACCGTCAGCAAATAAGCACCACGCACAGCCGTGATGCTATTAATTGAAACAAAGGACACCCCCCCCTGCATATGAAGAGGTCTACATAGTATACACTACCTAGAGGCAGACGGCAGAAAAGAAGAACTGAAAAGGGTTAGCATTACGCCGCTAGTGTCGTGCGGCTGATATCGGACTGAGTGGTGGGTGATGCCAATCCTTCTTCCGAAGACTTAAACCAGTTCATCTTACTTTGCACTGTCGTCTCAAGACATGTGTAGAGACTCTAGTGTACGAAGCAACGACAGCCAATGCTCGCTGTTTAGGAATAGAGATGAATCTAACCTACCTAACCTAAACACAGCCTCTGCTCATCCCATCCCCTCCCATCATAACCACTGGCACAGAGTCCCATCTAAACCCGCTCTAGCCGCCCCTCCCTTTGCTGCCTGCCTGCCGATCCGACCCACACACCCCGGCCGGCTCTGGCTCTGCCTAATCCTACTGTGTATGTTATGCCATCTTCAAACCCCTAAGTACCAACAACCGCTTACTGAATGGGCGACTCGCTCACCTCTTGGTTACACTTCACACGACGAACGACGGCATTGGCTGTCACCCCCCCTCCCCCCTCCACCCTCCCCCCGGTCCATGAAGCCCCATCAATCGTGAACTTCCAACGGCCCAAACTGTCCTTTATTCAAAGTCTTTTCCCCGTTACTGCCCTACACTACGCATGTGCATGCAAGGAGACGAAGAGGCTCAACCAACATCCTGACGCCAATAATAACTTCCGACGGAGGCTTCATGTTTTGACAATAAGCCAAGGTTGCAGGAGAAAGCAACTTAAGATGGCCAACGCACGTAGTACTAGGGGGTGCCGACCTAAACAAATCTCTTACTTCGTGTACGTAGGTAATGTATACTCGAGAACTGTTCGTTTGTCTTTCGGATTGATGTGGGAGATTACATCTCCATCCGTAGTATTACTTTCCGCGTCGTGCAGACGAATTATGTACCAGAATAGTCTACGGTTTTTGTAGCATAACCCAACGCTGGACACCCAAGAAGGGGAGAAAAACACAAACAAGACATCGGCGGCGTTCCCATTCATACAGAACAGATCGGATGTGTACGCTTCGTTCGCGGCGTGTGCATACATCCATCCTTAGGCGCAGCAATGGCCCTCGCAGCCAGGTGCTGGACTATCGTAATCTGTCCGCTTCCAAAGAGCAAAGGAGAAACAGGTTCATGTATCTCGTCCCTCCGTTATGCAAAAGTCATCTGGATCTCCTTCTCTTTACCAAAGTCGTCGTCATCGTCAATATCCGCCCACGGGTTTGGCACTCCCATGCTGGGCGCCGTCTGGGCCGACTTCATCTCCGGCCGACCAGGGAGGTCATCTTTCGGGGGAGGCCGAGGCGCCGGCGGCGGGTCGTGAAACGAGGTATCGAATGTCATCTCGACCTCCTCGAGCGGGGACGGCGCTGCGTGGTACGGCGACACGGCTCTTTGCGTCGGTGAGAACGTTTGGCTCGAGTGAAACGTTGGTGTCCGCTCCGGCGTGTGAGAATACGAGCCAGTGGTCTCGTACGAGGCACGACCCGGTACGGCGTAGGCGCTCTTTGTTTCACGTAGGGCGTCCCGCGGATTCAGCGACGAATTGGACGAGCTCAAGTCAAGCTTCATCGGCGGAAGCGTAGACTTCAGCTCCTTCACCTGGAAGTCCTTGGGATCCTCTTTAGTCGATGTGTCCTTCTCCTTCGCTAGCTCCGCCCGCATGGCCTCCACGTCGAACAGCACTCCATGATTATTGCCCTCCTTGTCTTCTGTCCTGGGGTTCGGCTTGCTTTCGTCCTTGGTCGAGTCTTCGTAAATCTCCCACTTCTCTTTATCCGCCTTCTTCCCCCGCCCGAAGATGGAAAATCTGCTCTTCTTCTTCTGCCCTTCCCTTTCAAGTTCCTTGCGGGCTTCTTCAATCTCGTTGATGAGTTCGCGTTGGCGCTCCTGGTGGTTGTCCGGATCTGGGTCTTCGATTTCGCTAAACTCGTCGCTCTCCACAAGCCACCCGCATTCTCGAAGGAGACGCGGCATGGCCTTTCGGTATTCCATGTGACCCTTGACGAACTCCGTCACGTCAAAATTCTCAATCCAAGGGAGGTCTTCGATGGGGGCCAGGCCAGCTACTCTACGAGGGCCACCGCCGGTCAGTCGGAAGAGGTATGCTAGAATCCAGTCGTTGCTGCTGTATCCGTTCACAAATCTCCCTGGGACAACAGTGCGTGCTCGCAAGTACTCGTCCTTTTTGATGATAAGGGGCGATCCAAATAGGTAGACGTCCTGCACCACGCCGTACGCCCCTTTTCGGGCCAGCTCCAGGAGGCAGGAGAAAATCACCCGCGATCCGAGTGAGTATCCAACAAGGGTTACTGGGCGTGTTCCCAAGTTCCTGTCAATCAAAGAGTCTGCCAGGATCAGACCAGCGGCCCAAGCCCTGTCCTGCGACACACTCCATGGATTGTCAATCAAGTACGCCAGCTTCGTTAGAACGACTGGCAATGACAGGGCGGCCATCAAACTTGTCAGGATGGTGCTTGCCAACACTTGCTGAAGACCTTGGGTAAGAGCCTACAGTTGTTAGATACGGCAGGCAAAGGACCGGGAACTATTTAACTTACCTCTGTCGCAAGAATGTTGATGGTGTCACCCATACTTCTCAACATTTCAGGCTCCCAATAAACCGAGTAGATATCACCCATGATGGGATCCACAGTGCTGAACGGCAAGCGGACGTCATCCACCTTGCCCGTCATCCACCCCGCCACTGTCACTACGAGATGGACCCGTTTGTTATTGTGTAGCGGACGATACTCAAACGTCTTGACGGCTCCCGTTCGCCTGTCCGCGGCCCGAACACCGATGACACCGCCAGAAGCTGCCGCGCTGGACGTAATGATCGCAGCTCCGCCGACTCCTCCCAGAAACGTCGACGTTCCGGTCACTCCAATGGTGGTGAATCCTGCCGCCAAACCGGCACCGATGACAGGAGCAAGCAGACCAGCCGACAAGCCGATGACCAGGCCGCCGCCGACTGTAGCCAGACCCATCATCATATAACGTTTCCTAAGAGCTTGTTTTCTCCTAAGCTCCATATGTTCGTCCTCATTCCAGTTTTCCTTTTCAGCGGCCTGCTGCATTTCCAGAGCATCCGTGACCTTCTTTTCAAACTTTCTAACGTCCAACCATTCAATCCCAAGACTCTTGCCGACTCGCTCCAATAGTATTCTAGACCGACAATCATACACAGAGTCGGCAATCAAGAGCAGGAAGAGATCGCACAGCACGGTCCATCGCAAGTCAATGTCAATCTTGTCAGAGGTGACCATCTGGGCAGGAGTCTTGACGGGCGGCAGCTCCTCCCCTTCGTGAATTTCGTATGTCGGAGGCGCCTCGGCGGCCATTTCGTCCTGAGAAAAGGCCGGCGAGGGAGGCGGGGGCGACTTTGGCGACGAGAGGGAACCCGAGCTTGGGTGCTTATCCTCAGCCATGGGGTTTTTGACTCGTGCATTAGCCATCAATATTGGCGTCAAGTCGGAGGGCACAACGCCGTGGTCGCTCAGCTGCTCAACCATGATCTGCTCCGCGGAGCTAATGTCCATGTGCGAGTAAAGGCGGACCATCATCTTCTGTCCCCACATCTTCGTTGATTCGGCAGACATGTTGACCTCTTTCTTCGTAGACCTCGTGTGTTCGACACTCTCGGCCGCTTTGACCATGCTGTGGATCTCCAGCCTTGTCAGTCCCACGTAGGCGACTCTCTGCCCTTCGGTGAGCAGGTCCTTGGTCGCCTGCATCTGGGAAACGGCATCACGTGCCTCGCTGTCGTCCTCGCCAATGCCTGTGCCCTTGACTTCTTTGAAGAGGTACTGGGTATTGTCGTCCATGCTCGTCGCTGATTCCGCATCGTCGTCCATGACTACCCGGGTATATCCTTTCCCTGCGCCTCCGAGCCCACCGTAACCGTACTTTTCGTCCTCTTCATCGGCGGTATACTCCTTTGCGACCAACCTGTTGTCATCGTCATAAATGTCATAGGGTGCATATGATGGCATCGTTTGCCATTCATCATCCTCCTTGTCACCCTCTTCCTTTTTATTCGACGTCAGCTGCTGGTGCGAGAATTCTGACATAAGCCCGTTGCTAGCTATGCTCGTGTCTCTGTGGTGGTCCTGGGCCTTTGGCGGTGTCGGCTTGGCTCCCTTGGGTTCTGGCTCATCTGCCTTGTCGACCAGTTTCACTGGAGATTCTGGCCGCTCCTCTCTCAGCTTAGCAGTAGGTGCTGATAGCTGTGGCTCCGTCTCATCTGACTGGTTTGCCTCAGTGTTGACTGTGTCATTCTTGTCTTTGCCTGCGTTCTCTTCCGTAGACTTCTCTTCCACTATCGACTGCTTGTCCGCCGTATGCATCTCGGTGGCTGGCTCTGGTGATTGGCCGGCCTCCTCCCCCATTTTCTCTACGTTAATTAAGGCACCGTGAGCTTTGTTCTCGTCTTTACGGGTAATTGTCGGCAACGGCTTGTCCTTCATGTCTCCTTGGTCCAGGTTGGACGTCACAGGAGTTGACGGGGCGTTGGAGTTGACTCCCGAGGCAGCGGCAGTAGCGAGCTGCTCGGACTGTGCATCCTTAAAGTCATCATCGTCGCTCTCTGACAAGGCTTTATTCTCAACTGATGTTTTGTCTTCGGCCGCCTTTGTCTCTTTGGTATCATCCACCTTCCTTTCTTCTCGTGGTGGCGCGTCCACGGGCTGCTGCAGGCCGGGATGGACGTCGGTCGTCTGATCGGTCTCTTCGGGCGGTGGGGGTATGTATCGTCTGATGGGCAGGCCGAAATCGTCAAACTCCGGCTTCTCGCTTGTCATAACCGTGGTTGCAGAAGGTTGCTGTGTTGCAGGTGCATCTGGTGCATGTGCGCCGTTCGGTAGCTTTTGGACCGCCTCAGTGTCGACGTTGGCGGCGGTGGTCCTCGGCGGTGAGGGATTGTTGTGGGTATCTGTAGTGGTAGACTCGCCGGAGCCCGCCATGATGAGAGGTGATGTCGTACTTTACACAAGCATGCGAGCTGCCTGAACGTGATAGTATATATCCAGGCAGGGCAGGGCAAGAGGGAGGGGGTGGTCGCTTTTGTGTGGAGCAAATAGGTTGTTGGTCTTTGCTGGTCGAGGGGTGCGTAGATAAGACGACGCGCAGTAGGCCAACTACCGACTCCGTAGAGTAGGTAAGTGGCTTAGCATTGGAATTACTATGTTTTCCGAGTGTGCCGACGCGCGCATAAGCGAGCAACTCGCTGCAGCTAGACCTGCTCAAGATATCAAGTCTCTGACTGCAAGCACGTTCGACAAGCAGGCAGCAGGACAGGCAGGAAATGGAGAAAGGGAGACTTCCACGTGTTTGTTGTCTGGCAGAATGAAGTACACCCTTAGTGAAATTTGACCGTTGAGTGAAAGGAGAAATGGCCCCCCATGACGATCCGCTAGAGTGCAATTTCCTGTGGGGCTGACTAGCACAGTGCACCACACCACTCTCACGCATGTTGTGCTTTGCCTCACCTCCGCGCGCTGAAGAGAGCCGGCTATGCGGCTCGGAGGGCGAGTGAGGAAACGATGGGCCAATGGCAGAATCGGACTACCTACATAAATTTCTTGCAGTACAGAGGGACTGTGCTTACCTGCAGCAGCTGTAAATTACATAGCAGGCATGTAGGTGTATGCTGCCAACACCACGACTGTGATTGTTTCAGTGACTGAGAGCTCTGGCCTCTGTCCAGCCTTGCTACAGCCCCAGGCGGACGACTTCTCTGGCAGACTGACGACATTCTCAGAACATTTCCATGGGCAGCCCTGGCTCCATTTCGTCTGGCTTGTTCCGCAGAACTTTATTTGTTTTCAAGACAACGGCAAGTAGCAATGCAGTGTAGTACCGGTAGCCCGTTGTGCGCGTTGATAGGATGCCATCTGCGTGCCTGGGAAAGCAAGGACTTGCTTGGTACGAGTTCCTACGCATCGCAGCCGACCAATGGGCCAACCTGCAGTTCATGAGAAATTCCACGGCAAGTCATGAGACGAATCAGAAACACACTCACCCCAAGGGAACCTCCTCCGAGTATTGGGGTGGCACGAATCTCCCATTAATTGGTATCGAATAGCTTTTGTTGTGCCTACATTCCAAACACAGTTCCCGAAACGCCTGTGGTATGCTTTTCTCCAAGCCCTTACGAGCCTTCCGCTGCCTGCTCTACCGGGGCTTTGCCCTGATTTATTGGCGCGCCCGACTCCACGTCGCCAGGCTGGTTCTTGTGACGTCTTCTGCGCTTCTTCTTCGCCGGGCCCTCGCCCTCACCCTCTCCTTCGCCCCCGCTTCCCGCCGGTTGCGACTCGCTCTTCGGTTTCGCACCGCCCTCTGTGATTTTCTTTGGCTTCTTGACCGCCAAAGGGTTCGGTCCCTTGGGGCCCTTCTTCTTGTGACTCTTCTTCTCCTGGGTTCCACTAGCGGGCACCCTTTCTTCCTTCCCGCTCTCGTGTCCTTCGTCATCCTCCCGTTTTCTCTTCTTCTCGGGCCTAACAAGCCCATCGCGGAATTTGCTCTTCTCTTCCTTGTTCCTGATTGCCAGACTCTCCGTCGCCATGGGTTCGAGAATCATGACCGACCGCTTAATGTAGATTTGCGGGACACCGGGGATTTCGCGGAGCATGCGGCGCACATCGGCCGACTGACTTGCGACACAGTAGCGGTGTTTGTTGACCAAGTTTCCCTTCGGGTCGACGACGGCCTTCATGCAGTCCATTGTGCTCAGGGGCTCAGGGTAGTCCTCGGGCAAATGACCGCAACGTCTGCGCTCTAGCGTCTTTGCGAAGTCGATAATCTTGTTCATGTCGGGCTCGTTCTTGCGTAGGTATAGCTTGCGGATTTCGCATTGTGTGATCACTGTGGAAGGTCAGTCGTCAGTCGGAAATCGAGACTTGAACGAATTCTGAAAGGAGTGATATACTTGGCTTGACCTTGCCGTGCAATGTGCGCTCTAGCCCGGCGAGCAGATCATATTTAAAATTATGGCAGTCAACCACCATCTCAGCGTCGACCAGGCATTGGTACGGTTCGCGGAATCCCCAGGTCAACGAGTACTGGTTCATCAACTTGCGATACTGCTTACTTCGTTTCCCACGCATCTTGGATCGGGCGGCTCAGTGGCGCCGTGACGTAGGTTCAGGAAGGCTGAAGGCGGTTGGTTGGCTTGGTGTGTTCGCAAGGCGGTGGTGGAAACAATGTTTGCGTTGAAGTCGCGAAATTTCTCTCCCATGAAAATTGCGATAAGATAAGATAGTCGGGCCCATGGACGCCGGTTTTACCCCACCATAACCACAAGCCAGACAGACACCACGATCAACGTCACTTCTAGAGCACACTGGGATGCAGTTACTATTTAAGGAGGGGGATTCCGTAAATTTGACGGAGGCTGGATTTGGATTGAATTTGAGTTTTCATTTCGCTTTGGCATCCCTAACGTCTTCACCGAAATCGACCGCCCGCAGAACGCCATATATCGTCAAAACAATGGCCACTGTCCAACCTGGACAGAGCATATACCTAGAAATCGATCGCAGCATTGCCCCGTGAAGCCCATCCCGTAAGTCTATTCCTTGTTGATCCTTCTATGTTAATGTGTTAGTTTCATGTGTCCTGCTTCCTTACGAGAGCGGCGACAACGCTGATGTCGTCAAGCTTGCCTAGTCGTTGTCAGTTCGGGGCTTCTTTCAGAATTCTCAAGCCAGCACAGCTTACCTCCCTCACTCGCCAGACCCTCTTCAATAGCATGCTCCATAAATGGACTTTCTGCAAAGGGATCGGTTGCAATCTTCTTAGCGGCAGCCACTAGCTCCTCGGCAGCGAGCTTCATGCCTCCGTTTGCGCCGCCCGTCCGGTCGCCCTCGAGCTTATCTGTCACTCCCTCTCCATTCTCCCAACTTTGTATGCTGTTCTGAACACTGCTGACAATCTCATGTTCCCACAGATTGTCAATGACGCCGTCTGACATGGCAAGAACTACATCCCCAACCTGGAGGTCCACCACATCCATGACCGCATTCTTCTCCGGTGTATCGGGGCTGTTGGTACCAAGCTGACGCGGGCAATCGAACCAGTGCCACTGCTCCTTGGTTTTGTAGACAACCTTCTCATGCTTAGGTCGTAAAATCATAATCTGGCAGTCGCCTAGGTTGGTCACATAGACTTGAGGGACGTCTTCGCCACCGTCGACGGTCTTGTAGTGCAACTGCGCTCCGCTTGCCGTTGTCGTGCCTTGCCAATCGGGGTCCGAAGTCGCTTTCAGGGTTTGCTCGTATGCCATCTGGAGGTACGCTACCGGATCGGGTTTGTAGACTTCTTGAGATCGAGTATTTGCGACATCTTGCTTCATAGCCGTGGCCCAGAAGTGAAGGATCAAGCGCGACCAGAGTCTGTTTTGGTCAGTTCCGCACAGCGAGAATTGATACAGGAACATGCTTACCCAGCATGCCCCCTTGGGCGTGTCGACCAAGCGCCAACGCCGTCGTTGGCGCAGATGAAGTTGTCACTGGCGAACACCGCATCATCTCCATTCGTCTGCCCAAGGATGATCTCTCCGTTGATTCTGGCACGGCGGTCGCGGCTTCGGTGATGGGTGCTGAGCGGATCGGAGAAGGAGCCGGACGGCGGGGAAAGAAAGGGCGGCGGGAAAGGCCGCGGGGCTCGTTTCGCAAAGAGCGAGACTCCGGTCTCGAAGCGAAAAGGTTGCGCTCGTGGTTTCTCGCGGGAAGAATCTGCTCGCGCTGCCGTTGTCGATAGAGAGGCAGCCTTTGGTCGCAACTGCGCCGGCCATGGTGCGGTCCGAGGCACGGTCGGTGGCCGCGCTGTGAAGGGTGATGTCGCCAACAAGGGCCCAGGTAGCCTCCTCATTCCCACTGTGAGGCAGATCAGGCGCCTTTTGCGATGCTTGATCGCAGCGAGACGAAATGGTTGGGCCTGGAGCCGTTATCTTTGGCGTTGGAAAGGGTGCCACTGGATGCTAGGCATGGGCATGGCATGACCGGGGGGGGCGTCGATGTGTTGGTTGGGGGTTCTCCGAACCAGGGGTTAAATTGGGGACACGCGTGCGGAGCGTTTGGACGGCGCAATGGCGTTGGGCTGCAGAGCTGCAGCTGGACGGGACCTCCAGCAAGCTTGCCGGTACGTACCTACAAATTATCATGGAGCTCCGATGCTGCATCACCATGCTACTCGCCTCTCGTCTTAGGTAAGCCTAACTAAAGTTTGTTGTAAGGCGTATAGTATAGATGGTATTGTTTTTGGTGGTTCTTCAAACCCTTGGCTAACAGAAATTTGGTTTTTTGAGGGCACTAAACGCACCTGTGATAGTTGGATAGTGTAGAAAGAAGCTGCTGAAGAGCGTTGGTATGTTTAAAAGGAGGTTGTGTTATGATTAGTTCCTTTTGCCAAGAGTAGCCTGCAATTGACTCAGTACCTCGTAGTTCCTTTCGCCAAAGGTTCCTTTCCTATATCTCAAAGAAGGAGAGCCGGTGAGCCCCAGCTTGCATTGTCTTCAAGGCCAGGCGATTTGTAATGTCCGCAGTTCCCCATCTTCTTTTTGACCGCACTTTGGGAAACAATTTCCTCGCCAGCATTACCGTTTGTACCATGCACTCACTATACCCAGCGAATAATGATAAACAAGTCGCATGAAATCTCTGCTTAAAAACTGCTGCAACTGAACGGGTTGTCGATGGGGCCAACAAGTGGCAATTACTGCAGCTCGACTGCAGAGATTGCCATTCATTCTGGAGTAGCAAGAAAACATAACCGACATTGACGGATGCTGCAGGCTTTTCAGATGGGGGGTTAAAGAAATCACCCGAAAAGAATAACCACCCCCTGCAAGTTTGCTTCTTTTCTTCTCCTCTTTTGACCCTTCGGCATTTCCGGCTAGGAGCGTAGGTACGCAATGCCAATCCGGACCTTGACAAAGCGGATCCCCCCGGGATGCATCACCTGGACGCACACTTGCCGGGCCGATGGACAGCTGGGCCGCCTGATATGGCCGCCGCTTGTCTGCAGCCCGTGCGGCTATAACGGAGCAAAAATAAACCAAGCCGTGGTGCAACATGGGTGGGTGTCTGTGTTCTGGAGCAGTTTGCGCCAATCCCAAACACTCCATACACTTACTTCATTCGAATAGACGGGCCGCAGATGCCATGATACCATGGAAGGGAGAATGGTTATTAACAACACGCAATGTGATGGACGGTTGGCTGGCCTCTACAATCCCGGTCTGACATCACCTCAAAGCTGAAGAAAGGAATGGTTCTTTTGACATGACACGAGCTGCAAATGTATTTCTAGGGCCTCTCCATCCGCACTGATCTTCTTCAGATCATATCCTATCGACAGCATGGATGGCAGGAAACGTAAGCCGGGCAGTTCGAATCATTGGTCTGCTTTTGACGAATTATCCGGTCTAGGGCCGCTTTTACTCTCAGGCCATTCTTTAACCTTGGTTTCAACGACGAGTCGTTATTTCCTGACCAGAGATACAGGTACAAGGCGATCCCTCGTGGCGTCGTACATGTACACAACAGTGACCATATACGGCGGGAAAGAAAACCGTAAAAGTACCATGCTCCGTACTCAACACAATATAAGGGTTGTTCTGTGAACCTCTCACCGTGACCGAGACATTGAATAATCAGCCAAATAGCTCAAATGAAACGCCTTGTGCTTAAGCTCGATACCCCGAGCCATACAGTTGAACTGACATATCATACCTATGGATGAGGGTAGTGGTGTACCTAGTGTCAAGCTGGAACCAGCTCAGCAGGGGTTGTCCAGATTCCTCGTGCATTAGGCATGGCGTAAGGAGGCTGGCGCTTAGTTGTTCACCAGCTGTTCTACCGTACGAGTATCTGTTGAAAATTTACGGCCGACCTCTAAGTGTCTCCCAATGTGCTGTCACCATTTGTGGGCAAACAACGTGCGTCGTCGAGAGGAGCTACCACGAGCGGCCAGCGAACCGTCCCGCCCAGGATGATGTCTCAATTAGCGCCAAAGCCACACCCAATCATAATTGCCTTGCAGCAGTACAACCTTTGTTTAGGTACGTCCTTTCCGAACAACCTTAACTAGTCAGGTAAATTAGAATGAGAGGCCCTCACCCGGCTGTATTCCATGGCTTTCTCAGGGCAGAGCAACAGCGTGGACAGTGTGCATGCGGCTGGTGTCCGAACCGTCTAGTTTCCTGTCTACGTAGTACGTCTAGGGTTGGACAATAGGACTGAGTCTCTCGAATGGTGGGAGCGCGGGTGGGTGGCGTCTTTGCGGAAGATCCAGGAGACCCTCTGGATCATTCATAGAAACAGCAGTGGCTGATCGTTGCATCAAAGGGAGAAGCTCGATATTGGCACGACTCTCGACTCTTACTCGGCGTCAACCGCGGACCAAGCAGCCACCTTAGGCGAGTATAGTCGCTGAGGGCACCATGACCCCCCCCTGTGAGAGCTGCGTGATAATGGGGATAGGTGGTATTCGATGTATGCTGTTCAAGACCCTTGAGGTCGTTTTCTTCTCCCCCTGCCAGCGGCGGCAAGCCAAGGCGAGCGGAGTCCGGGAGCGGTGACAGCACTGCCTTCGCCTTTCGTCTGATGTCGACCATACCATGTGCGATGCACAGGGCCGCAGCATAGCCTAGCATTGTATTCGGAAGGGATCGAGAATGGACCAAACGGTTTCATATCGGACACAATTCCTACAGCAGATCCTCTCAGGCCAGACTGGACTGCAATGTGCCGAGAGGCGGTGTTAATGGCGGCAGTAGCTGGGGGGATTCTACGAAAGGGGGGGGACGGCGTTAACACCCCGCCCCTCTTGGATCCCTGAGCCCATCTAGGTATGTAGTAGTAAGCTGCTGCTCTCCGATTGTCCCAGATCGCCTGGGAGACCCTGTCGACGTTTGGCGCCAGCAACCCGATGAGGCAGGCGGAGATGGCCTTGTGTTTAATCGCAAAATCATGCGATGTTGTATCCTAATTAGGGACTCTGTATCCGCACTTACGCTAGTAGTTTGTATTCGTGTTCACAAGTGGACAGTGGGTTCGCACGCTTCGCTGGAGATGGCGAGCGTGTCATCATCGCGAGCATGCATCGTATAGAATTACTTTCAAAATCCGCGGGGCCAGGATTACCGGGCTTTACGGAACAGCTGGCAGAAAGCCCAGAAGCCAAGTCGGCACTGAAGATTGATGGTGGGCCCGACTCCAATTTGCTGACACGTCGTCAACGGGGCGCGAGCGTTTCGGGGAGATAATGTTGGTCACTTAGCACGTACACGTTTCTACTTGGAGCAGCAATATGGGCGTTGAAGTGCTTGTGATCATAATCGCTGGCATCGGACCAGAGTGTAGGGTGACTGGTGTCGGTGGAGGGCGTGAAGTTATAAATACGTATTCAGTTGGGAGGGCGTTAGAGTGTCTTGGAACTGTGGGATGGAGGTGATCATGCACAACACGAGCCTGCCAAAGTATATCAGATGGCCAGCAAAGTATGTGAGAGCGGCCATCATCAGATTGTAGTCAGTTGCATAAGGATGGCTCCCGCAAAACATTTTCGTTCCCGCGGCCGAGGTGACGTCGTGTGCCTGTACAACAGGATCATAACATGCTGGCTGCGCTATGAGACGCCTCATCAAGTTCGTGCAAAGTCAAGACGTGATGTACACGGCCAAACAGCTGATCCACGGTGCCCGGCCCCATCTTGTGCTGTTGTGCGACACTGACTTGTGCTGCTCCTGTTGAAGGCTTCCATTCCTCGTTACAGCTACTGGAGGGAGGGGCGTCTCAAGTCGGAGGCCGGACTAGACAAAAGGAGAGAGCGGAGCGAAGGTTCTGGAACAAGAGCTGTCATGCCTACTACGTAGTAGGTACTAACAGGCCACAACGGATGCTAGGAGCCTCTGAAGACCGATGAAGTAACAACCGAGGACCTCCCCAGTCGCGAGACCCTACCCGAAAGCGCATGTGGACGGCTGCTTGCTGTTGGACTTTCTCTTGCTTTGTGCACAGCCACCCCGGAAACAGTGGTGCCAGTGTATGTAGTTAATGGAAAGCAGGCTAGGCACCTCAGCTGCGTCCGTCCTCCTCTGACTTCCTGGGCATCCTACAGATGGGATGTGCGGAGTGTACGGAGTATTGTAGAACAGGTTGGCCAGCAGCAAGTGAGGCAAACACAAGTTGGGGGAAACTCTCTTAACCAACAAGAGGCATGTGTCCAAACAGTTGAGACGAGAGCTTGCTGGACGCTTCTAGCGACAAAAAAACTTGATGAGAGTACTCCGTAAGGCACAAAGGAAATTCGTCTTGCAAGTTTGCATGTAGTTCGTCCCGCCTCTCTCCCCTCTTTCCCCTGCCTCTCCCAAACCCTCAAGGACCTCCCTCCCCACCATCCACACTCTGGAACAAGGCGTCAGGTGTCATTAATCGGCCACACGATGGCCACGCGGTGTGACCGCCCAGGCAGGACGCAGGGGACACTTGGATTGTGAGCAGAAGGCGTCGCCTACACAGGGAAGGGGAGGCATTGAGGAGCCTGTTTTATCTTCCCGCGGATCAGAGTCTAGAAACGAACGGCTACCGGAGGATTAAACCGGACACATAAAGGGAGGACGAGCAAACTACAACTATGTACAGGCATGCATCCTAGGAAGGGGGTCGGAAACAAGACAACAATGTCGAGCAAACATGAGCGGCAGAGAAGGGAACGGACCTTAGCAACAGCACAGCACGCCATCGAGATGCCTACAGATACACGGATGCAATACATCGACCCGGCGGCATATCTGCAATGCGGCATCCGCCCAGGCGGGCTCGGCCTTGTCCTCTGCAGCGAATAACGAATACGCCAACGCTACTAGGTAGGGCTAGCATACTTGGGGGGGCGGGGGCAGCAGAGCCACACACTGCCATAGCCCGCGTGCCCGCGTCCCGACCTCGCATTTTCCAAGAGTCTCCATCTCTCCATCTGCAGTCCTCCGGACGGTCGGTCGGTCGGATTGGTAGGCCTCAGCCAGCGATCGACTCATCCACTCAGAGTCTCTTCATCTTTAGTCAGACCCCTGGCGATTCATGTGGTAGGGGTTGCGCGTCCGCCCACCAGCTACCATCCCTGGCCAGCCCCGGGATGAGGCAGGTTATGCTTGCGGGATATCGAATCAACTGCAAACCGCAGGCAGGATTCAGTGCTTGTGGACGTTGCTGACGTTCGTGCAGCGCCAGTCGTTTGAGGGGCTCGAGGCTCGCCGTCTTACACGCGCCCCGCGCCCTGCGCTGTCGCTTCTGGCTCACCAATGGCGCAACCGTGATGGCCGCCTGACGGAGTCAGAGAAAGCAAGATACAGAGAGGAGCAAGCCGAGGGTAGCTGCCCCGTCAAACCAGGCAAGTAAAAGTAAGTAAGTACCTAGTGTAACTGGCACAAACGAAGAGTGCGCATTCGGACCAAAAGCAAACCCACAGCGTCTGGCCGGAAGCTGACTGGTCTTGGCGGCCAAGGGTTTGGGTATCTTCCAGAGCGCTTTTTCGGGACCAAAGGCGGGCCAAGGAACCCTGACGTACTGCATATTTGCGTCTTCCGGCTCTTCCGCATGCCACGGACTTTTGGGGCTGGTTTTCCTTTTTTTCCAATCCCTCTTCTTTTAATCCGTACCCGGTCCACGGGGGATATCAGGTACCTACCTGCTGCAAGACCTTTTCCCCGAGACCGTCCAAGACTGCAAAGTATCTGTAGGATCATTAGATCAAAAGCGCAGCGCTTGCTCGGGGGAACACCAACGCACCTCCGGCGCCGACAAGGCAGGCCAAGCATATGGAAGGAGGACAAGTCGTCATCATCATCATCAAACTCGTAATTGCCATCATCATCAACGTGCTGCGGTCGCCTAGGCTAGCCCGAACGACCGGGCGCCAAAGCCGTGAGTTTGCGTGTGTCGTGTCATGGGAAAGACAACCTAAGCAGAGAACAAGCAAGCCTAAGCCTCTTGCACATAGCGCCATTACGTCGTTGGCCCTCATTCCCTTATTTAGGGGGGTTAAGCTGGATTGGGCTGGGACCAGGCCTAGCCCTGGCTGCCGCCGACATTGTTGCTGCTGGTCGGTGGTCGGTGGTCTGTGGTCAAATGTATCTGTAGCCTGTAGGTAGGTAGGTGGTCCCTTTGCATGTCACTCCCGCTTTTCTGACCGCAGAATACGAGCAGAGAGGGACAAGCCCCGCCGACCCGGGTTTACCTCATCTGCAGTGGCGGCGGCGGCGGCGGCAGCGGCAGCGGCAGCAGGAGAGGATACCTAGCCAGGCAGGTAGGTAGGTGCTGGTAGGCAGGTAGACAGGTAGGTATTGGTGGAAGCACAGGACGGGAGGCCCTGCCCTGTCCTCCCTTGCCTGCCCTGCCTTGCCTTGTCTTGTCTTGCCTCTTAAGCCGATCTTTTCGAGACTGGTTTCTGGCCCTGGGAACACACCCACCAACTGCTACCTTCCTGGCACAACTGGGTGAAGGCTGGTTCAGGTTCAGATCCAGTCAGTCAATCCCATGGGAGGAGGCAAGGAAGGTATCCGACCCGTAGTAGGCAAGCAGGCGGCGTTGCTAGTTCTTGTTGCATAATCCGCCTCGCCTCCCGTATGCGCGCCTCGTCCTTTTTCTGATTTGACACGTCCTCCTCGCTGACATGCGGGTTTCATACATCATCTTTGGGAATTCCTGGTCTTGCTGTTTCTTTCCCACCTCCCCGTCCTCTCGACCTCACTCCTATACCCCCAAATTCCATTCAAACTAGCTCGTAACCCTCGTGGGAGGAGACCGGCAGACCAAACGACTCATCATCATACATACCATACATGCCCATTGTCTGAATCCTAATCACTGTCGTTTGGTCATTGTCGGCCGGGTCCTTCATTCGTTCAACCGCATTAATTCACCCGGCACACACACGAGTCGACGACCAAGACGACGGCGGTAACAAACGACGACGGCGAGAACGGCAACAACTACGACGACAACGACGGCGACGGCGACGATCCTGCTCCCCATCTCTCCCGTCGCTCATCCATAAAGGCCGGCATCATCCGTGCTTCCCGCCGAGTCACCCAACGTCATCCACCGCTGCTACCAGCAATCACTACCTACCACCACCTCCACCATCACCATACGATAATTTAACTAAGGGTCCACGAAGCCCACGCCCTGTACTCGGTACGCAGCGCGCGCGCGCGCTAGGCAGGAGACAGGACCCCTTTCGATTCCGAAACCCAGAGTCCCCAGTCCAGCGCATATTGGGCCCCCATCTCCGCTCATTCCTCGAATCCTCGGGATCCTCGTCGCCTTCCCGCGCCGGCCGGCGTGTCCTGCTCATCCAAGAACGTCTTGGTTGTGCACGGCGTAAGCCGAGTGTCTCTCAGTAATTTGGTTGCATGGTTGCTGGCTTGGCGTAGAAACCACCGCCGTCACCAGCAAGATGGGCCGTAATCGAGGTTCGTACTCGCTCGCTTTCCCACATTCCCTCACCCCTTGCCTTACCTTGCCTTTCCTTGTCTTGTCTTGCAATGCGGTGCTATTGTGCGCGTACGAGGCTTTTCGCCCTGGCACATGCCCGGCCTGCATCACCAATCCCACGCAGCAGTAACGTAAACCCAGTCTACCCAATGCCCATCTATCCCTTTTACTGAGTTACGCATTCTATGTTCATGCTGTGGCGTCGCCATGCGGGTATCAAATACCCAAGCCCGGCCCTTTTGTTCTGCTCTTCGTTCAAACTCCTAGCAAACTAGCTTGGCTGATCCATGATCACCACTTTCTCCTGAACTTAGTTCTTGCTGTCGTTGTTCTCGTCCCCATCACTCCCTGGCTCCATCACCGCCCCCCTCTCCCTTCCACCCGCTCCCTCACATCCCCGTCGTGTGATCCTGGCCAATTACTTGGGCGTCAGGCAATATTATTGCTTTTATTATCGTTGTTGTTACTATTATTATTATTATTATTATTTCCTTTTCTTTAGGCATTACTGATGCTAGACGGGCGCGCATTATGCTGACCAAATCTGCATCTTCCGTGGGAACAGTCTTGTCTTTCATGTCCCAGTTTTCTGGTACCCCCAGAGACTCGGGCAAGAATCAACCAACTCCAAATTCGTCGCCTCCCCACGATTCGACGACACCTTTTCCTCCATACAACTACAAGGCGCAGCCACCGCCGCCGCCTCGTCAGCAAACAGAGCCCTTCCCAGAACCTCCCCCCAATTTTGGCCAGCGCCCCGCAACCCCGACTTCGCCGACGCGTCCACTTTCCGAATATGCGTCTTCGCCCGCCAACGGAACTGCAAATAGCTCGCCGGTAAATGCCCCCAGGTCCGTCACTGGCCGCCAAAGAAGTTCCTCCCGCCCACTTTCGATGGTAATGCCATACCAACCGCCCCTCATGGATATCAACGAAGACACCATTCCCGAACTCCAGCCCATCTTCACCTTCCTCAACAGCCATGCCAACAAGCTGTATCAGGAGGGCTACTTCCTCAAGTTGGACGACCAGAATACTCGTGAGTCTATGCTTGCCGCATTATCTCTTTATTCGTGCAGCCTTCCCCTGCTGCAGGTGACAGCAGCTCACCTGCACGCGCAATACTTGGACCGATTGCTGATCCGACCAACCTGACAGAGGGAAAGCCAAATGCCGACCGCACATGGACAGAGTGCTTCGCACAGCTTGTCGGCACTGTCCTTTCGCTATGGGATGCTGCAGAATTAGACGCCGCTGGAGAGGACGGCGAGATCCTCCCAAAATTCATTAACCTGACGGATGCATCCATCAAAATGGTGAGTTGAGATAGTGTCGTCTTGCCCCGACATCATGAATTGGCGGGTTGCGAATGCAGTAGTGGGGGTGGAATCGAGTGCTAATTTAAGCGATCCTTGACGAATAGATCGAATCCCTACCAACGCGATCGAACGATGAACAGCCATTACAGAACATCCTGAGCATCTCAACTGCCGGCAGGAACCGTTACTTGCTGCACTTTAACTCCCATCATTCACTAATACAATGGACCGCTGGCATCAGGCTCGCCATGTACGAGCATTCGACGCTTCAAGAGGCGTATACCGGTGCCCTCATCGCCGGCAAGGGCAAGTCCCTCAACAACATTAACCTGATCATGGATAGATCCAAGTTCAAGACCGAGGAATGGGTGCGTGTGCGATTTGGCGCCGGAGTGCCCTGGAGACGGTGTTGGTGTGTCATTTCTCCTCCCGATGAGAAAGAGTATGCGAAGGCACAGAAGGAGATGCGCAAGAAGTCGCCATACGACCGGTCGACGCCGACCCTCAAGGGAGACATCAAGTTTTATGACACCAAGAAGGACGGCAAGAAGCAGAAAAAGGCCCGCCCAATCGCCACAATCACCGATGCGTACTCTTCGTATGCCATCTACCCCCAGGCAAAGTCGCTCATCGATGCATCTACCCTGCTGAAGATCGAAGGCAACATCACCATCCACTCCGACCCACCTTCATCGACAGAGGGTTTCGTGTTTATCATGCCCGAGACCCATCCCGCCGTCAGCGGTTTTGAGATGCTGCTGCGCTTCCTCTTTCCCACTTGGGATACCTTTAACCTCTATGGCCGCCCGGGTAGACTCGTTGCTAGTGTTCTGGACCCGAGATCGCTCATGTTTGCCATGCCAAAGCATCGAAGATATGGTTACCTCGAGATCCTCGACGTTTCTGGGCTCATCCTGGAGGAGGGAAGCTCGTCCTGGTCGGAGCGTGAGTGGAGGAAGAAGCTTAAAGAACTCACTGGTAAGCGGATGAACGCCGTTGACGAGAGCCAGGGTGTCCGTCAAAGAAGTGGAAGCAAGAAGAGCAGTCGTCTCAGCTTTAGCAATGGCACTGCGAGTCCTGCCCCAGCCAAGCCCAGAGTGGGGTTTGCCGACGATTCCATTTCGAACCGTTCATCTAGGTCCATGTCTCTGGGCACACCCATCCGCTCCGGGACGGCTCCCGTGACGACTTCACACCCACCTCCCCCGCTGTTGGGCATCAACAAAGCAAGCCATGCCCGCAACTCTTCAGACCCACACTTGCTTGGCCACTCGCCGCAGCAGAATGAGGATTGTGGCAGCGACAACAGCTCTTACAACCTACCCGCACAAGGCCCTACTCCTGTTGGAGGCGTTCTGCGTTCAGGAACTCAAAGCTCAGAGGAAGACACTGCCCGTAGCACGCCAGTGCAAGAGATTGAGGGAGGTGCGCGCAACATGGAGTCGCCGGAGCCAGTTGCTGCACCGCCTGCTTTCAACTATGGTCCTAACTCCAAGCCTGCTGGGAAACCTTACCATTCACCAGATCTTCGCAGGGCTACTACCCGCCTGTCCAACACCACCTTGTCCCAGTTGACAAAGGCAGGAGGATTCATGGTCCCTCCAGATAGCCCCTCTGATGATTCGTCTGAGCGCAGGAGCGGAGAGGATACCGCACCATCCAACCCTCTGGTACATCCTCAAGCCAATCCCGTACGAGGAGGCACTGCTAACGATACACTGTCTCGTGAAGCTCTGACCTCTAACCCAACCCCTCCTCCTTCCGGCGGTCTGCCGCCCCCTATTCCGCCCATGAACCAGAAGCGTTCCCGATCGCCCCTTGCCCAACAGTCCCCTGCCCAGCAGTCCGGTCCCCCTAGTCCTCGTCATCAAGCCCAAGGACCTCAAGGCGCAACCGGCCCTCCGTCCGATGTGAGAGGTCCCCAACAAATGAAAAGCCCTGTCGAGGAATATCCTCCTCAATTCCCTCAGCAACAACTCCGTCCTCAACCGTCGTTTAGCAACTTCTCCCGGCCAGAAGGAGCCAGAACTCCCCCCATTGGGGGGCCGGGCCGAGTTCCCACACCTGAAATCAGAAGCCGCGGCATACAGTCCCAAGCTATGGGCCCGCCGCCGCCCCTCGATCAGTCTAGAGACCCTCGCACACAGGGTCGCGGTGTGCCGCTTCCCGGCATCGACACGAAAGCTGCTTTCCAACGCAAGCCACTCCCGGTTCGCTCGGACAGCCTGAGAAGCCCGCATGACACCCCCCTGTCATCGGTCAGCGGCAGC